CAGAATTACAAATAACAACTAACATTTAGGAGCACCGTTACACATTAAAATTCAGAATTCTCGGAAGACTCTCCCCAACCCAATAATCGCCTGCAATTACGACGCTTATCTTCAATGGCAAATTTTCTGAGCGACTTTAAATAGCTATCATTTCGGTGAATTCGACAAACCGCCAAATGTTTTAGCTAAAGCACCGAAACGGCACAGTTTAAAAGACATTTGCGTAAACGTCATGTTTGTGACTCGCTGTTTGAGCACCTTCGATAAAATGCCCATATCTATTGTGCTTATAGGGTATCCTTTCGACTAACGATAGGGTGATTGCATTATTACATTAAAATATTCGCCCGGGCACAATGGTTAAACGCCAGACGTCCTAGGATCTAATCTCAGGGAAACGAATGGAAAGGTCAACATAGTATTTAATCAAATCAGTGAAATAGACACGTATGCCCAACCCTGGTACACACAACACTAATTATTATTTTTCCTGCAATGAAAGAAATTCTTACTTTTAATTCAATATACTCGTATATTCATATTAGTTAAAGCTAACCAAGAAACCATAAACATTCATTATAAGTAAACATTACAATTACTTTATATTTGTGAATGTATATGTAATTTATTTATTTATAAAATAAAATCTAATTTTAAGAAAACACTATTTCAAATTATTGCTATTTACGCCATCTATCGAGTTGTAAGGGAACTTATATGGTTGTGGCATAGATTGTACTTATAACGTACATAATGCGTGATAAATATTAATTTGATTTTAATAAGGAGTATAAATAACTCCAAATAACATTTGTTATAATGATGCTAGAGTACCAACATGTAGCCACGCCCTAAAACGACCGTAGACTAATATCTTTCTCGCAGACTTTATTAGGATCGAGGAATACATATTAAATTGTGTAAATATCGTGCAAATAGTAGCATTTAATCAAGATATCGATTAGCAGCGGCCTCGATAAGGGAATTACGTCTCGTCTGTATCAGAGCTATGTTTATTTATTCCAAACGAGTGCTTCGGGAAATAACTCAGGGTAGAGTCCCATTTCTTTCTGGCCAAAGATTATGTCGCAGAACCGCCGGTTGGCACAGAACTAGCAAATCTCAGTTGGCCTCTGACGACACTGAAAGAAGTACAATTAATAAAGAAAATGTAAGATTATTATTGAAACACCAAAAATATGCAATGATTAAAAAAAACACTTAAATGTGTAAAACGCTGCTGCAAAGCATCCGAACTTCTGGCTGCAATTGAAAAAAAAATCTAAATGAGTTTAACTAATATATTTCACGTTTCAAACCGTTAAAGTGTTTTATTTAAATGTATACAACTCGCGAAACTACAGCCAGCATTTATATAATAATCTTTTCGTTTAGGGTATTCAACAGTTATATATAGTGTACCTTTGGAAACACTAAAATTGCTGTTCCCAAGTCATTATACCCTTTATTATGACTATACTATATATTTTAAAATATAGAACAACAGATGAAAGATTAGAAGACATTATTATAAAATAAAAGAAATCGTTAGTAATATTCTTCTTTCACAGCGTTCGCGAACTCCTCCGAAACAGCTGAACAGATTTTAATGAGATTGTGTATATGCATTTGTTGACTTCGGTTAAGCTTTTATCTATTTTTCACCATCGATTACAGCGCTCCATACACGCATATATATACACATTCACAATCAGTAGGTTCTTGTACCAAAATATTGTGTTGCACAAAAAAATTCTTTCTAGATAATATTTTGGTCAACTAGACTATTTATAATTATAATCCATAATAATATTGTTGACTTGTAAATACCGAAAATGTATTATTGATTGAAATATCTCGTCAATTTACTTGAGTTGTACTCAAAGAGAGCCAACATTAATATTTGTGCTTTGATCCCTTGCTAGAGTTATAACCGACACCGCTGCCACGGAACTGTTAATGAATTAATTATTCAATATTGTTTTGTGTTAAACGATGAATGGTAAAGTACACAATATAATTATAATTTTCACTGTAAATATGTGACAACACCTATGCTTACACTAATATCTATTCACTAGTAATTATTAACACTACTATCTCCAAATATTTTACTTAACTTATATAGTAGGTACTAGCTGTACCCGCGACTTCATCCGCGTGGAATAGTGACTTGTGGTAGAATTTTTAATTATTTACGCTGTTTATTTATTTATGTAAGGGCGTAAGTTGTAATAACTCCCACTCCCACTCTTCCTTTCACTCCCACACCCACTTCCATTCCCACTCCCACTCCTACTCCTATTCCCAAAACGCCAAAGAAGAAAGTTTCATTGTTCTATTTTCAAAAACCACGAATTTCCATATAATCTTTCATCCCATTTTCCAACCCCGATCAACCCTTTATTGGCATAAAAAAGTAGCCTTGCTTAGGCTCTAAAATATCTGGGTACCAAATTTCATTGAAATCAGTTCAGTAGTTTCGGAGTTAAAGCCAGACAAACAGACAGACAGACAGAGTTACTTTCGCATTTATAATATTAAGTATAGATTAGAATTATATACTCAAGTATTAATTAGTGACTGCAAATTATATAAGAAATAGTAAGTTTCTTACATATAAAATAGTTTGATATAACGAGCTATATACAGATAGATACGAGTAACTTTCTTGATGAAAGTGATTGCTTGTTTTCGTCTTTCACTGCTATCAATTTACAGAAAACTCTTTTAATCGTTTAATACACGAAATGTATGAATTACTTCCCCTGTGACGTGCTGTTACAAAGCATCCGAATCATTGGAAGGTCGAAGCGCAAAATAAGTAAGTTTAACTAATATGTATCCGATACATGTAGAGGTGATTATCAGCGTTACTTGCGCGACCGTACTCACGCACCACCTTGCTCATAAAATCCCTTGTATTCGTGCTATGTGGTTTATGAACTAGTTATAAGGGATTGAAATTTTCACGTGCAACTTTGGTGAATTGCCAATAGTGCTGTACGAACACTTTAAGATATGTTATTTTATGTACATTTATATAAAAAATACTGTCTGTAGTTTAAGCGAGTAGTGCACATTTAAATAAAACAGTTTAACGGTTTAAAACGCGATATATTTTAGATAAACTTGTTTGAAAATTATTTTGAACGTTAGGCCGTAGTTAAAGATAATTTTCAAACAAGTATACTAAAATATATCACGTTTTAAACCGTTAAATTGTTTTATTTTAATTTATAATGTAATCAATTAGTATTACTATCGCATTAGGGTTGCCCTGTAAAGGTAGATTAAGTTGTTGTAATTAAAAAAAAATCATGTTTTAAACAGTTTACAGTTATCTCATTGAATGTATACTAATCGCGTACACTACAGGCAATACTTAACAACTGTCAAATTATATTCTAGCCCAAAAACATTCTGTTAAATCATCTTTTAATAATTGTCGTCGTGAGAAAAATTGTTGTGATAATTTTACCAAGGCTCCAAGATTCGATTACCGCTAATCATATTTATAGTGTAGGTGAACTTATTATAATATTTAATCGGTCATAAAAAAATAACCTATGCCATATCTAAATCGATAATAATCTATGCTCCAAGCAACGCAACGTTGGCGAAGATTAGTGTTTACCAAGCCGCCGCAAGATCCCGGATTAAGAGGACCGGCTGCTGGGTACATTAGCCCCGACGTTTTTAGAGTTCCGTAGTTAGACCGCCATCTTTGTGCAGTATCGTGATGTAATCGCGGATACAAAAGTGTATAAAAAGTTGATAAAACCATTTTAAGCGTGCGTCGGTCTTGCTGGTGTAATGGTTGCATTCGTGGCTAATAATCGACGGGTCGGGGGTTCGATCCCTTATAGGTCCAACGTGTTTCTAGTCAATTTTAATTTTTTTCGAAAAACATGTTGGATATTAAATGGGTAGGTAGAAATAATCGAAATACCGTCCGGGTCACGAACCACCGCAACAAAAGTTCCTTCCGGTTTAATCGCGTATCGCTATCAGTCTGTAAGTTTCCGAATATCCAAAGCCGAAATAGGTCGACCGCGCATCTTTGCTTTAAGGCTGGGGTATTTCACGTACCATCAAGTGACCCCATACTTATCTGACCTCCTCATAAATTGCAAAATTTAGACCAACGTGTTCGTCACAAAAATATATATACGACAGAGGTGAATGATAAGATCCCACACGAGTTTGTCGATCGCATCAAATGCTCGAGACTTCTTGATGGTGACATTGGACGGGAAATTGATAGCGCTTGCGGCGATATTAGCATCGTGTTAGAATAGTCCACAACTTTGTACCCTCACAACGCAGAAGTTACGCCTGAACTATCGAAGATTATGAAACTTCGTATATTGGATGTGAGATAAAGGAGAACTGAATTGATTGCACAATAGATTCATCAGAAAGGGTCTTATCAGTACAAATAAATTTCGTTAAGCGTAAAAAAACTATTCAGTAATATGGGCATATATTTTGATCTTTTTTATATAACATTATTTACTATCGAATCGCCCTGGATTTGCTCGGATGCAATGCTGACACTAAATACACGACAGAAAATCTATGAATGTTGTATATGAAAACCTTCTTCTTGAATCACAAAAAAACCGCATCAAAGTCTGTTGCCTAGCTTTAAAATTAAAGCGTAAATAGGGACGGAAAAAGCGACTGGCTTTATACTATGTAGTGATGTATTTAGAATATTGATTTTCATTAGGTTTTCAAATTAGTAATATATTTCGTGTTTTAAACCGTTAAACGTGGTTTTTTAATGTTACGTTTTGTATTCTTACCGGCGTCTTATTCAATATGTTTGTTAATTGCTTCAAACTTTCGCCCAAGTTGAACATGCATAAGAAGGAATATTTAGCTGTATACACAAGTTAAGAAATTAATATAAAACACATTTTCTTTATACATATTTATATACAACAAATCAATAAATTTTGATGGCACAACAGAAAGTTTTTACAGTCCCGCCTTCACAATATATTTGTTAATTCCATGTTATTCAAATACTTCTTCCCCTGAAGCATCTCCTGTACTTCACCTAAACTCTTATTCTTCGTTTCCGGCAGACAGTAGTACGTAAAAACAAACCCAATAGCGGCGACTGTACCGTACGCGCAGAATATCCCGGCATTTCCTCCAGATTCCTTAATCGCTCTCAGCAGGTGAGTGAGACCAAACCCTGCCGTGGGTACGAAATGTACCAAAACGACAGCCGTAGTCCGGACATTAAGGGGAAACATTTCCGTTGTTGTTAAGTCCGATAGTGAATATACCCCAAACGACGAAGATATAATAAAAACTATTACAGCGGCGAATAAAACTATGCCAAACGGTTGAATATACTTCTTTTCAAACAATAGTACTTCGCGGGTATAAAAGTAGATCGCTATAATGTACAGACATATACTGGATACAATAAAAGGATGTTAGGTATAATGCACGACGTCCGACTCTGTCCACTAAGATGGCGGATACTATTCCTGCAACAAATATTTGGGTTAAAACGAAAAATTATTTAATCCCTCAAAACACTACAAAACTTCAATTGCCTAAGAACTAAACGGGGAGAGACCACAAGATATTAGTGTCGGGACATTAGTCCAACGAAATCATTCGCTTTCGTTATTAGAGGCAACTGTATTTTGTCTGTTTGTTTGTATTAAAATTTCTTATGTATATTTTTTATTCTAAGATATCTGTGTGCTTTTATTTTAATATATCTATAGGTTAGAGCAAATAAATTTCTTCTTGGCGGCATAAAGACTATATTATCTTACCTATAATACACGGTATGGTGACATATAAAACAAAGACCCAATTCAGAGGTAACGTGACGTCACTCTCTTCCGCTATAGTGTAGTAATAGTTGTGAATAGTAATTATTCCTGACATGATGAAGATAAGTTCCATACCTAAAACGGAATATAAATAGTTAAAGTAATACTTAGTTATAATTTACATTACTGCTTCAAATACAGTCTGTTCGACTTGTCTCCACGTGACCACGGCTGCTGCAAAGCATCCGAAACGTCGGGTCATAGTTAAAATCATTTTAAATAAGTTTAACTAATATATATCGCGTTTTGAACCTAAGTTCTAGTATGTAACCTAAGTTCCTAAGTTCTTTGAAAACCCAAACAGCTTTATAAAAGAAATTAATCGCGTTTTAACTTGGTAAATTTTCATATATTATATATATACGCACGCGCATAATACCGTACTTACCAAATGAAGCAATAATTGCTTTTGTATATCGCTTATTGATTAGGCATTTGACGAACCATTTTGAATCTTCGAGCTCTTTATCTGTGTGTGATTTTAGGCGGTCGAATTGGGTTTGGATGGTCTGCAAAAAAAATTAGAAGCTTTACACAATTTATGTAAAAAAATTGTACCCAAATCTAAATTAAGGCCAAGGAAACGAAACAAACAAAAGTAAGAGGAAATAAAATTATGCGAAGAATTCCGATACTTCGGAATATCGAGCTAACAGGAAAAATATTTTTAAATATATGTAAATACTTAAAAGTCCGAATAGTATAGTAGTTTACTTTTAATATACGTTTAAATAAAACACTTTAACGGTTTAAAACGCGATATATTAGTTAAACTTATTTGATAATATTATTATTATTTCAAATAAGTTTAACTAATATATCGCGTTTTAAACCGTTAAAGTGTTTTATTTAAATGTGTACTACTCGCGTAAACTGTACAGTATACAATATACGTTTCAAAGGAATAAAATAACACTACTGACAACACATTATAATTATTAATAATAAAAAGTTAAGTTCACTAATATTTTTTACTGGGTATGTATTACGGATAGAAGGAAAATTCAGTTCCAGTTTGAAGTCTGTAGATTTTAACAAAATACTGTTTTTACCTCAGTCCCCACATTTTGTCGAAGCCTCGCGAACGCCTTCCTCGCTTCTTCTTCATTATTGTTCCTCAAATGATAGTACGGTGACTCCGGTATAGGATAGCACGCCACAAACGCCAATGGAGCGACAATAAGAAGCCAGTAATTCATCTTGTCATAGGCAACTTCTTCCTTAATCGATAGTATTAAGGTTCTACCCAAGAACACAGTGAATTTTGTTGCCACGAGAAGCATACCTCTGATTTCAGGATCTGCTATTTCTGCTAGATATATACCAGCTGTCTGAAAGAATAATTATGTACACGTGAATTTATTTTCTTACTTAAACATACCAGAACTTGTAGAAGTTGAATTGCTTAAATTAAACTTTTTTGCGGGATTAAAATATGAAGTATAGTTAATTTATTGCTCACTAAGACCCAACGTTTTAGGATGCTTTGCAGTACTTTATTGGACGAACATTCGGTACAACGTCGTTATAGGTTCGGGCTTTGATTCTTGCAGAAAAGTTGTCATATACATATAAAGTTTTTGCATCCAATTTGCAAAGTTGAATTTATACGTGGGTTTACGAATTGTCTTAATAAAATTACAACAAATATTACTAAACTAAAACGAATTAATGAATTTAAATTAACCGTTTTTAACAGCTGAATTATTCTTTATTCAGTTAATATATTATATTTGAAATGTTTAGGTAATAAATAATTCACGTACAATCGTCACCGTACCACATGCAAACTGCCATAGGAACTCCATAGCGCACAACATCCAAAGTTTTATTGCTGTTGCGGCGAAGATCTAAAAACGAGAAGGCTTTGGTTTTACAAGTATAAAAATATAAACTGTGTACACGTAGTTAGGATCTCAAATTTTCTGCGAAGATAAAACATCAATTACCATCTTAGTCTTATAGATGGTCAGAGTAGCAGAAGTGACCACTAAAAGGGTACCCGAAAAACAATGATAATTATGATCCCGTGTAATAAATCTGAACATTAAATGCATGTTAAGAATATCGAAATTCCGTCCGGGTCACAAAGCACCGTCCACAGATGAAAAAGCTCTGAAGCCTAATCGCATTTCGATATCATTCTGTGAACTTGCGAATTTTTAAAGTCATAATAATTCCATAGCTTTTCTTATTGCAATGTTTAAAGACATAACATATTTTCCAAGTTCTCGTCTGTTCTTGATTACCGTTCCAACTTCAAATATAATTGCACTGAAGAGTATTGTAGTTCTTCGCCCGAAAACATCGCAACAGATTCCCGCAAACACGGCCCCGGTGTAATATCCAATTAATGTCATTAACGATATCTTGTCGAACTGTGAATATAAAATAAAGAATTAAAATATTAACATCTTCATTAAGTATAAACATGGTCCTATAAACATGGGAAGTGACTATATAGGTACTCCTTACGTTTAACTTACTCATTTAAATAAAACTGTTATAAAGGACTAAAATGCGAAATGTTTTACAATGGGGACTTTTCCTCCGACCACGAAGCAACTACTACGCGTCGGGTCGTAGTTATAAATAAGTTAACTAATATATTTTACGTGTTAAACCGTTAAATGCGTTTTATTTAGATACTTTACTTTTTATCACGGTAACTGGACAGATAGATAACAGAGTCAAAATGAACATACCGCAACACTATCTAAATGTATTGGGCCTCTCTGCACCCATATCTTGCCTGTCATCACCGGCTGCCAAGCATTAAATATGCCCATTGCAGTAGTAAGAAGCAATACTGGAATAACATTGTTCTGGACTTTTAAATAAAATACTAATTACATCATTTACAATTTATTTCTTTCTAATTTCTCCAAATACCAACTACAAGGAAACAGATGGCTTTCCATTTTTTGTCTACCCGTGACCACGGTTGCAGGGCGAAACATCAGGAAATTGTTAAAATAAATTGTAACTAGGTACACCCAAGGACCAAATATGTGTACGTATGTCCTTAGTTATCATAAAAAAAACTGTTTGTGACAAAATCGTTGTGTAAATTAAAAAAAGGAATGCAATATAACGGATTGTAAATTTTACATTTAATTTATTGTTTTCTCTCGTGTTATATTGCTGTAATATGTGGAATACATTATTTTGTTAATTTAACTTACCAGCAATAGTAACCACATACTGTAGTCTCCTCCCTCTTTCCATTTTCTTGAAGTCACACTTTTTTGTTAACTTTTATTTATTACTTGCGCTAAAACCTCCTTCTTATCAATGACATCCAAATGTTTTTGTTTAACCTTGATTCATTTTCTTGATTCTTGACTAACTAATAATATATTAATAAATTTTGATTATTGGATTATCTTTTCATCATTAAAAATTATTTAACCAGGTCTTCGATTGTTTAACTTAAATACATTCACAGTTACAAAGAATAAACGAGAGATGCGCGTGCGCATCGCACTGTGACTACCGTAAACAAGGCTTGGCAGCGCTAATTCACACCGGTATTTACGCATGGTAACCTGTTTCCGAACGGATTTCTTAAACTATTTTCCTTATATTTTAATACGTAGCGAGATCGATCGTGGGTTCGACACCCACCTGGTGTGCTGCTATTCGTAATGTTGATAGTTTTCAAAACTTTATTATTTTTCACGTCTTATTGTACATATCATTATACAATAGAAAAGTGCTTTAGATTGAAAAAATGTTTTAACAAATTTTGTCTTGCTCGCGTTGTAATTCTTTCAATGTAAAACCGTTTTTTAATTCAAAGATTTTATACGATGATTCAATTTACTATAGTATCAACGTTCAATTGCTGACTAGAAATCGGTTACATTTTTATTATATATATGGATATTAAGTCACCAAACGGACACCGTTGTTTATTTAGTTATTATTTAGAATTTAATTAAAATTAAATGTAAAAGACAAGACTTTGCATGTGCATAACTTCAAAGTAATAAAACAAATGTAACTTATACACGTTTATTTATTACAAACATTAAATTCTCGATGGCATCAAAATCTTCAGTCTTAACTCTTCGCATCTCTTATTTCGTTTCACGCCTCTCTACTGGTCATTTCCACTCCATTGCTTCTACTCTTCCCCTGAAGCACCTCTCGTATTTCATTTAAACTCTTATCCTTCGTCTCCGGTAGACAGAAGTATGTAAAAACGCATCCAATAGCAGCGCCCGTACCATACGCGCAAAACACTCCTAAATCCCCTCCCGATCCTCTTATCGCTTTCATCATTTTGCCGAAAGCAAAACCTAGAGCTGCAAATAAATTGACGCCCACAACGCCCTTGGTTCTTACATTCAGGGGGTACATTTCAGCAGTAGTCAACCCCGTTAGTGAAGCTACACCAAATGAAGAAGTTATAATGAATATTATGAGAGCGGCGAATCGAACATTGGCAAATGGATGCAAGATCTTCTTTTCCAATAGTAGTACGTCCCGGGATAAAAAGTAAATCGCCATTATAAACAGACAGATACTGGATCCTATGAAAGAGGACATGTATAATGGACGCCGCCCGACTTTGTCCACTAATACAGCTGATGCTAACCCTGCAAGACATATTTGAATTTAACATATAGATATTCGATAGTGTCTACTTTACGCGAGTAGTTCACATTTAAATAAAACACTTTAACAGTTCAAAACGAGAAGTATATTAGGTAAACTTGCCTACAAATTATTTCCTTCTTGAAGTCTTCCCGTGAACACGGCTGTTTACAGCTTTATTTAAATATCGATATTATATAAACGTTTAACTAATAAATTGAAGTAATTTTATTTTATGAACGTGAAATAAACCACTTCAACTAAGAAAGAAATGTAAATTAAAGAATTTTAGTATCTATTTTGTTAAGCTATTGTTTATTACATATATCAATTAATGTAATTTTATTGTTGTTAAGTGTATACTCGAAACGCAGGAAATAAAATCTGTCTCGGGCACATAATTTCCTTATTGACTGTAAGAAAAGTCAAACAGTACAAAAGTATAAGAGGTAGAGGAAAATTATTTGAAAAGGTCGAGAAGCGTTTTAATCCCTGTGGATGTATAATCCTCTCCTTAATACGCAGAACTTTTCTGAAGTGTCTCTTCATATTTCTTATGAAACATCTACTTATCCAATAAAACACTTTTAACGGTTTAATACGCGAAATGTATTAGTTACTTCTAAACTAAATTATTTTAACTACGGTCTGACGTTGAGGATGCTTTGCAGCAGCCGTGGTCATGGGGGGAGCGATTATATCTGTAGTTAAAATAGATTGTAATAACTGTACTACTCGCGTAAACTATGGACAATACGTAACATTTCTACTCACCAATAATTATCCGTATAGACATGTAAATTTTAAACATATCGTTTACGGATAATACGACGTCACTTTCCCACGTTACAGTGGAGTAATAGGACTGTATAGCGACTGTTCCTGACAGCAGGTAGATAAGTTTCATACCTGAAAGTCAAATATTAAATTTAAATACTTCATTACTACCTTCACACCTTTATCCCTGTATGTTCTGGTGGGCTTATAACCTGCTCGATGGTGTAATAACAGCGTAGGTGGTAATCACCGGGTCGTGGGTTAGCACCCCACCGAGTCCAACATTTTTTATAATTAATTTATAAGTTTTCCGAATTATGTTTGACTTCGTCTGGAAATCTGGGTGTTAAATGATAGGCATATCGAATTTCCCTTCGTGTCACGAACTACCGTTCACAGATGAAAAAGCCGTTAAGTTTTATCGCGCTTCTGTCTCTTTCTGTAGATCCGAATATCAAAAACCAAAAAAAAATGGTCGACAGCGCTTGTTTACATGTTATGGCTGGAGTATTTTACCTAACATCATGTGAATCCTAAGCTTTTCTTCCCCCTATAAAAAAAATCAGCAAAAAGTAACATTGCGATTAAATGTATAATAAATAAATTCGATTGTTACCAAAAGTGGCAATGATTGCTTTTGTATATCGCCGCTTGATCAGGCATTTGAAGAACGATTTTGAATCTTCGAGCTCTTTAGATGTGTGAGATTTGAGCCGATTGAATTGAGTTTGGATTGTCTGCAAATTTAAATGTTATATTTATAACCAAATCTTAATACCATGTACAGAATGACCATATAGATAACAGAAAAATATTTCAGATTAAAGTAGGTAGCATGAATCTAACATATCATATTTTATATCTAAGTAAAAGCGCGTATAAACGCGTTTTCAAGCGAGTTAGTTAAAATTTCTGACTTCGAATCCTAAGGAAAACAAATGAATATATTGAATAACTTTAGGTTGCCTGGAAGAGATCGCGTGTTAGCGATAAATCCGCCCATTGCTCTCCATTCTAGTGCATACGTTTAATTTGTAATATTATTATGTTTTATGCATTAAAGAATATACAAATAAATAAATATAAAGTACAGGACTCTACTCTGCTTAAAAGTACTACAACACGTAAATAAAATCGATCAAAACGAACCGAGAAATTATTCCTTCTCATTCCCCAAGACACAAGGTAATTCACGCACAATAATAACAAATCTATATATATAAATATATAAATCTAAAAATATAATCTAATGTTACAAAGCTCAAGATTGTTTATTTAAACGAGCAGGTTTATTCTCAGGAACTATTGGTTCGAATTGCCATGGTTAGACCATTTACTGAGGAAAGCTTTAGGCCATAAAATATCAGGCTACGACCAATAGGAGCGAAGAGTAGAAGAACAATGGGAAATATGAAAAAACCATGGAAATCTATTCGTCATTCAGGGATTCTATTGCATGCGCTGCGAAAATGGTTCAAGATACCAAAAAAATATCTAAATTGTTCTCGTTTAAATAAGTAAATGTCTATGTTTTAACTCGCAAGAATCGTTTTTATAGTAATCAAATTTAGTCGTTAGCTAATAGGATATAAATAAAAATAATGTAAGAACACCGATATTTCTTTAACTTCGGTTTCAAACAGACATAGATCGACAGTGTATTTCACCTCGGTTCCTTCATTCTCCCGTATCCTCGCGAACTCTCTCCTCGCTGCTTCTTCGTTATTCTTCCTTAGATGATAATACGGTGATTCCGGTATAGGATAGCACGCCACAAACGCCAATGGAGCGACAAGTAGAAGCCAGTAATTCATCTTCTCATACGAAACTTTTGGACCAATTGATAGTATTAGGATGTTTCCTAAGCTAAATGTAACTCTTGTTACCACCACGAGCCGACCCCTTATGTCTGGGTCTGCAATTTCTGCTAGATAAATGCCTGATGCCTGAAAGGGAATATAAAAAAGATTTACTAACTTGAATATATACTTTTTATAATAGAGGAGGACAAACAAGCTTTACTCCATGGTAGGTTATACCCCAGCCTATGGCATCTAAACAAGATGCAGTGTCGACTTATATTCGGAAATCCACAGACAGAACTGAGACGTGATTAAGCTTCAAGGCTTTTTTATCTGTGGACGGTGGTTCGTGACCCGGACGGAATGTCGATGTTCCTACCACCCATTTAATATCCAGATTTCCAGACAAAATCCAATATGTTTCAGAAGAAATATAAATTGATTAGAAAAATTTTGGACCGGATGAGAATCGAACCCAACCACCAACACGAACGAGCCCGTCAGCATTCGCCACATGTCACAAGTTAACTTAACAATTCGATAATAACGTTAACAGGAAGATAAGTTCTTTTCTAATTCAATCAAGTTATGGCCACAAAATGTTAACATTTAATTAAAAAAGCATCATAGCTTAACAATGTGCCCATCAAACGTTGTGTGTAGAATTGTAAAAATAATGTAAATTTGTATCACATTTTTTAAGTACGTGGTTTTGTTTTTTTTTTTTTGAGAAATAAATGTATAAACCTTAAAACTTTAACCCGGTTACATAAAATAAAAAATACTGAAATGCATAAACACTTTAAAAGATAAATATGAAGTCTTTATGAAAACGAAGTCCCGTTTCCCCCTCGTGGGGCATGGGCAACACAATCCTATGTCCGTTTCACTGATCCGTGAAACTTGCCCTGCTTGACCGAAACAATTTTTTGTTTCCCTGGGTTTCGAACCCAGCACTCCTCGCGCTTAACGAAATGCTAGCGCTACGGCGGGCTACAGAGGCGGTCATCACTAAATAAGCGTCGAATGCGTCGAAGTTTTTTGATAAATATTATAAAACTAATTAATATAATACTTTGAGTTTATAATCAATAAATATTTCACATACAACCGTCAGCATACCAGTTGCAAATTGCCAAAAGAACTCCATAGCACAGAGCATCCAAACTTTTATTCCAAAAGCGGCAAAAACCTAAAAACAAGAAAGTTTATGAATTATTTTGTAGTATGTAAAAATATATGCTTGTGGTACGCGTTCTCTTCGCTGAAAATACCACCTGCAAATCACGTATCACTGATCTCAATAATCAAATGTAGTAATGCGTTATGCTTAGAGTCCCAAGGAATCCTGACTGATAAATTTAATTAACTTGTCTGTAAATAAAATCTATCAATGAAACGGAAAAGCATATGTATTTGCCCCATTAACCACGAACAGAAAATAAGATATTATCGTTTAAATTGTGTTAGTGGGTAAAAGAGCTGATGATAATGGTGCTGATTACCGTGCCAATCTCGAAGATAACTGCGCTTATGAGTATTGTAGTTCTTCGTCCGAAACCGTCACAACAGAATCCCGCGAACACGACCCCGATGTAGAACCCGATCGGTGTCATTAAAAGTATCTTGTATTCCTTAAAAAAAACAAGCCCAACATAATAAAACAAAAAAAAAATAGTGTTCATACATTGAAAGACATATTTTTATGTACCTTGGCTCTTTGTATATAAATAACTAAAAAAGGTCATTACAAAGTTTTTAGAATTTCAATATACGAAAAGATTTTGCATTGCTTTGGAAGAGAAAGAAACATATACCACAAAATATTATTTGTAAATAATAAAACAAATTTCTCTTTAGATTAACTAAAAGATACTCCGCGATAGTATATGTTTATCTTTTAAGCTTAACCATGTAAATGTAAAAATGTTTGTTCAAAATTATTACCAATTAAATTTTTTAGAATAACAACTCTCGAATTATTGTGTTGTTACAACATAATACGTAACAACGTACCATGGTACCTTATTAGGTTGTTACAACAGTACCAATATTTTCACAACTGTCTTAATTTGGCAAAAAAATAAACTGTTGATGTTAAATCGTTCTTATTAATCTTATTATTGTTTATTATTCACTTTTAAAAATATATTTAAAATAGAACTTACGTCTTCATCATCTATGTGAATCTTAGTTTCATTAGCCCATATCTTTGATATCATTGGTGTCCGCCAAGCAGAAAAAATACCCATTGCAGTGGTAAGAAGCGACACTACAACAATTAATAATATAGCTAACCACTACAATTTTTTTTTTATATTTTAAATTTTATTATATTACAGATGAACAATATAATTGTTTAAAGTAATCGTACGTACGAAGTGCCAAACAAGTATTCGTTACTTAGTAATCAGTAGAAACGCGATTAATTCAAGTATGCTACTTAAATGATTACTAGAGACATTTTCGTTTACCTTCGAATATAATCTGTATTCATAATATGTATAGGAAACTTACATTATTATATTTCCCAATACATTTTAAATATACGTGTTTATTTAATGTCAAAATAATATATGATAATTCATCTAGCCGTTTATGAGTAAAATAATAACAAACATAAATTTATTAACCTATTATTTTAAATGTATTAATCTTGGTAGGATTGAAAACTTGTATTCATAAACAAAACTTAAATGCTAACTTACCGGCAGTGGTAACCACATACTGCAACTTCCTTCCACTTTCCATTTTATTTAATTATTTATTGTTTAAAACTCACAAGTTATTATTTATTGTACGCGCAGAAATTTTATTCCCCGCTTGGTTATTCTCAGTTGCATTCCACAATCTCTGTACTTAATAGATTTTCCATAAAGAATCCACACTAAGTAATATTACAATGTACAGTTATTATTTCCTACTCATATTACTTGGTATAGATTAGTCATTAGAGAATAAACACAAAATGCGCCTGCGCACACAGCACAACGTTTCCCTGTGACTGAAGCATGCCTTGTATTAAATTCACATCGGTATTCACATCCTCCACGCATTAACCTGTTTCTGATTTATTCAATTATTTTCCTTATATTTTCAAACAAATCGCTTTAGAGTATTTGTTTCGTTTGCGTTTAACACTGATCGTGAATTCGAATTCCGTCGTGTGCTTCTAAAAAACAAATACAATTGACACCAAGCTAAAACTTAATAAATTTTGGATATAAAATATTTTTATAGGCCTTTTTTAAATTTCTAAATACATAAAGGCCTTCCTATGTTCCTTTGTTTCTTATGTTGTTAGTACTATTAGTATTTGCTATTTGTTGCAAAAAAAAACAAATATTTTTCTAATGCTACAACAGGAAAACCGAAAACCTTTCGAAGGTAGCCAAAGCAAGCGGTATTCAAGAAAAACACATCACCATATAAAAAGACGTATATTTCTACTATATATTTCACAAAATAAACTGCGATATAAGCTGTCTATAATTGTTCTTAAAGCCTCCGCACGAGGTATATACAACCTCACTGATGTAGTTTTATTACATCAGTTTTAAGTAAGTGTTCAGTCTTAATAGAAACTTTAGTCTGACATATTTGCAAAATATCTTAAATTCTATATATGTCTAATAATTGTCTTATTTTAATCTTTAGTAGGCACAGCATGAACATTATTTATAAAAAACTTACAATTAGGTATTTGTTATATTTGTACATTTAATATAATAATTCTTTATATACTGGCCTGTTTATTTTATTGTGTAAAGTATTATTGAGTTTTAACAATATTGGTGATGGTAGCTTTATAAGCAATATATTTTTTGACTGCAAAAATTAATAAAACCGTTGGGACTCGAACTCACTACCACAGCGTTCCATGCTACTGTTCCATTTGAGCTACCGTGTCACAATTAGGTTGATCAGGAGAACGAAACGAACATTTTACTATTGTACAATAGAATACAAATATTCTCTATTGTCACAAACAAGAAACAGAAGATAAAAATAGAAAAACGATTGTTCCAACATAGACATTTTCATAATCTTTGCAGGAACGCTTGTCAATAGGCAACCCGATGATAAATCTAATTATTAAAGATATTTTGCTTGGTTGCTTGATAATAAAATCATCTTAACTTACTGAGTAGGTTCCTTTTGGTCAACTTTGTCGAGTATCATATCCTGTATTATCTGGGTTATTTTGAAAAATCATTACTTTATCCTAATTTAATACAAAACAAATCGTTTTTATTTCACTTAAAATAGTTAATCCCAAAATAATAATGGACTCGGCTCATCAAAACGTCATCAAATCTTCGATTCGTTAACTTTCACCTCTTTTAACACGCCCTCATCAACACAATCCTTCACATTCATTTCTCTCATTTCCTCTACCTCATAATCTTCTCCTTGCAGCAAGACTTGAATCTCCCTCAAACTCTTCCCGCGAGTTTCGGGAATAACGAAGTAACAAAAGAGAGATCCGGCCAACGCGATGCTAGCATACATCCAGAATACGCCGCAGAGTCCCGCAACATCTTTTACTTTCTGAAATAATTTCGTTACCGAAAACCCTAATATACCGCCATAGATGTTCAATGTTGTCATGGCAACCGCTTTTACGTTCATAGGGAACACTTCACCCTGTATAACGCCTATGATCGAGTTGAAACCGAGGGTAGATGAAATACTTGAAACCAATATTCCTAGAAAGGTCAGGAAACCGTACGTTTTAAGAGAGTCATGGTTTAGTTTGATGACATTTAGGAAGAAGAAGTATGTACCCACGATGGATAGAGCAATACTGCAGGTCATGAAGGAGTATATCAGGAGTGGGCGACGCCCGACTCTGTCTGCCAGGATTGAAGATATTACACCTGTTGATGAAAATTGGGTCTTAAATAAAAAACTTAACCGCCTCCTAAGTTCAATAGTAAGACGTTGTTTAGCATTGTCTTGACCACGAGAGATGCTAGGTCCAGGGTCGAATCCCGGAGAAAGGATGAATCGTCCCATTCAGGCAGAGCACAGAAATCTGATTAACCTTTTAAATAAAACATTTTAACGGTTCAAAACGGTCCGAAACGTCGAGTCGTAGTTAAAAATAATTTTCCAAAAAGTTTAACTAAAATATATCGCGTTTTAAACCGTTCAAGTGTTTTATTTAAATGTGCACCACTCGCGTAAACTACAGACGGTATTTAACTACTTACCTGTAAAAACAACGATCGGTGTAAAGGACACAGAAATATGTTTACCATTGGTACCATAGGAGTCAGTGGGCTTTTGTGTCACATTTGACAAATACACAGAGACAAATTTCAATACCAATATTAAAAGTTGAATACTTAGTTCTGAATGTAAACGTACCAACAACGAATTTGACGGCACCAAAGATGATAATCATGACAGGAAGACGGATATCTGTCTTACTCTCCTCCATAATCACGCCAAGGTATTGCAGCACCGTTTGAGACCCTGTCATGATCTGCGCCATTTTTAAGCCTTAAAACAATCGATACTATAATAAAGCAAGAAATCGTTTAAAATTTAAATGTACATGCAAATTGTAATTTGTGTGATTTAATACAAAAGGGGTTGATCCTGTCTGTCTGTACAACCTGAATTATTGCATGGATATACTGTCGTTTTTAAATACTTAAATTTATATAAATTAATAATCAAGCGCTCCTTACAAAAAACCTAGGTATTTCACCGATAGATGGCGCTTTTGTCAAAAACATTAAACATAGAGTTAGTAGAATTAAACATTGTAGTTAATTTACGCAAAATAATTTAAGATAATATTTTTTGTTTTCTCTGTGAAATAAGTACAATTATTACAACATACATGTAATAATTGTACTTATTTCACATCTCTTGATTCTAGCACATTAAAAATGTCTCGACGTACTCATGTACGTACAAAGTTCAGAATTCTCACCAACAACAATAATAACCGCCTTTCGATATTGCCTTCCCCTAAACAGTTCTATAGTAGAAGTTGAATGAGTCATGTCCTTCTTTACATGCGCTGTAATACGCTCCAGTTCCGCGTCGAAGCTCTGAAATCCATGGAATAGATACTTATTTGAAACGTATTACAGATTATCAAACAGAAAAATTACGATTTTGAAATGATAAACAGCTATACTAAAATAATAAAGCATCCACAGTCTAAAAAGTCCTTCTTTTAAGAAAAAAAATTAAGCATTAAACAATTAAGCAAATTTTTGACCTTGTTGTATAAACGATTGCATCAAGAACAAAATGGTTTAAATACCGGCGAATATTTATGTATTTATAACTTAATTTGGCAATCCTATGCGATTGAAATACTAAATGATTACATTATACATTTATATAAAAGGACATATCTTATGTAGTGATGTTTTTGCTTATTCGCCCAAGCTGCGCATAAAAATGTCAATCCCCTGTAGCTTGTTGATAACCCGCATAGCACGAACAAGGGGGAATTTTATGAGCAAATTGGTACATGAGGACAGGTGACGCAAGTAACGGTGGTCGTACCATAGTTATCGATCCGGAACAGACACTTGTAAAGACTGTAGAAATCCTAGATAGTAGATCCTACGAGAACTTTCATTATTTGTTGCAGTTGGGACATCAAATTTGGGAAAATTCTATATATGCATGTTTTTATATAAACATGAACGGTCACATAAAAAATACTTTAAGATTCTAAAAATTAACATGTTGCATCTCGAAGCATTATTACTATTGCTCTACCCTGTGTTCTACGATTCTTGACCTTTCAAATTCTGCAAGCTTTGAAATAAGCTCTTTCGTTCTAATGTCAATTGTCAAATGTCATTCAAGCCACTTACTTCTTCACCCCCGCGCAACCTCAGCAGTTCTCTCTTCGCCTCCTCCGTTTTCCCTTTCATTATATAATAGTAGGGAGATTCAGGTATCCACAGACTCGCCGAGAAGTACAGAACGGGCATAGCTAATAGCGAGTAATTGATCGCACTGTACGTCGCAAAAGACCCGACGCACATCATCAGAAGCCCCCCGAAATTGAACATGAACCGGGTTCCGACTGTCAACCTCCCGCGGATATCTTTATCTGATACTTCTGCAATGTATATAGATACCACCTGGAATAATAATACAAGAAATTACAATATATTACAAAGAAAATAATGAGAGAGAAATTGGAAGCCGTTTGAGAGTCGTTTTTTATTGTATAACAACATATTATTTCAGAAATATATTGTATGTATTGAAGATATAGAATACAAGATATGAATTATAGTTACGTAAAGCTGACAACCCAAAGATAAAAATTATACATACGCTAGATATCATACCGGTTCCGAAACCCCAGAGCAATTTCATTACATACAATAGCCACGCTACTTTAGCGGAAGCTGCGATTATCTGAAAATTAAAATAAACCGTAAAAAAGTATTGATTTCCTAATATTGTAAAATTATCGATATTAATATCGATTTCCGAATCTGACAAGCGAGTAGATATTAAAATAGTTTACGCGAGTAGTACACATTAAAATATAACACGTTAACGGTTTAAAACGAGAAATATCTTAGTTAAACTAATTTGGAAATTATTTTAACTAAGGCTCGACATTTCGGATGCTACAGCAGCAGCTGTAGTCACGGGTGAGACTAAGATGAGACTATGATGGAGGGTGTCTCTAATGTGAAAGTAAACCTGCTACGATAGCGCAATTTGTTACCTCGTAGTTGGTACTTGGCGATAGTGGCCGGGTCCGGGGACAGAGAGAGAGTCACCCTCCATCTTTTGTCTCCAAATGACCACGGCTGCTGCTAAGCTTCCGAAACGTCGGACCGTAGCTAAAATAGTTCTCAAATAATTTTAACTGATATATTTCGCATTTTAAACCTTTGAATGAAGTTTCGATTGTTATCAAATCTGAACAATGTAGTAACTGTTGTAGATGTGATGTTTGTGACTCACAGTTCCTGTAGCTATAGGGACGGCGCTAAGCAAGAGTGTAGCGCGTCTGCCTAATTGATCGCATATGAATCTCGTCATCAGACTGCCCAGCATAAACCCTATTGGAGACAGACTCAACATCCACGATATCTGGTTCTAAAACAGTTTTCAAACAAAATTTATTTAAGCAATATGTCTATCAAGCAGGAATTAACAAAAGGTCGTGTTAGTCTAGTTGAAAAACATAAAACATATTTATCGTTCTGTGCATTTGTTGCTCAGGAAAACATCTTGAGGGGTACCAATATCCTAGGATTTAAATTTTGACCAGCGTGGTCTACCGTGCCAGTACCGAAATGGTGACCTGATTACAAAATTAACTTATTCTTATCAAAATTATCTATGGAAATGTGATAATAACATCGTTATGTTCGCTTTCGGTACCTTACGTATATAATAAAGCAAGGAATAACACAAATACCAGGCAGTTGACAGTTATAACAGCTTATTCTCTGTTCTATAATTTTATAAAACATTTTTATTTAAAAAAAAAATTACCTACTCTAAAATTTAGTCTCGGATTTCTTGTTATCAATTATATTAGAGATATTATGTTTGTAAATGTCTGATGTAAGTTATAATATAAAAGGGTTCATGCTAAATTCTTTCTTGAAAACATCGACTGATTTTTTTTTATTTCATATGGAAAATAATTTGCGGATAGGTAATCCTTTAGTTCCCGATGCTTACACACTTTTAAATCCGACCCTGCTTAGTAAAACACTTTTCGTGTCAGATTACATACAATCTAATACTACCACTGCAAAATGAAATAGAAGCACATTCTTTATATTCGACCCGACCACTACCACAACTAACAAAGACTTTTGTAACAATACCATAATGGATAAAATAATAATGATATTACGATGATAAACTTCTTAAATATTTATTAATGATGTGTTTATGACTATCTTGTACGTTTTTTTTAAATCAAATATGTGTGTTTGACTTGTACAGAACGGCGCAACAGCTTTATTTGATTTTATTTAAAGAAGAAGTCGTTAATAGGATATTTTTTCGCAAGGAATTATAAAAATTAATATTTGACTCACGGAACTACTCGCGACATCATACATACTCGTAATTTTGTGATGGTTAAATTAGTTGGATTAAGACAATATTTTATAAGACACAGAATATATATTGCGTAGCATTGTAAACTGTTGAAACGAAGAAGTTCTCCTTTATTACTTGTGTTAGTTTCAAAGAAGGCGCTATAAGATCTTCTGTTTAACTCGAATCTGGTTATTTCAGGCGTCCTAAACACGCGTGACCAACGGTTAAAACAGAATTAAAGACGATGAGAAGTACCTACGTGGCAGCGAGATAAAGCGTGAACCTCTGTTTGACGACCTTGTATATGTTGTATGTATGGTCGCGGATTCGATCCCCATCGACTGCAAGAAATCGATGGTTAAAGGCACTAACTCCCACTTAATTTTCTTACCTTATCTGTGACTTATTACAAATTCTCACCACATAGAATGTATATTAATACAGTATCATTAAAAATTTGTTTATATGGTGAGAATGAATTAAGTGTGTACTCACGTCGGTAATTCGAATACTAGTTTCATTGTTCCTCAGTTTTGGCATTACAGGCGTAGTCCATAATGAGCACATGCCTAATGTAGCTGGGGCTAATGACACTGGAATATAAAGTATGATTTAAAAACGGTCAAGTACGAGATTCGAACTCGCGCACGGAGCGTTCCGTCAATGGACTAGTGTACATAAATTTTCTCGCCACCTCCACTGAATTATTTCGGGTGCCTAAATTCGGCAAAAAAACTTTTTTTTGGTGCGAGAGCCCATACAGAACATTGAATAAATACATATTTTTATTCATCAATATTTATATAGTATCTATTATAATAGTACTATTAAAGCGTATATTTTTATATTTTCAACAATTTGTATTAAACAAATAATTATTCACTTTCTATAAAGAATGTAAGAAAGGCACTTTTTAAATAGGTATTTAATAATTTAAAAATAAGATTCAAATATATAAATAGTGACTTACCAGCACTGGCCACCAAATATTGGAAAACCCTTCCATTCTTCATTATAATCTGTAAAAACTCTTTAGATTCACAGTCTGTTTAGATTGAATAAAGCATTATAGTTGTAATGCCGGTGTTTTGACGAGGAAATAATTTCTGTTGTCTGTGGTAAATGCAGAAAATAATAAGACTATATTTTTGAGTTCACCCACGTGAAAATTTTACACAACTCTCAAGCACTAACTACCTATAGATACTAAAGTGAAGAGTCTGAAGTTGGCAAAAATGCAAACTGTCAGCAAATACCTACTATATGAAATATTATAATATTTAACAAGACTACAGTCACCAGACAAGCATAAGTTATAATAAACGAAGAATGATTAAATCGTTCTGTTTCTTTATGGGTCGATAGATTGACAAAGGTTGACAAGGAATATTATTACACCATCGGTTATTACACCTATTAAAAAAAAATCAGGATATTTTTTGTGTTTATTATGTAATAAGATGATTGGTTAAAATTATTGCTAATGTGTCATAAACTATCATTTACATAATGTGATTTGTAGTCTATGGTTAAATAAATAAATAAAGATATCAATATCATAGGAGGTACTTAAAGTACGGATGTAACAATTCGTGTTTATATTCTATAGTCTATAATCTAACAGAACCGTAATTAAAAATTAAATAAACTATTTAAAACTAATCGCAATTTCGCAGTAATAAAAATTTTTAGTTGTACACTGGCAACACTGATGCACGACAGCACTAAGTGTCGTGTGGCATCAATAAGTGTAGCTTTTTATAAGTGTTTTAAATGAAATTATAGCAATTACAATTGCCTTGCTATAATTCGTGATGTCTGAACATGTGCTACCGGCCGAAGAGCCGATACGGTTCGTTGCGCCAGTAATTCAAGATAACCCTACAGGATGGGGTCCTTGCGAGATGCCGGATCAATTCCGGGATATGCCTTACCAGCCCTTCAGCAAAGGGGACAGGTTAGGGAAGATCAGTGATTGGACAGTAGTACAAGACAAGAAGTACCAGAGTAAGTGATAATAACCCAGCAAAGTTTTTATAGGTTATGCTTGCTGTCATTGTATTGTAGGGCAAGTAAAAGTTGTATTTTAAACATCAGGGGAAGTTAATTATTCCAGCAAAGCAAATATTTCCAGCAGGGAAGCATGATTATTCCAGCAAAATGTGGGCATAAAATACATGACTACATTTTACTACTCAGAATAGTTTATTAACTTAAAAAGATATTTTATAATAGCGAAATTTACATATTGTATATTCTGTTGATAGTGATGGAAGGAAGGGTTAGACAGCAGGCCGTGCTTCTAATCTGCTTATCTCATAAATTACCATGAAGAATTTTTCTGGTTCAACAAAGATTAAGTTACTAATATAACTTTAGATAAGTACGCGTCGCAGTTTGGCGCTGGTTCGTCATATGCATACTTCCACGATGAAGACGAAAGTACATTCCATCTGGTTGACACAACTCGGGTACAGAAGCCTCCGTATCAACGTGGACGTGCTCGGGGGCAGAGGGGACGTGGAGCTAGAGGTGCACGTACACCTGGTGGCATGACTACATTGAACAAGGTAAGTTTTAGGTGGCAGAAATGTGTGATTTTTATTTTAAGCAAACAGGTATAGGTATAAGAACTATTTGGGTAAGAATTTTATCAAACAATTTGAATTTAAAATTTATTAAAAATAGTTTGGATTTCATTTGTGAATCAAATAATGCTATAATTAGGTACAAACTCAATGATAGAATAATTAAAGTATAATTATTTATTCATCTGAAAATTGTTAGAAAAATATTTTAATAATAGTGTTGGATTAACACAATTGTTATATTTCTAAATATCATATATTAATATGTAGTTATTTTTAGCAAAGGGATCGTAAGCTTGGTAAGAGATGGGGTCAAAGAGGTGCTCCTATGAAGATCCGTGATGCATCAGTGACTGTGAGACCCACATGGGTAACCATTGAAGATATGGACTTTCCACGTCTTGCTAAACTATCATTACCTGGCATTAAAGAAGGTATACTTTATTTACTCATTATAAATTTTATAAACCTGTTTATGTTTGCACAGTTATAAAATTCACTTATTTCACTTGGGAAAAAGATTAATGATTAAAAAAATTATAACTATATATATTAATATCTCTTTTTGTATACCCTATTCTTCCAGGTGAAGATATTGTCTGCTGTGGTACCTTGGAGTACTATGACAAAGGATATGATCGTGTCAATGTCAAGCATGAGAAGCCATTACAGCGCATCGATCGGGTCTTCCATACGGTATGTTTGTTTATACTCCATAGACTCAGATAATGTGTACTTCTCTTTGTAGTTGTAGTTCACTTAGCAGGTAATAAAAAGAATGTGTGAAATTCTTGAAAGTTATTCATTTTCCTTGCTAATGTTTTTGCAAAGGAAGTCGTTCGTAATATGCATACAGCTTAAAGATACCAACATTAAAAGTACTCATGGATTTTATGATAAAATAGCACATGATGTCGATAGTTAACCTGTATAATATACTTTCTAGGTGACTACTACTGATGACCCAGTGATCCGTCGTCTCAGTAAAACTGTTGGAACAGTGTATGCCACAGACACCATTCTCGCTACTATTATGTGCTGTACTCGCTCTAACTACTCCTGGGATATCGTAATGGAGAAGATAGGTAAGTGTAGTTGCTTCTTGAACCCTGAATACATTATAGGACACTATCAGTAGTTTAAGCCAGTATATAATGTATAGATTTATTTAAATTTGAACTACTTGAGTAAACCACTGTAAACTAATGTTTAACTTATTTGAAAATTATTTTAACTACGGCCCAACGTTTCGGATGCCTTGGTGTCGGGAAGACTAAAGATGGAGAGTGTCTCTGACGCCTAAGTAGAGAACTGCTACGGTAGCGCCATCTCTTCCGTCGAAATTAGTCGGGCCGTAGTTAAAATCATTTTTGAATAAGTTCAACTAACTATCGCGTTTTAAGCAGTGAAATTGTTTTATTTAAACAAAATTGTATGTAAAACCCTTTATGGTGGAATTATGATTTATTTATACTCAACAATCCATTTGCTTCTAAGGTGACAAGTTGTTCCTGGACAAGCGTGACAACACTGAGTTTGATCTGCTCACCGTAAATGAGACATCTGTGGAACCTCCAGCGGATGATGGCAATTCTATCAACTCACCGCGTAACCTTGCTCTTGAGGCGACATTTATAAACCATAACTTCAGTCAGCAGGTGAAGACCATGAGATGTAAAATTATGAAATTGTAAAGTCTAAGACCTCAACACCTATGCAATATATCTATTGTTCGCATTGTCTCATAATGAATGAACTACAAATTATCGTGATTCTATCCATAGCACAAACCATAATTATTTTGTTTAAATACAATTGTTGTAAACACATTTGGGAAATGGGTTAAATAGTCAGCCGATGGTGTAGACTGATTACCTGGCCTTTTATAGGTGTATTCATGGCAGAAACCATAAATTTTTTGGTTATAATAAACAATGATTTAAATACTGTCTATAGTTTACGCGAGTAGTACACATTTAAAAAAAACACTTTTACGGCTTTTAAAACGGTTTTTTTTTTAATTTTTTTTTTTTATTTTTTTTTTCCCCCCCCCCCCCTTTTTGGGGTGGTGGCGGCGGCGCGGGGGGGGGGGGCCCCCCGCGGGGCCGCGGGGCCTTTTTTTTTTTTTTTTTTTTTTTTTTTTTTTTTTTCTCCCCTTTTTTTTTTTTTTTTTTTTTTTTTTAAACAATGATGTAAACACATTACACAATATCATTTACAGTGAAGATTTTAAAGGTTATCCTAAAACTTGTATTATTCTAGGTGCTGAAATCGGGTACAAATGAACCAAAATACAAATTCCCCGAACCGAACCCGTTCGTTTCGGAGGAAGAAGGTGAAATTGCATCTGTTGGTTACCGGTACAGGAAGTGGCAGCTCAACAATGGTGTTGTAAGTATAATTTGTCATATATTTTAATAGGTTTCATAATTACCTACTGTGTCAAGAATTTTTGTTATGATGCTTTAAATTCAATCATGTATAGATAATGGGGCATAAGGCAGACTTATTTTTGTATCTGTGTTACTGATGCAATTATTTTATAAGCAAGTAGGCTAATAAGCTTATATGGTCAGCCTGATCGAGACAATATATATTTTTTTCCACTAAGAGCCTCAAACATCTAATGCCTTATAGACATTATTATTATTCTCAATTAGTACTTAATAATGTTATAATAATATGTAAAATTTGAAAAAAAATTGTAAATGATGTAGACTGTACTTAGGACCTAATATATTTGTAATTTTATAGAAACATAGTTCTAGACATAGAGAAACTCATAAAAGATTTTTTTAGGTGTTGGTAGCTCGCTGTGAACACGACGCGGTTCTCCAAGGCCCTCAGAACGAGATGCAGTTCCTCACGATCAAGGCGCTGAACGAATGGGACTCGAAGCTGGCCAACGGAGTTGAGTGGAGGCAGAAGTTGGACACTCAGCGAGGTGCCGTACTTGCTAACGAGCTGAGGAACAACTCTTGCAAGCTGGCGAAGTGGACTGTGCAGGTAATGGAATACAAATGTTTTATAAGATTTGTCTGTAAATTGGATTAAATAATGACACTACCCCTTTTTATCATGAAGGAAATGGGTAAATGCATTAAAAAGCCATGTTGCCTGCCAGCCTGATATCGGTGTCCCAGAAAAAAATAAGCCTTTCTACATTTGTTTATAACTAAATTTTATCCAAAAAGAAACATTCTGAAATGGTTGTTGCAGTGTACAATTTTATTCCGCTTAAGCATGCATCACCAAACTAACCATTCAGTAATTAGTTTTATAAACACATTTGTATATATGTTTGGATTGCTGAACCTCAATTGAACTTTTGTAGTTCATGTCAAAGTAAAGCACTTATATGCATTACAGAACAGAACTGAGCACATATTGTTTTAGTAAATAGATTTAGCATCAATATTATAGTATTTAAAACTAAAAAATCTAATAAGTTAATATAGACCTCATAGTGACATGCATTTGCAGGCGCTCTTGGCCGGCTCCGATCAAATCAAGTTCGGATACGTGTCCCGGGTTCAAGTCCGCGACAACGCCCGCCACGTAATCCTCGGCACCCAACAGTTCAAGCCGCACGAATTTGCGGCGCAAATCAACTTGTCCATGGACAACGCTTGGGGCATTCTGCGCTGCATCATAGATATCTGCATGAAGCAGAAGGATGGTGAGTGTGGCTCGAAAGGGTTATATTATTATTTTATTATTATACTCAATTTATGCATTTGGCTTCCTGTGTCAATCATGTTGCAATAAAAAAAAAGTGTAATCAATTTGAATTTTCAGTATTTTGCTAATTATATATCTCTAATATGTCAAATTAACAAATGTTTAGCTGCCTAATTGCCTGTACTTAAACGATACATAAAGAGAAATAAAAAAAAACATTTGTCGACTTTTTACAATAAACTACGGCCCAACATTCCGGTTGTAAAGCAAAGCGGAGAATGGGGGGAAACCGCGTTTTAAACCGTTACATGTGTTTTATGTAAATGTGAACTACTCGCGTTACAGACAATGCTTTCCTAACATACTAATATACTCCGGTCCGAAACCCACCGAGAGGGCAGGCAGTCAAAACAGATTCTATTTTATTTGTAACATAAGGCTCTGAGGTATTACTGTTCCATTCGTTTTAGGTAAATATTTAATAATGAAGGATCCGAACAAGCCTCTTATCCGCTTGTACGACATTCCGGACAACACTTTCGAATCGGACGCGTCTGAGGAGAGCGGCGACGAGCCAGCAGACACGCCATTCGCCCCACTATACTCCTACGGAAACTCCAAGAGAATTTAAAGGTCTCCGAGCGTTTGTATCGTTTAGCCTTCAGCAAACTATGTATAACAGATTTGTATTCAGATTAATAAATCGTTTTCGTCACACTTGTACTACGATTTAATTAAAATTTCCGCAATGTATTACTTCTCCTGGGATATGAGCCCAAAATCGAAGGAGTTTACCTCAACGGTAAGGCTAAAATGAAACTATTATTTCATTATTAAATCATTAATTACTTAATATAGCTACCCCACTCATCATAAGTATTTTATGAAATACCTATTAATTTGAAAGAAAAAAACAATTTGTTATTTTAAGGGTATTTAAAAATGTATAATTAATATGTACAATATTAAAAAAAACATAACATAAAAATATTATTTGTAACAGCACACTTCCCATCAGCTTAACATATTTACAATAGCAGATATCACTCCTTTGTTTTATCGTACTCTTTGTTTAGGTGCTCCAATTCAATCGCTTCCGCGTTCATGTTATCTTGAACCTCCTCCAAGGTCTTTCCTTTCGTCTCCGGCACGAAGAAGTAAATGAAAAATATACCGAAATATGCTATGCTCGCGAAAGACCAGAACACCGTGTAATGGCCGAACGTGTCTTTGATACCCTGATACGATTTTGTGACGAAGAAATTTAGAAGTGCCGCCATCACAGTGGCTAGACTAGACGCCGTCGTTTTCACGTTTATAGGGAATAATTCCGCCTGCATTATGTAAGGTAGGTTGCCTAAACCAATACTATAGAGAATGTTGAAACTTAAAACGCCTATAAGTGGCATCGCGGATATCGATGACATTTTTTCCGGTGTAAGTCGATAGTGGTCTTGGAGGAAGAAGAATATTCCAACTGTGGTTAGTGATAGGGCGACACCGGTGCTCGAAACTAGCATTAAAATGCGTCTACCCACGTACCCAGTGAGGAAGGTAGCTCCGATACCTGTAAAAATAAGGTCGTATAAAACGTTTGGCTACATTAGAAATCTATACTAATATAATGAAACTGAAGAGTTTGTTTGTTTCGTGAACTACTGGTTCGAATTAAAAAATACTGTTTGTGTTTGACAGACCGTTAATCAATGAAGGCTATAGGCTATATAATATCACGCTTCGACCGATTTATACTATATAAATATAACAAAAAAAAAAACAGAAAATTATTCATATTCGGCTTCCGCTGCAACTGAAACTGTTTGTTCTACGCGGAAGTCGCGGGTACAGGCTAGTAAAAAATAATTGTATGGTATTCAAACAATTAAACTGGGCCTCTTATTTCTATGACATATGAGTGACACAAATTTCATATTGTAACATTTTTGTTATTTCAATTGTAAAATGTGAACTGCTGTTACAATTTGCTAATATAAAAAATACACAAATTGTTGTATAGGAATAATTGATAGATTAGTTTAAATGTAATTTTGGTTTTAGTATTCCTTGTAATAAACATTTCTATTCTTTTAAATAAAACACTTTAACGGTTTATAACGCGATATATTAGTTAAACTGATTTGAAAATGATTTTAACTTCGGCCCGACTCGCGTAAACTATAGACAGTATTTAATTTCTATTCTTATATCGCATTTCTAGTAACTTAATTCCAAGTTCCCTTTTTGCGTAGAATTACTAAATTGTTAGAATTTAATATACCTACTTCCGTCCGTAGTTTACGCGAGTAGCATTAAAATAAAACGCGATATATATTAGTTACATTTATTTGATTATTTAACTAAGGCCGGACGTTTCGGATGCTTTGTGGCAGCCATGGTCACGAGGAACGTTTTTACATAAGCTTAACTAATATATATCGCGTTTTAAACAGATAGATTTATTTAAAAGCATTTACTTAGTTACAAGGTACGTTCAACTGCAATAAAAGTAATACAAAGGCAACAAAATTACATTGTAGCAAAGAATATTTAACATGAGAAAATGCCGTTTTAAACCAAGCAAATATACTTTACAATTATTGCTTATTTACAAGTTTTTAAGTACACAAATAGTATGGCTTTGAATTGAGTTTTGAATAGAAATACGTATCGTTCAATGCCAAAAGTAGATTGTTAGGTTATTGACAAAGTCTATTACTATCGTCTTAATGTTTATCTAAATCTATCATATAACATCTTGAATAAAGTCCAAGGTAACCTGACAATACGTTTAATTTACGACACAATTCGATGAGATTAGCACACAAAACTCGCTTCTATTTATCCATATACAATAAGTAGCTATATGTTGTAGAACTAAAGCTATTTAAAACTTTTCATTAATAAAAACTTAAAAGTATTTTTTAAGGATTTTTTAAGTTAATATAATCACGAATTTGCCATCTGCTTAAATAGTATATAACGCATTGCAATGTAGATTGAAATTATATAGAAATACCAACATCATAAGACTAATTAAATAACGATAATATATGCTTTATTTGTACACAAACAATTATAATTCCGTGCAAGGTATAAACGCTCGTAACGATGAATTTGTAAGTATTGTCTGTAGTATACACTTAACGGTTACAATACTTTTAACGGTTTATAACGCGAAAGTTACGACACTCAGTCTCCAGTCCCTACGTTATCACGGCGGCTACAAAGCATCCGAAACGTCGGGCCATAGTTAAAATAAATAAGTTAACTATCTAATATATTTCGCGTTATGAACTGTTAAAAGTGTTTTATTAAAATATGAATTTTATAATTTCGTAATATTTCTTATATTATTTTAAAATCTTATGCCTATTATAGTAGGTGTAAATTTTATAGAATCAAAAAACTGAATGATACAAATAAATAATCAATATACAAAGTGATCACTAAAAATAGAAATTATGAGAAAAAACATAAAAAAATATAAACATAAAAGATCAACATACCTGCTCCAAGTTGAACGAAGCCATATACAATGCTCACATAAGGACCAGAAACGGAACTGCTCTGACGAAAAATTGGCTCTAGATACGCCTGGATCGCACACGTCCCCGTCATATACTGTAATACTTTGAGTCCTGAAAGACAATAAGCTTGTTATAGGCAATAATTATTGACATTAGTTTCAAAAGCAATAAATATTTCTAAACAAATAAATTTAATAAAGATTAGAAAGTATAACAACGAATGTTTCAGTATTTAAAAGTCTTGTGTCTTTGTTCTTTGTAGGGGTTAGTGAAAAAGAGATGATATCAAGTTAACGCCCACTGACCATTTTGCTTCCTTGTTCTTTGTTCAGGACTAGTAAGAGTTTAAACGAAGAGCAAATATGCACATTGTCGTTTATAAGCAACTAGCTGTGCCCGCGACTTCGTCGCGTGGAATAGTGCCTTGGGGTAGAATTTTTAATTATTGAGGCTGTATATTAATTTATGTAAGGGCGCATTTAAGGCAGCCAATCTATGGTAAGTGCTACTTTGCCACTCTCATTCCTGCACTCACTCCCACTCCCAAAACCACGAATTTCCATTCAACTTTTCACTCCCCCTTTTCGCAATAAAAAGCTTATGGCCTTTCTCAGGGTCTAGACCATCTGTATACCAAATTTCATTGAAATCCGTTCAGTGGTTTTGGCGTGACAGAGTAACAGACAGACAGACAGAGTTACTTTCGCATTGATAATATTAGTAAGGATTTGTGGTAATTATATCGACTAGTCCCGAACAAGGTTCAAAAGGCTCCAACAGAGGTAGTTAATGAAAAGGAACCGGGACCTCACTGCAACTCCAAATAATAGAGGTTTCTTGTTTATCCAGGTCCCATTTAATATACGCACCCGCCACTATGTAAATAGCTTTCCGATATCGTGTGTTGGTTAAAAGCTCCTTGACCGTTGTCTTATTCTCCATACTTTCTATCACGTGGCACCTCATTACTGATAACTGCTCATCTGCCCACTGAAATTCACTTAATTAACTATAAACAAATAAGTTACACATTAACAATCGTTAATGGTATATATTGATGAGTAATTTATTTAATTTTATTATCTTTTGTTGTTATTTTACACTAATATTGTACATTTGAAGGTTTTTTTTTTGTTTAAACGCGCTAGTCTCGGACTCTTTTGGTCGGAGTGAAGAAACAGTGTAAAAAAATGTTGCCCAAGTTATCTTTGAGGGGTTCTGTTTAGTGTTCTGTTAAAACGGTTAATAAAATCAAAAAATATAAAAGGAAAGAATGACTCCTCTTTAATCTAAACAAAACGTCCACGACATATGTATATCTTAAGATTACCTCCTAAGAACCATTTTTAGGGTAGTCAAATTAAGTCAAAATAAATGCATGATTATGTAATATTTGTTATAGTTGCCATAGTTCTAATAATTCAAAAATTTACTTATATAACAGGAGGGCAAAGTCGCGGGCAGTTAGTATATTTTTAAATAAAAAATACTTTTTCGCGTTTTTGCAACGGAAGTGATACTGAATCCAGGACGTAGGTGGGTAAAATTCACCCATAAATAAATGTCTACCTTACATACATAGAGAACGAGGCGAGGCAAAACTGCAGTATGTTTGGCGAGATTTAACACATAGATTAAATATTCTACAATAAAGTTACCTTTTCATCCTTCGTGCCCTTAATAATCATAAATTCTTTCTTAGCAGCAGCAAGCCGTCCATCTTTTAAATGGTAATACGGGGATTCCGGTACCCATAGACAACCTATACCATAGATAACGACAATAGATAATACTATGGAGTTAAGAGTTGTATAGGATACAAATGGTCCTATACCATACATGAGTAAACCGCCAGTATTCATCATTACTTGCACCAACATTCCGAGGCCCCCACGAATTTCTTTGTCTGATATTTCTGTTATATACACCATTGTGACCTGGAATAAAACGCGGCAATTTTTAACAAAGTTAGATTTTCCAGACTACAAATATTAAATCTAAATAGATTAACAATGTTTATTAAAAGAAGCTTATTTTTTATATTTTTAAATAAAAAGTTTAAGTTAAGTTGGGTTCGATGCCTGGTTACAGTACAAATATAACATTTTTTTTAAATCGATTTTAGATTGTAGAAGTTTCCGGAAGAACCGGAATCCACAGCGTTCCGTGTTGTTTCTCTAGCCAATTGCGCTACCGTATCCTACACGACATCGATTTTTTCAACCTTCATAGGTACAGGCACATCTCGCGCTATGTAATTTTAACTTTATAGTAACACTGAGGATCAATGTCCTATGCTTTGTAGCTTAAGAAAATCATTGAATATGAAAAAGAGATTTTGAGACGAGATCAGTCACCATTTGGAAGTTGGACCTAGGTATTTACCAATAGACTTTACTTTGTAGCTCGATAAGCACAATAGCTCAAAGTACAAGTAATGTTCTTATACTTTTTTAAGCAGATAAATGTCCTCTAAAAGAACCGTAATAGCAAAGACCTTCAATTTAGATGACTGCCTCTAGATTAGTTGTTGACGCTTTAACGTACAATTTCGTTATACACCCGAGTTTCAAATCAAAAACACTTCCTTGCCTGTGAATGTCGATAGCTGAAGATATCGATAGCGGGACTCAAACCCGCAACCATCATCAACAATGATACAAGCTGATTAGTTTATTTTTAACCTTAAAAAACCGTCAATAAAAATGAACACTATAACATGTTACAATATATATATATATATATTAATACTTGTGGTTAATTAGCCGACAAGTGTAACAGATAATATATTTTATAGTAAGTGGATTTGTAATTATAACAATAACATATATAAGCTCATACAATAGTATGTAATATTGTATATGAGCTTATTAAGATATTCGGAAATCCACAGACTGATACCGAAACGCGATTAAACTTCACAGCTTCTCCATCTGGGGACCATGATTCGTGACCCGGATGGAATTCCAACCACTCATCTAATATCAAGATTTCCAGAAAATCCAACAACAATTGATTGGAAACATGTTGGACCCGACGATTGAATGAAACCCGTCGATTATTAGACACAATTTGCTAACATAACGAGTCCGTCGACAACATTAATAATAAAGTAATTCAAACTTTATCCACGCGCCCAAATCTAACTTGAATGTAATATTTCTATTTCGTATAACAGAGTAACATTACCAATTGAAAAAAATATAAATCCACAATATAAAAAAAAATAACCTAATTGAAAATTTAGATATTCAAACGCCTAAATCATATTTATTTTTGTATAGAATTATTTGTTGCTGTGCTTACCACTGCTGTTATACCATTCCCCACTCCTATGGTAGCTCTTGCGATACACATAAGCCATGGTGCCTTGGTGAACAAAATGATTACCTGTTAAACAGATGATAAAATATAAGTGACTTTAAAATGAACGAATTGTTTATGTTACCAGGGACATAATATAAATATCGTCCTTGCCAGCGTTGATTTGTATCTCCCGAGGTCCAGGGTTTCTAATCCGAAGTCATAAGGTATACATAGTGTGGAAATCAAGCGTCGATCGCAGGTTCGAATCACGTCGAATTCACAATCAGCACAAAACTATTAAGATTTAAAACAAATTTAACCTACCGCACCTACAAATCCGGGCAGCACTGACGCGAGGATTGTTACGCGACGACCCACTTTCTCATTGAAAAGCTGTCCAAAATAACAACCAAGCAACGCGCCGAGTGGGCATAGTGCGACAACCCACGAGCTTTGTTCCTAATAGTGATAAAACGTATTAAATTGTTGAGCTAAATTAAAAACAAAAAACATTTAAATATTTAATACAACAAAAAATACTTTAATAACTGTTCAATTTAAATTATGATATGAATGAATAGTTTTCTTTAAAAGTTATCGCTTACTCAGAATTAGGTATAGCTGTGCCGTTTTATCGAAGTTACATGCTTTAATAATAGAACTGTAAATGTAATGTACAGTACTCATTTTAAAACATTACACTAACACAAGGAAATTGTTCTCAATTATAAATCTCTACAAACAATGACAAAGGATTTTTTATAATGGATGCTATGCAAATTAAATAAGTGATATTAACATACGTCGGTTATTTGAACATTCGCTTCTCCATTCCTGAACTTTGGAATTGCCGGCGATGGCCACGATAACACTGCCCCGGTGAATGTAAAAGCAAATGATACTGGATGAAAAAAATAACAATTAAGAAAATTTCAATTTAACATTCGATATTTAAATTTCGCGCCACTTACCGCATATTCCAGCCAAATATTGCACTCTTCTACTCGACGACTCGGGCAAAGAGCACATTTTGCAAATGAATTCTCGTAATTGTTTTAAATTACATTTAGATACATTTTGGCACCGTTTATGTACATTTGCATCAAACGAGATTCGTCATTCGCTCGCAGCTGTAACAGTGTGAACTGCGGCATAACAGGCGTGAGGCGATGTTAACGCTTATCGTAAACAGCTTAGTTGATGCTACGTCACTAGTATTATCAATTCTAACTTGTACGTTTGTATGAACTCTATAGACGTTAAGAGCAAAGTTAAAACAAACTAATATTCGCAGATTTCTGTTTGGCTGATCTATGCATTATTAAATCAGAAAATTCATATTATGAAATTTCCTTAAAACCTTCCTTTTAAAACTTAAAATGATAATATAAAGTAAAAAGTTTGTTTAATAAGAAACAGATATTCCATTAATTTAATATTATAACAGTATGCTTTGTTTTTTTTTTGAATGATTATTACGTATTGAGTCCCGACGGGACCTCGAATACTAACCGGGCGTTTGGAACAAGGGTGCCCCGAGGGGGGAGTAAATATGCGGATTTCTCTCAATCGCATAAGTCTTAATATTTATACAGGTTGTGACAATTATGATAAAATGGAATACCAAGCTTTGCATTAAAAATAATGTTATCTTTTTATTATTTCCTGTTCATTTGCCCATTCACAAAATAATTAATAATATATGAGTCTACTATTTTACATGACAGCAGATATCATAAAATATGGCATAGGATATAAAAATACCGCAATTGACATGCAAAAACATAGGAACCCTAAGAGAGAATTTAACTTAAATGTCATTTGGCATTTGAACTATAGTTTTTCTCAATTGACTTACTACCATTGGGTTAATTATACAAATATCATGTTCACTATAGGGCGGCAAAATTTTTGCATTTCCAACAATTATATTCTCTCCTGATTCTGACACGGGTAATAAGTTCTTCTCTAACCACAAAATTGTCTTTTGTTTCTTTTTCAAAATATCTTCTGCAATATTTTGTTCTGCGGTGGTATCTAGTACTAAGTCTGGTATCTCTTCCTGGACAGTAACATTTAAAATAGCATGGCCAGGTATCAGCACTTTCCTCTTATCTTCTTTTTGTAAAACATTCAGTACAATGCTGAAAATTAAGAATAACTATTAAGTGAATTTCTTAGGATAAGTCAAAAGATATGTATAATATTATAGTTTAGATTTTAAAGCATAAATCTTACCTATAATGTAGAGGATCTATTGACTCCAGGTAACCGGAATAAACAACATTCTTAAGTATCTCAACTTTGACATATTTAAAAAGTAAAGAAGAAAGGAAAACTGGATCTTCTTTTAAGGTATTAAAATCAGAACTTGCAGAATTTAAGTCATCCATTGTTGTCAGCTTTTACAAAAAATTTTAGCTGGCCCACGCCAAAACAATTATTATTTATTCGCCTATAATCATTATAGATTTAAGTTATCATAAAAACATTTTTAACAAAATAAATGTATAATCAATGTTTCTTTGGTTTAATGGTTTTGATCCTCGCTTGCTTTGTTGCATCCCTTTGAAGCTAAATTCTAAAAACTCACAATTGACAAACGACAATGTCTAAAAACCACAGTACCTACCATAAAGTTTTTAGTCTGTGAAAATACAACTTTTAACCGCAATAACGATTAATTTTACACCATTAATAATACTTGTACTCATATAATCAAGTTATAATATAAAAACTAACGTTTCTTCAAAAAAGCCGCGACGCATCCGAACCCACTGGTGGCCCGGGCCGCCAACTACACCGTTCCCGTCAACACACGCTGGAGAAGGCCGCGTAACGTTCTCTCCGATCTCGCTGACAACTTAACCACAGCCGTCGAAACCCTCGTCGCTACGCGATCGACCGGCACCGGTGCCGATCGCCCGCAAAACCGCCTACGCCGGCGTAGGCGAGGTCATTCGCTACGCGTACCGCTCACCCGGGTGAGCTTCCGTCCAGCTCCTCAAGCTCCCACCCGCATTGCGGCGGTCCAAGCCGAGGCCGTTGCCCCCCCTCGGGGCACCCTTGGTCTAGCCGCAAACACGGCGAGCGCTCTCGCGCTCGCCCAAAACGCCCGGTTAGTATTCGTGGCTCCATAGGAACACAATACGTAATAGTCCATTCAAAAAAAAAAAATAATAAAAACCAATATGCATAGAGTATGTATTAGAGAGTATCATTTTATTCCCTTTATTGATCGATGGTATTATGTTCATTCAAGTTTTTTTTTGCGACAGGTACGCTTTGAGCGCAAAAAATATATATTTTTTGTAGTCCAAGTTATTTATTGTACATAATACAAAACAGAGTGACTATAATAAATTTTTTACAAACATCATATTAAGATTGAATATAATTATCATACTAAAAAAGCATTATTATGATATATGTACAGTAATGTTAATTATTATTTCGTTGTTTCCCGAGGTCCCGAGGTCCCTTCTTCAAACTAGGGTTACAATTTTTGTTACTGGTGTTGGGACCCATAGGCCTTGAAACATGTGGACCAGGGCTTTTATGTCTATTAATGGGAGCCGGTCCCATCTTTGGATAATTTGACATTGGTCTATTCTGTTTATTTTTAACAAAATGAGAATTCCCTTCTCCTCCTGCACATTTGATCACACAGCGAAACTTAATATTTGAATCAGAAATGAAATGTGACATCATGTTTAGAGGCATAACTGCGCATTTTCCTTGGCGGAACACATCATTCGCATCAGTGGAATCACTAACACAGTGGTCAATATATGTAACCTTACGTGCTATGTTTTCTTGGCTTGTCACATGAATCTCATATATCTTCTGATGAGCAGATGTACGGGTGCCCATAAATTGAACAAGCCACAATCCTACCTTTTGCACTGTATCAATTTTAAAAGACAAAAAGAATATTTGTTTGTTAGATTGGAAAAGCAAGAAATGGCGACAATCATTGAACACTGACACATTTGGGATGATGATATCGGATGCAATATTGATGTTACTGTTTTGTGGATGACGCTCCTTAAAATGCGCCAGTAATTCCTTTAGTTTTCCTGAAAATAGAGAAACTATTAGGTTGCAGTACACAAGTACTTATATAAATATCAAACTAAATATATCTTCATAGTTAACCAGTTAATGAATGAGGAAAACCACAATATGGTGTCACACTGGTAACAGCAGTAATACCATTCCTTGGTTGGATACGAAACATGAAAAATCTATTAAAGCTTTCCACCAATGGCTGCGGCTGTTTTGCAGTTGCTGTTTGCAAACTTTTGTTTGTTGTGAAGTAACTAAGTCTACTTTTAATGTCTGAATATCACATCAGCAGGGCAAATTATGACTTGAATAATCTTACCAGACCAGGAACAAGTTCCAAATACTTTGCCTAAAGGACAGTTCAATTCCCTGAAGATGCACTCCTTGAGATGGTCCTCCAAACCCTCCAACTTAACATTGAATATGCACCCGAGTTGCTTGTTATGGCATGGCACTAAAGACTAAAACAAAATTTTTTATCATCATAAGCCTGCATCTGTTTAATTTAGTTTAATTGACTGTACTCATGTTAGTATTTTGAGGTAGCATTATACCTTATTAGATAAATTCTTACCTTTGATACTAACTCTTCCAGCTGCCAGTTTCTCATTTGCGTCATAGTTTGACGGCATAAGGGACAAATCGGTGGTCGCAATTTACTAGTGCACCTATTGCAAAGACTGTGCCCTGATTGGCATTGAAATATGGGTACGGTCATAGTCTGAACGCAAACTGGACATTCTGGAGCCTCCATACTAAATAATAAACACACTGAATTCTCGTATACTAAACAAAGAAATTGGAAGCGTTAGTCTACTGAAAGGTACACCGTTATAATAACATTCATGCATTTGAACGTCATTTATATATTAGTAAAAATAATAGGTTCAAGTTTGTTTGTTAGATCATTAATATCTCATTAAGCTTTACTAAGATAATGAATAACAATTAGTACATATTATACTATACCTGCAAGCAAAGGTGTGAACCAATAAATCACAAATATATAAAGTAATAAGTATGACCACGTCGAATCTTGATAAGGTATAGATAAAACCAGATAAGTGGTGGTTTATATTAACATAATAATCAGTGTATCGTAAGTGCATTAATTGATTTTGAAATTTAAACCCTGTTTGCTAATAATAAAGTACAGTTTTCTCAGTTCACTTTTTTTACCAATAAATTGCAGATAACTTCATAGGTGTTTGTAGCATTATCCGGGACTTCCCCAAAAATGTTTGTTGATCTCTACGAACTGATACTCTATGAATCGCCGTCTCTTATACTATGTATGTGCTGTGCTACGTTAGAATGGCAATTGTTTATTCTCACTTCTGGTGCATAGTTTACAAATTCAATCAAATAAATTCGTTCAAAATCATAAAATCACACTTTAACATTGTATAAACCTAGAATTTTTACCCTTACTATCAATAATTAGTTAACATCATCTACATGGTTGCCTGGAACAAATTGCTTTTTAGTGATAAGGCCACCTTTCCACATATTTTTACTTGGTGTGAATTAAGATAATTTTTGCTTGTTATTTTGATTAGACATTTAATTCCTGGAGATCATATGAAATACAAACCTTATTCATAATTCGTTTACTTTTTCTCTAATTACCGTATATAGTACAGGAACAATTTATTCAAATTATATTTTATAGTTATTCATATTATTTTTAAGATAAATGTTAGACAGATTTAATTTACATAGACAAGAAAGTTCAGCTTGTAATATTATATTCATACATAGTTACTTGCTCATTAAAACCTACTTCCAGAAGGATTTTTAGCAAAGTTGATTTAACCAAGTTAAAATAAAAGAAATTTTAATTTTTACTTTTTATTTCCTTAACCTAGTTCATTTCTTGGACTTTGCCTCCCTTGTAGCTTTCCTTTCAGCAGCCCGTGCCAATTGTTTTGCAGGTTTAAGGTTACCTTTCTTGCAGAATCTTTGATTCCTTAAGAACTTAGGGTCCATCTGAAAAAAATAAAATTACTTGTTGTTGTACATAAGTTTCTGAAAGAATGTATTATCTTGTTTTTTATCCTTTGAAATAAATGTATTCTAAAGTAAATCTAACAACAGTTACCACATATTTTAACACAGTATATTATTATATTCGAAAAAGATTAGTAGTATATCCCATAAGATAAAATAATAAATAAAAAACTTACACCAAGAGTAGATTCGTGTCTGAACTTTGTAGGTTTTTTAATTCCATTTCGGTGAGCTTTACGGTCTAAAATAAACAAACTATTAGTAAACCATTACTAATTTTATTGAAACTTAATTACAATTGAATTAAGCTTCCAAGAAATGCGGTCTAGTTTTTCTATCAACAACAAAATTAACTACTATTTACTCACTTTGGTTATGATTTGTGTGGTTCTTTGACTTTGCCATTTTGGTAAGATACTCAAACCTGGAATAGAAATATCAATAGATATTAACTATCGTGCACTAGAAATTGCAGTAACAACACACAATAAGCCAAATAATACTTGATTTCATTGATATTTTATGATATTAAAAACATTTATAAACAAAACCAACCTAAGTCAAACAGAAACTTCAAAATAAAGGACGTAACCGGCTGACAGCAAATCAAATGTCAATAATCTTTTATACTTTATAGTAGATCCCAGTCCACAGACGTTGTTAGGAATGAAGTATAAAATACATTTTGCAGACATGCCATGGTACCATGATGATTTACACGATTCTATCAGTTTCTTATAGTAACTTTAAAAGGACATTATTATGCAATGATTTTGCTTCTATTTTACTAATATGAAGGATTCATTTTTGCAGTTGTCAGTCTATACCTGAAAATACATTTTGCATCTGTAGTAACAGCTGACGTGTAGCCAGGCTATGTGAATAAATAGTATTTTCTTTCATGCAGAAATGTACTACTAATTAATTCTTATTTCGTTAATGAGATTTGTTCTCATTTCTGTATCCATTTATAATTAAGTGGCCATTTCGATATATCTTATCAAGATGGTCGTTTTGGAAGGGGATGGAGATACACAACCTATATCAACTGAAGAAGTAGATAAGTCTGATTCCAAGATTTCTAATTCATTATCATTAGAAAGTATCCTTTTAAAAGTACTCATATGTCATACGTATTTCAAATGCTTAAAAATCATAATTTAACATGCGTCAGTTGTTTTCCTCTTAAAAGCATTAAAACACCTATTAAATGAAAAATCGGAATGAATATAATTGTTATTATATACAAAGGTTATTTAAAATATAAGAATCCTCTTCAACCGAGGATTTCTAGACTAACAATTCTTTTTAATGTACATTACTAATTGCTCTAAAATGTTTATTACAAACTTATATCAAACACTGTATGTCTTGTATCATATTTTTTTTATTAGATTCAAAGATAATTTTACGATTATCATTTTAGTGTGGAATAATCAATATAAATGAACAACAACTATTTATATCTAATTTAATGAATTTTTACATAGAAACCTTAAAGTCAAAATACAGTCTTTCGCATCATCAAAGATGCCCAACAGCAGCATGGATTAAGACATGGTGATTATCAGAGGTACAGAGGATATTGTTCTCGTCGAATTAGGCGCTTACGGAAAGTTTTAAAAATACCACAGGTCAGATACAATGATTTTATTTTAATTATATGTAACCCAAATTGATTTTATGCTGCAAAATTTGCCTTAATATTTAGGCAATATTACATATATTTTTAATGTTGGCTAGACCAAGGATGTCCCAAGGTCTGCAATAGCCTCAATTGAGACCACTGCCACAAAATTATATTTAGGCCATGAACTTTTTTGGAAAACCTAAAATTTTTTTGTAAGGGGCATTGTTTAAATTAAAATTAATAAGCAATTAATACTATAATATATAATTATTATATGTAATGACAATGTTGTGAGACAATGAATTTTGTTTGCAGGGAGACAGACGCCATTACCGCAGGCGAGATATAACATCCAGTCATTTAACATCTGCAAATTCTGAAAATCGTCTGCTGTGTGTACCATTGCTACAAGCCGAGAGGGCCTGGGCTCATGCTATGCAACTGAGACAAGAAGCTAATACTGAGCCACGGAAGAAGTTTCATCTAATTTCCCGTTTGAAGAAAGCATGCTCCCATGCTCACATTCTCTTGCAGCTGTGCGAGGTGAGCTGGCAAATATGTTAAATCAAATGGTAATGGTTTACCATGAATATTAACTTAGGGTCAAAATTGCTATAACACTTGTTTGAAAATTTTATTTTTTAGCATGGTATTCACTTGATGGGAGGTAAAATACCCCACCATACTTTGGTTTTGGATATTTGGAAATCCACAGACTGGAACCAAAACGCGAATAAAATTCACCGTTTTTCATCTGTGGACGGTGGTTCGTGATTCGTACGGAATTCTCGATATTCTAACTATGCATTCAATATCCAGATTTCCAGACAAAGTGCCAGAGAAATTATATATTGAAAAATTTGAAACATGTTGGACAAGGTGGGGATTGAACCCATGACCGGTTGATTATGTTTTATTGTATTAATGTCCCGGTACATTGCTACCATTAGACCACCAATCCTTTCAAAAATTGCATTAATATTTGTACAGTCCTTTAGACTAGAGCTATATAATCGTATGGAGTTATTTTAAATGTTTTGTTTTAGGAAAGCGGTGTTTGCGATGCCCGTACGCAACTCGAAGCTGGGGCTTATGCGGCCTGGTTGAGTGGAGCTTTGTTGGTTGAATTGCAACAGTGGAGACCGGCAGCTGAGAGCCTCAAGCGAGCGCAGATTGTTCTTGAGAAGTTGTGTGCCGCCCTTCCGGAAGATGAACGCCTTGTCTATAAACAGAAGGTGATTGAAGTGATTGAAGAAGATATAAATTAATTTGTCACTTTTGGTATTCAATTTCTCTCCATTAGTTCCTGCAATAACAGCTATTAATCAATAGTTGGTACTTCAGAAATAGAAACCTCTTGTAAGAATAAAAACATACAATTTACAGTATAACATACATATAATAGATTTATTATTATTATTTTCTCTCGGGGACACCTGTGGTAGGACGGGTGATCAGTTCACACTATCAGCTGACCATTTCACCCATTTCCACCTTGTGGAGGTTTTGGGTCATCCAACTCTCCCCGTGTCCCCTTCAAACCTTCCAGTTTGCTTGCAGAATCTTATAATTTTTTCCATCTGTAATTCTTTGATCTCATCTTCTGTAATTTCGTCCGAACCCATATGTGTTTGTCTCAGCCTCGAGTATGCAGAGCATTCAGTGAGTAGATGGATGCTTGTTTCCTCACTTTCTCTGCACTCCGGACATAGGGGGTCGCTGCCTATTCCTATCATTGTAAGATGTCTGTTTAGACGGCAATGTCCTGTTATGATCTCTACGATGAGTCGGATGTTCGCTCTCGTTAATCTCATCAGGTTTTTGGTCTTCTTTTTGTCTAGGCTATGTATGAATATCTTCGACTGTCTCATTCCAGTCGAAGATGTCCATCTTTGGTTTGTTTCTTCTATGATTCTGTGCTCGATTATTCCCTTGGTTACTTTATGGGCTATCGGAAGTCTCGGTTCCGGCCCAATCAAGCTTTCATCGGCTCCTTCGCGAGCGAGTTCGTCCGCTCTCTCATTGCCAATATTTCCTTGGTGTCCGGGGACCCAGGCAATTGCCACTTCTACCTGATCAGTTAGTTTGTGCAGTGCTTTCTTGCATTCTTTGACAATAGCAGATGTTGTCTCTTCTTTGCATAGCGCTTTAAGTGCCGCCTGACTGTCACTGTAAATAGTAACACTTGACAGGGGTCTTAAGTGCCTGGCATATAATAGATTTACACTATACTAATATGATAAATACAAAAGTCTGTCTGTCTGTCGGCTTTAACTCTTAAACTACTTACCTGATCTAAATGACTTTTGGTACACAGATATTTGAGAGCCTGAGAAAGGTCATTATTAATGCGAAGAAAGGGTTGATATGGGATGAAAGTTTGTATGGAAATTCATGGTTTATGAAGCTAAAGCAATGTACTTTCTTCTTTGGCTTTTTGGGAATAGAGGTGGGAGTGAGTGTCGGAATGAGAGTGGTGTAGGAGTTAGAGTAGGAGTGATATGAGGTGAGAGTGTTGCGGAAAAGTAGCACTTACAACATAGATTGGCTCCCTTAAATGTGCCCTTACATAAACTAATAAATAGCCCTAAATAATTTAAAAATTCTACCCCTAATCACTATTCCACGCAGACGAAGTCGCGGGCACAGCTAGTAAACTAAAATAATAAAATAATTATACATATATTAGCCCACAACATTATAAAATAATAATTAATGACTATTTATTTTAAAACAAGAGATTTTTTAAATAATAACAAATAAATTTTCTATGTATAGGGTAATAACAAAAATATTTAAACAATACAGTATGTAATACCTTATTCATAATCTAGGTGGAAGAACTTAATCCAAGCCTCCGTTACTGCGCCTACAACATAGGCGATGAATCCGCTGCTGGTGATTTGGTTGCGATGCGCGGTCAAGGGCTGATTGAGAACTTGGACTCACTAATGGCTCAAGCAAAGTAAGAGTCACGTATCTATATAACCATAAAAATATATATAATATAGTGAAATCAGAATGTTGTGTCTACTCCATTCACAACTTATTATGGTCTATTATTTCTCCATGGGGTTCAAATCCAGGACCATTCTTTGTTAACGTGTAGCTTTATGTGATGAAGTACTGTTAAACAAAGGTTGTAATCTTATTTTCATTATTAATTATATTCATGATTAATTTCTTTCTTAAACATAAAATACCAAACCAATGTTGTGCCAACTTTTTTAGGGAGTCTCGTTCGGGAATCATGCATGAGGTCGAATGGCGCGGCCGTCGGGTCACCGTGCGACCAGAGAAAGTTCGCCTTTTCCTTATCGCACTCCAGGACATGGACAAGTCCATCGCTAACGCCACAACCATCCAGGCAAAAATTGATATCCTTGAAAACGTGCTCATGGACTGCAAAGACGCCATATCCGCTATAAAGGACGAGTTCAAAAACGATCCTAAGCTGAAGAGCTCCTCGGAGACCCAGATGTCGAGCATCAACTATCTGCTGTCGTACATGATGTATCTCCGTCTCGTTCGCACGATCGAGCGAAACAATCTGATGATTCAGCAAGCGGAGGAAGCGAAAAAGAACAACATCCCGATGGACGGTAAGAAGGTACGCCCGCAGGATTTGACCAGGCTATACGAGATCATTCTGCAAAACTACACGGAACTGCAGCAACTGCCAGGCTTCGAAAATGACGGTAGTTATCAGCAAGAAATTGAAATGGAACTAAAAGCGTACAAAGCTTTCCGTTGCTATTATATCGCGCAAGTGTTGACCGGTTTGAGACGGTTCAGGGAAGCGCTCGCTATGCTGGAGCGATGCAGCAGCTATGTGGCCGAATCCGTTAAGAATAAACACCTGGATAAGCGGATATTGGAGAAACTACGTAGTCTAGAGAAGGATATTGAGAGCTGCAAATTTGAAGTGCACGCGGATTCTGTTTTGGAAGATGAAGAGGACGACGAAGAAAATAAATACAGCGGCAAAGTCTACAAAGACAAGAAACCTTTGGTCGATCGTTTGGACGATTACCGCGAGGACACGCAAGTGCTCACCAAGAATCCAAACATTTACAAACTACCCCCGCCGATGGAGGCCGTCCCCTGCAAACCGTTGTTCTTCGACCTTGCGTGCAACTTTATCGAGTTCCCGAATTTGGAGGACAAAACCGGCGTCTCCAAGAAACAAGGTGCGGGTATCACGGGATTGGTTAAAGGTTTCCTTGGTTGGGGCAAGGGCGGTCAATGATACCAAGTGACGAGAGTTTGTAAGTCGGAGGTCTCCTATAAATGCCGAAGGTCGTATAGAAGTATACGCACTGTGGTAATCTTCCTCCCTTAGCGGCGTGTTCACCCAGGCAGATCCAGCCAACGGCGTTTATAAGATACCACAGCACAAGGGTATATATTACAAAATCATTCACATTTCTGGTTTGTTTTATTTGTCAATCGAGATTTTAAATAATAAAACTAAGGTTCTATTCAACAAAAAGTATATAACACAAAACTAAAAATTGTTCACCTGCAAACTTGCAAAGATACAAAAATAGTTAAATAATATATAATTATTTTACACTGTTCAACATGCTGATCGCATTCATTTGATAATCGCGATCGTTAATTTAGTATATACAAGTCTACTTATCGAGCTATATGCGGCAAATGTTGTAACAAAAATAAAAAAGTCAATCTAAAAGTAAGATTACGAATTGTAATAGAAATGGAAACATCAAGCGACTTAATCTTTTAGTACCCTTATTGAGTATACCTATGAACACAAGTCAACTGACCTCTGTTTTAAGTATAGAAAAAAATACATTGAACACTACGACACATATTAGCTATTGACTCGTAAATCATTCGTTCCTGGTATATGTACCATGATTCGGTCAGTAGGTCAGTGACACAAATGAAGTTTATCACAGTCTAACGCGCAGAGAGAGGGGGCCAATGGGCGGTGTCATGCGCAATGGAATCAGATGCTGCTATAACTTGTCCGCAAGTGGAACACACGTCCAGAGCAGGTATATTCTTCCCCACGACTAATTCCTGCTGCTTCGCTATATCCGGTAGAAGGGCGACGAGCTCCGGGAACACATCGTCGAATTTGTTGCCGAGGGCCGTTTTGCAGTGCTGGTAAAATTCGTCCGCGCTTATAATGCTATCTCGGAACGCCCGGGAGGCGACCTGAAAGAGAATTTAAACTTGTTTAATTATTTATTTCAATTGGTGAAACTTATAAATTTAAAATCAATCTTAGTTAAACTTTACGACACCGGCTGGAATTGAAACGGCATCCACGCCGTTACGTGCTGTTGCTCTAACTAAAACGTGCTGTTGCTTAACGTATCCTAAAGTTTTTTCGATCTATAATTGATTTATATAGTGCCATCATTTGCAATACATGTGGAAAATATTAAAGTTGATGAAACTTCCCAAATAATTTAAAGATTAAATAAAGCATGATATAGCAGGAGTTCAACCCAGTTTATGCATGTTGCATGTTCGATTTAGTACACATTTTGGTTCACTTGAGCGTTTCTAGGTTAACAAATTATAAGTATTGCTAAAGTTTGTTGTTACCTTGAAATCCTCAACAGCAGCGCCCGTGCCAAGGGCGGCAGCAAACTTCTTGACCAGCGCGTGATTTCGCTTCTCAAAATCCGTCGGCGGTATATACTTATGCACCGGCGCCGGGAACGTTTGTCCAGCGGAATTCGTAAACGTCATTCCGTCACACGGAGGCCGCTTTTTATAACCGGGTGGTATTGTCCCGTTCATATTCTTCACTTTGACCGGATCTTTTAACACTTTACTAACCGGTTCAGAAACCGGTTTCGAAATTAGCGGCGGGTCTCCCGATTTCGGATTCAGCGACGGAAACTCTTGGGATTTTAGAGCGAAGTCTCCGTTTCCGCGCGTGCTAGCGTTAACGGGTACGTCTGATACAGTTTTGATTTTTCTATCGGATTCACCGCTGCTGTTGTTGCTGTTCACGCTGGCGACTATATATTCATTTGCAACGCCGTTCTCTACCGGTTCTACAATTTCTTTCTTTCCGTTCTTCTTCTTTTTGCTCTTCTCGCTTTGATTGTTCGACGTCGGGGGAGCGGGTTGTGTTTGAGGTTTTGGCGTCTGTGGTTTTTGTGTCTGGGATTTTGGTGCCTGTGGTTTTTGAATCTGCGGTTGAGGCGAGGTCTGAGGTTGGGACTGTTTCTTTTTAGCTTTAGAATTGACCGGTAATGTAGGGAAATCAGCGACCGGGTTGAATGTTGGTTTAGGCGGGGTAACTGGCTCTTGAGTGCGGGACTTGGCTTTGTCTTTGGATTTGACTGTAATCCATTGAGGTGGGGCGGCGGGCGATGTAGAGGAACTTAGTGCGGGAAAGGCTTCGCTGTTGAGAGCCTGCTTTTTGGGATGCCTGCTTGGCTGACTGGCTTTCAAGGATCTCATTTCGTCACTGTTTACCAGTGTTACCTGAAACGGATAGCCAACGTGAACGTTGCGTTGCATGTTACAATATGGGACATAAATAAACATATAGACACTTGCTTCAAAACTAGATTTTTCTTTATAAAGAAGGAATCCGAAATCAAACTAACATTACATTGTAACTCATTCGTATTTTAAGATTTTTAAAGTGTAATTGAAATAAAAGTTTACTTAGTCTAAAAAAACTTGTATTGTTGTTAACCTTAGCAGGTTGGACAGTCCCAGCCCCAATGCTGGGATGATCATCTCTAGAAAGAGACGGGAAGTCATCGTCATTCAAAGGCTGCTTCTTTTGGGGAATCGTGATGCGGTTACCGCTAGTCTGAGTCAAACGAAAGTTGCTAGCGCTGGCTGGCTGGCTATGAACTTGAATGGACACAGAGGGATGTTTTGCTGAAAAAAAAAAACAATGTCTATAGAAACGGTTATTTTGTCTACAAGTGTCAAAGAAAGGATATCATTAAAAAACCATACAAGGCTTTCTATTTATTATCAATCAGGGTGGTCAAAAAACATCGCTCATTGGATTAAAGCTCAGTTTTGATAAACTGTCTTGGCATAAAACCAGTGCGAAGGCAATTGGTAATTGATACTTGGATATCATCGTGATATGCGAAAATGAACTTATTAAGATAGTATTCAACTATTCTTTGCCCAATCTTAATGACTATTTATTGTATGAAACTAAATGACCAAATCTTTCTCTTCATAAGAGCGTTGCGAGATGGGTGTCAAGTAATCAAACACTTCTTTACATCGCTTACGTTAAGTATAAACTTTTTTAAATGACGTTACATGTATCGACTTTCGCCAAAAGTTAAAATGAATAGATCTATTTAATATACGACACCATAAAGAGATCTCACAATTTCTAAGCACAGCAGCTGTGACTGGTCCATTAGCCTTAGGAGCGGAAGGACGGGATGTTCCGGAGCCGTCTAACGCTGGGAAGTTCTGTTCAGTACGTGCTAGGCCATCCGAACCTAAATGAATAACACCAGATACATAGTATCGTTAAATCATATTAACAAAAAGTGGTTACAGTATTTTCAGTATTAAAAAAATATTACACGCCTGGGACTTGAACTTACAACCAAGAACAAGGATTTAAAAAGCTATGAAAGCTCTTATGTCGACGACCTCTATATTTTTAATCATGCAAGTGTAATAGAGTGACTTAAAGTCTGTAGTTTACACGAGTTGTACACGTAAAACAAATTAACGGAAACCTGAAATAAAATCATATGCTTTAATAAAAACTATAGCAAAAATGTCTTTTCTAACTTGGCAAAGGACCACAACAAATATGACTGATTTCAAAATTGACCTTGATACTAAATACCACGGTAAACCTTTTATAGAGTGGAGTCATTGACACTGATGATACAGATATAAAGAACAAATGACTCAATATTCAAAATCAGTTTTTCTTTATTATTTTTTTATGTCAATACTATTTAACTTGTCGTTTGTAACGATTCTCGGCGAAAGTGCTAAATTGGGACTTCTACCTTCTATTCTGACTTTGTTTACCAAAAACGCCAATTTAGAAAAAATACACTTTACCTACTTAGTTTTACCTATTAAACGCTTCTTGAGTTTTATTAATAACATCTAAATTCAGTGCCCATAAAGAATTTAAATGACCTCTATAAAGACGCGCGGCTCCAGCAATGAGCTGCGGTGGAGCGGGCGCAGCGGCGGACAACCTCGGAAACTGCTCATCGCTGGCTGGGTCAATGCGGGGGGCGACTGGAGCGGGCGGAGGTGAAGGAGATCGCTCAATCCTTTCTCTATTTATACCCCAAAATTGTGTCAAAATAAAAGTTAAGTAAAATTATTATTATTAAGTAAAATCTTTGACTAAATAAATACTGAAAAACATAATGAAAAAAAAAACTACGACCTTCAACCACAGGATTATAGAGCCTAAGTAAAAAAAAACATTGTCTGTACCTAGTGACTCTCTGGACGACAGCTGTTGGGTGTGGTGTAATGTTGAATTGAAGCTCCAAGGTCCGCGCCTGTCTGGCCGCTCCGCGATTCATACCTCGTCCATGTACCGTTGCCTTGTGGGCTATAATTATTTAATAACTTTAAAATGTCACAAATATCATATGAAAAAGAAATTAATAGAAACGCGTCAGATTAACACAAAGGATAAGTAAAAAACAGGAAAGAGATATATTTATACTCTCCTCATAAATTCAAAAATTCAAGTTTTAATATCAACTCGAGATTAAATAGACATTACTTCTTATACCCTCCTCGATGACGTCATCTCAGTATTCTTCTAGCGACACATAGTTATTACCTTTGAGATCAATTTCGCTTCGGAAAACAGCGGTAAGATGCTGTCCCGCGCACTCGCCCTCCTCGCAGAGGAAATGCTCGGTCCGGAAGTGATGCGCAAGAGTCGCATGCGACGGGTAGTAAAGGTTACGTCCATCCACGTCGCACAGGTGACAATAGAGGTGTTCCTTTCGTAAGTGACGATACAGCTCGTCAGCGTCCATGAAGCGCTCTTCACAGAACTCACAAAGAGGGTGGCCTCTGTAATGTTTATTTTTATTAAATAAGACACTTTTGTATAATCTGTGTGTTTGCATCAGCCATGGTCACAGGGGGGTTCCCCTACATATAAACAAGTAAAATATTTCAAGTTAAAGTCAATAGAAGTTTTTTTTTATGCAGTCACGATAATTCGTACGCGATAAGGATATAATTTTATTATTTATATTTTAGAAACATGTAGCAAAAATCAAAGATTTAAAATAATGAGTTACAGGAAGAATATTTAAATAGATACTATTATCATAACAATTGTATTATAAGCACACACTTATAAGAAAACAAGATACAAATAAAATAAATAAGTACATAAATTCAACCTCAGACTTTTTGAAAGAAGAAATGATTAATAAAGTAAGGTCTTAAATCAATTATAACACAGTTTCTGTGTGTGAGGGATTAATTAGGACACTGTTCAATGACACAAATTCTTGATTTTCCTTATCTAAATGGTTCAGGCACATATTAAAGCGACTCCCATAAGTTACCTACGTAGTAACAATCTTATTTTTTAATTTATAAACCTTAAAATAGAACATCGCTTTAAAAGGTCCTTGCAAAGTACTATATAATAACTACTGATTATTATGCAACATTTAATATTGCACAATATTTCAACAAACATGTTAATTTATTAATAGTGGTATTAATTAATCATTACTTAAATGGATACTGTCTATAGTTTACGCGAGTAGTACACATTTAAATAAAACACTTTAACAGTTTAAAACCGACGTTTCGGATGCTTTGCAGCAGCCGTGGTCACGGGGATAAACGTCGGGCCGAAGTTAAAAATCATTTTCAAATAAGTTTAACTAATATATCGCGTTTTAAACCGTTAAAGTGTTTTATTTAAACATTACTTAAAATGTCTTAATACACTAGCATTTTATGAATCAAATTATTAAACATAGTGTATAGGAATGGACAGATGTTTTGACACATGCAAATATTTGATGTTGATATTATAAACATGGAATTTTGGTAACACAATGGTTACAATACATTAGACATTTGATGTTGCAAAGCAATGAGATATGATATCTTTCTTGTTTCAAATTAAACCACATACTAAAATACATTAACTATTTTATTTTTCTATTTTCATAATATAAAACAGAAAAATATTAATACTAGATGTGTACTTTAGTTAGGTTGGTATAATGATAAAGTAACTTACTTTCTATAATATAATAATAATAAAGATATCTAATCTGTCACAGTTTGACATGCAGAACTCACCTATGTGATGTATCATCAAGATCGCCTTTTCGCCGGTGATGAGCCAACTCCTGACGAGTGTAGCACTTTCTTTCACTGGTGAAAATCTGAAGATTACCATACATTTTTATATTCAAAATGGTACTTATATAGGTAATAATTGAACTAAACATAAAAAAAAGGTGTATAATTTATATGTTTTGCCTAAAACAACCATTCAGACTAGAACTTTAAGCTTATTTGGCTTGTTTATGTTTGTTTGTTGTTGTTGAAATTTGTTTGAGTATATATATTGCTAGTTATTCACACTTACCCTCAAATGCTTAACACAGAGGTCACAGAAGTATCTCTCATGCACCTTTCTCATGTGATCACTTAGCATATTGAAAGTACGGAACGGTGGTATGTTATCGCAGAGTTTACATTGATTTTCTAGCAGTATTTCATAAGCTCTCTTAATTTCTTCACTGCAGAACCCTATTTTGAACTGTCTCTCAAAGAGTCTATCAGTGAACACTTTATTCCGTAGCTCCTTATAGGGTTTTATAGTTTCGGTAAAGACCACCTGCAATAGACTGATAATTAGTAAGAAAAGTTTCATGGGGAATATAAATATGTACTTTAAAGCATCGTATTTCATACACACGTAGTTTAAATGAATGTGACTTTAAATTTTAAGTTACCTTTGCAAGATCTTGACGACAAATAGGGCATTCGTTTTGTACACACAGGACCCTCATACGAGTGGAGCACTCGAAGCATACAGGATGGTCACACTCTCCAATAGAGTAGTACACCACCGTCTTGAAGCATACTACACACGTAGTATTGTCGTTTGCTTGTGAATCAGCCATGGTCTCCACAACTGTTTCTAAAATCGAACAGTATGTGCATTATTACAAGGGTACACTATACACTCCTGTTTCGTTACCGCAAAGAAAAACCTACCAAACGTAGTAAAAGGCTGGAAATTGAAAATGATACGGCAACAAGAGCCCTATTGAGCAACTGTGCTAAAAAGTTTGAAAATTAAATACGACGAAAATTTCGGACCTCGCTCACCCTCGCTCAAATGGTGAAGTTTCGTAGGAAAGTGTCGTTGACAGTTTATTGCCGTGTGTACTGTCAAGTGTCAATGTATTTTTTTTCATCATAATAAAATAAAAAGCCTTGAAACATGCCTTTTTTGCAAAGTCTGAAATTATATCAAGCAAAAACATTTAGTATTTATTGAGACAAAGAGGGTCGTTAATGGCGGTAGATTAATTGTAGAGAGAAGCAGCATAAACGCTGAGGACGTCGGTTAAAGTTCCGCCGGTGTAGTGATTTTTTAATCCTCCTAAAAAATTTTTATATAATTTCATTATATGCAATAACAAGTACAACATTTAAAAAATAAAAAAAAGTTTTAAAACTAATATTGAGGAAAATAATAACATGTCAATACATTAGACTTTTTTTAATTTCACGGATGAATAATGAAAATTCTAGTTTAATATATAATGGTGATGGTTAAATTGCTTGATTGCTGTTTGTTTTGTCAATCGATAACATGAGAGAAATAGAATACAAAAAATATTAGGAAAATACAAAATGATTTGGTTTAGCACAATCTATGGCTACATTCTTGGTGTTTATGGAAATTGAGTACCTGTAACACTACGATGTCTGTGACTTTTATCTGCAGTTGATTTCAGTTACAATTTTAAAATCTGTTGAAATTGTGATAGACATTAGACGAAGATTTGTTGAGTCGTTATTTTAAAAACGCTATACTTCAATTATGTGCAAAACCTAAAGATCAATATTGTTAAACTACATGGAAGATTCGTGTGCTTACTATGTTTTCTCGCTTATTATTTAATACTCATTTTATGAGATCAGTGGAGTGACTAGTGATACCTTGATATTTAAAACAAAATGTTTTTTCAGGTAAGTTGTTCCACTAAAGATTACAAGATTACACAACATCCAGCTTTAAGAAAATAACACTATGGATTTAAATGTTCTGTATCCCAAATCTTTTTCAGATCGAAAATACACCTGAGCGGATTAGAAAAGAACGCAAACCCAAAACCGTTCTTCAAACATCACCGAAAGATGAAATTCCACGTCTTACATTAGCTCCATTTTCAAGACCACCTAAAGTTATTTTTGAGAATGTTGTCGTTGGTACATCGTGTGAAAAATATTTGGAACTGTTTAATCCCTCCAAAGAAATACAAGAGGTATGCTAAATATTAATACATTATAATAATTTAAAAAAAAATAAATTGAAAAAATTTTCGACTCGCAGGACTTGAACCGGCATCGTCAGCTTTCCGTGCTGTTGCTCTACCAATTGAGCTACCGAGTCCTACACCCGCTCGTCGAATTTTTCAACTTATTGATACATGCACCTTTAACGCCGCACAATTTTTCTTCCCTCCCCCCTCCCTTTTTTCGCAATGTCACAATTTTTAATGTCACAATTGTCGAAATTACATTCCGAGAGGTGCATGTATCAATAAGTTGAAAAAATTCGACGATGAGGTGTAGGACTCGGTAGCTAATTGGTAGAGAACAGCACGGAAAGCTGACGATGCGGTTCAAGTCCTCCGATAAAATTTTTTCAATTTATTTTCGATTTTTAAATTATATAGTGCCTTTATTCAATACATGTAAAAATATTAATGTTTACAATTATAATGTTCGTTTCTCTCATGATAATTATACATTTATAAGCTACTTATTATTAAATCTTGTATTATATTTATGTGAGTATCGCCAATGTAATTCATTTATTCAATCTAGGATTTAAACTCATGGTCAATAATAAGCATAAATAATAAGGATAGTAATAGCATGTTTGAACATATTATACTATATTCTTATATTCTACCCTTTTAAAACAATTATAAAGCACATGTTTTCTTTAAATTTATATTAATATTATAAATGCAAAAGTAACTCTGTCTGTCTGTCCGGCTTTCACTCTGAAACTACTGAACTGATTTAAATGAAATTTGGTACACAGATATTTTAGAGCCTAAGAAAGGACATAGGCCTAGGACTTTTTTTATAGCAAGTTAAGGTTGATAGGGGTTGAAAAAGGGGATGAAAGTTTGTATAGAACTTCTTGGTTTTTGAAGTTACAACATTGAATCTATCTTTGGCTTTATGGGAATAGGAGTGGAAGTGAGTGTAGGAATGAGAGTGGGAGATAGAGTAGGAGTGATGTGAGGTGAGAGTGTTGCAGCAAAGAAGCACTTACAATATAGATTGCCTTCCCTAAATGCGCTCTGACATAAATTAATAAACAGCCTGAATAATTAAAAATTCTATACTAAGTCACTATTCCATATAGACGAAGTTGGGGGCACAGCTAGTTATCCATAAATTAGACCATAGTATTAATTTTTTTATGAAAAATTTCAGATCACATTAAAAGCCACACTACCTGGTCTTTATGTTGATTTGCCTCAGGGCTGTGTTGCTTTGGATCCACAATCATGCTACTGTATAACCCTGGTTTGGACACCATTGGAAGTAATTGCTCTTCGAGAGACATTAAGGTTTACAAATGAGAAAAGAGGCAGATTCGATGTTATTGTTGTCCTTAAATCGATTTTGGTGAGAATGATGTACAATTATACATTCATAGTGAATTGTTTCTTTTTTTTTCATTTAATTTGCTTTATCTCTGTATTTTCTTGTCATATTTATAAGTTGTTATAGTCTGAAGTGCTTTGCCATACGGTTACGTTTTAAATTTGTATCATTGTTATGTTATTTCAGACTTTCCTAAATGAGGATTTCATTTTTATAATTTCTTCTATTACAGCCTGGAAAAAACAAAATAAAGGGCTTCAAGACTTCCCCTGGTAGAATCAAGAAAAAGACATTAAAAAAATCACCAGGAAATATATCAAAGAAGAAAGTTAAAGTTTTTAATACAACAAATGAAGTTACAAAAGTAAAAATTGTGCAGTCAACCAAGCTGTCAAGTCAATGCAATATCACTGCATATAAAAGCCCAGAGAATCCTTTTGAAGCAAATTATGACAGTAATTTTACTTTCAACAGTTCTGAGGTTTTTGCAAATAGAATCAAACCTGATAATGACTTCTACCTTCATAGGACATATGATAAAGCCACCTTGAACAACTTGGAAGCCTCTACATGCATGCTGAAGGAGTCAAACAGACAGAATACTTCGGCAACTGACTTGTTTGATAATTTAACTTTTACACCATTAAAAAGTGTTCAGAGTAAAACTGAGAAATTAGAAAAGGGTCCTAACATAGTATTTAGCATTAACTCAGACAGCAACTATGACAGTTTAGAGACTAGTGACTCAAATAAAGAAAATGAGACTCATTCAATCATGTGCATAACATCAACACATACCAATGAAAATAGATGGTTGACTGTGGATAACTATACAAGGCTTAACCAATACATAGAAAATGAAACACCAAAAATGATAGCCAAGAAAGTACCTCAAACATCATCTCCGAAGGATTTAAACAGTCCCAACTTCTCCATTAATACAGACTACTCACGCATAAGCGACTTGTCGTTCTTCCCTCAAAGATTTTCGACAGAAAGAAAACCACTATCAAAACTCAATTATGAAATCTCTGAAGATGATCAGAATATTAAGATAATTACAGATACATATATAAAGGAGTCTCCGCTCGAAAATCATATAAATCAAGTAGAAGCTCGCCAGCCATTTTCAAACAAGGAGCCGCGCTTTTGTAAACAAGCTTTATTCAAAGAGCAGGAGAACAGGAACAACTTTGAACGGAATCATTATCGTCTAGATCACAACTTGTGGCAACATGATGTTAAATCAGAAAATAGATCTCCACCAAGATCAATTACTCCTCCTCTACAATCTATTCCAGAAGAAAGTATTCATCTATCTGATACACAAACGTTTGACAAAAGTACTCGAGACACAGAAACATTTTCAATAAATCGGACATACAATAAGAATGACAAGTCAATAATGAAGCAGAGTTTATGGTCCAAAAAGGCAGTAGTTAAATCTAAAGGCCCTCCATCGATCAGAGAATCTTTTTGTACTACAAATCATACTTTTGTATCCAACAAAAGTGTCCAAAATATTTCTCTAGGTTACATACCTAACGCTTATTCTCAATCTCTTATTATTAATCCTTTCTCATCTTGCACCCAGTTCTATGATGAAGCTCTCATTAAAAAATTCGAAAAAGAATTCAAACGTTGGCTTAATTATATATTGACACCTCCCGATCTCGAGAGTAACATTGAACAAAAAATTGACATTGGCAAGGTGTGGATTGAGAGCAGGAATACTGAAGTGCCAACAGCTCCTACAAAAGAGAAAGTTTGTAGTTCTTATCATAACAGCAGTCGCTTGGAAAGCCTCAGGAAATCCGCTAGAACATTACTAAAATCCCCAGAGATGTGTGAAGTGCTTAGAAAATTAAATGCACAAATTGACAAGAAATTAATTTGCATCAGAGACGACAGGAACTTGCACCTCGATGTTGGTCTTCAAAAGACGATTATGGAAATCATACTGTCATATAACCCTCTTTGGCTTCGATTGGGTTTAGAAGTTATTTATAATTTAGTACTACCTTTGAAATCCAATAGTGATATTGAAGGAATAACCACATTCATAGTTCAGAGGATGTTTAAAAATCCATTCTTGAAGAACAAAAACGCTAAATCTACAGCAGCACCAAACATTTTGCTTCCCGCTTACATAGAGGCGATAAAAAAATTCACCTTAAAGAAGTTTTTCTCATTGGTTTACTTCTTAGACCAAGCTAAGCAAAAAAAGATAATTTCGCACGATCCTTGCTTGTTTTGCCGAAATGCAGTATGTAAAGAAAGCAGACAGATTTTGATTAGATTTACAAGGGAACTTATAGCTGGAATAGGCGATATTACAAGACATTTGCGGCCCACCGGCTATGTCGTTGTACACAAGCAGACCTATATCGACGAATACAAGTATGGTGTAAACGATATAGCCATCGATCTCAGAGACGGGGTCCGTTTGACAAAAGTCTCCGAAATTATTTTGCTGAAGGATAATTTGATAAAACAGTTACGCGCTCCGGCGATATCGCGACTTCAGAAGATACATAACGTGGAAGTAGCATTGAAAGCTCTAAGGGGAGAAAACTTCGAGATCGAAGGTGAAATAACTGCAACCGACATCGCAGACGGTCACCGAGAGAAAACTTTGTCTCTACTATGGCAATTGATTCACGTGTTTCGTGCTCCGCTATTCCAGAAAGCCGCTAACGTGATACAGATCTGGTGGCGTAAGAAATACGACGTCATTCTCGAGAAGCGTATGATAGAAGAGAAAGAGTTAAGAAGGAAGCACACCGCAGCAGGTATTATTCAATTCTGGTGGAGGCAAATACAGAATAAGCGTAGATATGAAAAGAGATTGTACGAGGTCACCCGAGCGACGATAACTTTGCAAAAGTTCTGTCGCATGTGGCTTTGTAAAACGCGTCTTCGTCGTTACAAACAGAGCGTATTAGTAATAGAAACGTGGTACAGAAGTATGAAATTAATGCAAGCAGCAAAACAGATATTGCGAGAGAAAAAAGAAGAGCGGAAACTTAAATCTGCGATAATCATTCAGACATGTTTTCGGCGATGGATTTGCTTGAAAAGGTATCGAAGTATCGTCAACGGTGTCGTAAAAATTCAAACGGCGTTTAGGCGTTATTCAGCCAGAAAACGATATATTCAACTACGAAACTACGCAATTGTAATTCAAAGTAGGTTCAGAAATGTTCTGTTGACTAGAAAACTGCTAAAGCGTTATGCAGAACTTAAAAAAGCAACTATTATTATACAAAGACAATATAGAGCGCAAGTTGCAATGAAGCAGTCTAGGAAAAATTACACTGAGCTAAGGAACGCAGTAATCGCGATACAGAATCGTTACAGAGCCCAAAAACTCATGAAAATCGAAAGGACTAGATTTGAGCTATTGAAACATTCATGTGTAACCATTCAAAGGCATTTACGCGCATATCGTTTAGGCAAAGAAACGCGGAGTGCCTTCCTAACTAAGCGACATGCGGCTATCCTAATCCAAAACTGGTATAGATCTCAAAAGGCCAGAATATCATTTAAACGCCTGAAACAAGCTGTAATAATAGTACAGCGTCGGTATAGAGCTCAAATACTCATGAAATCTGAAAGATCAAAGTACAATATTTTAAAACACTCTTGCACTGTTATTCAAACGTACTTCAGGGCGTATCGTCTAGGTAAAGCAACAAGGAAAGTGTTCTTGGAACAAAGAACTGCTGTAATCAAAATCCAGAACTGGTACAGGACACAACATATTAGAAGTGAATACAAAGAGCTAAAAGAAGCTGTTATAACCATTCAACGTCGTTATAGGGCGCAAAGAAAAATGCACGAAGAGAGATCGAAATACTTGCTATTAAAGAAGTCGTGTGTAGCAATTCAACGGTTTTACAGAGCATACCAGTTAGGTAAGGAGATTCGAACGCAGTATTTGAAACAAACTAATGCAGTATTAAAAATACAAGACTGGTATAGAAGTAGCAAAATGAGCCAAAAGGCAAGACACGCCTTTTTATGCCTCAAACAGGCAGTTATAAAGATTCAGCATCGGTTTAGAGCGTACAGGCAAATGTCTATAGAGAGGACCAAATTTGAACTCGTAAAGCGATCTTGTCTAACTATTCAAAGGTACTTTCGGGCATTTAAATTACGCGTCCAAGTACGGTCTATATATCTGGAGAAGAGAAATGCAGCCATGAAGATACAAGCTTGGTATAGGAGTTGTAAAAACGGGCAGCGAATAAAGCAAGAATACAATTGTACAAAGCGTGCGATAATATTGATCCAGCGTCGCTATCGGGCACAGAAGAAAATGCAATTGGAGAGGGCAAGATTTGAGTCACTCAAGTCGTCGTGTATTACTATTCAAAGATATTACCGCGCGTACAGATTGGGTAAGGAGACACAAAAATGGTATATGCGGCAAAGAAGTGCCGCTGTTAAAATTCAAAAGTGGTATAGAAATTGCAAGAAAGGACAAATAGCTTTATGGGAGTACCAGAAAACCAAAAAAGCTTGTATCACTATCCAAAAAATTTACCGCAGCTACTTAATTACAAAGCGACAACGGAAAGAATACTTAAGAATTAAAATGGCCACCGTTTGCGTTCAAAAATATTATCGGTGTTATAAACAAGCTAAAATCATTAGGCAATGTTATGTAGAATTGAAAACTACCGTCATATATGTGCAACGGAAATTTAGAGCGCTCCAAGCTATGAAAAAAGCTAGGAATCAATATTTGTTAGAAAAGAAATCTGCTAGCACAATACAAAGACGCTTCAGGGCTTTACGTTCCATGCGGATCCTGAGGAAAGAATATTTATTGAAACGAACGGCTGCGATAGTAATACAACAGAAGTTCCGAGCCTATTGCCTAATGAGACAGCAGAGAAAACAGTTCTTAATAGCTAAAATAGCCTGTATACGAATTCAGAGGTTTTACCGAGCGGTTGTAACAGGACGGCGTGAAAGACAAAAATATTTGACTGTTAAAAATGCTGCTATCACAATGCAAACGAGATTCAGAGCATTGATGCAAATGAGGAGAGAAAGAACAGCATTTATAGCTAAAAGAAAAGCAGCCATCATAGTTCAAGAACGATACAGAGCTCACAAATTGATGATCCAACAAAAATGTGTGTACAAGACCACGCTTGAAGCCTGCGTTTTGATTCAGAGAAAGTATAGGGCTTACATCCTCGCTAAAAAAGAAAGAGCAAAGTATTTAAAGCTAAAATATACTATAGCAGCTTTACAAAAGTGGTACAGATCCGTACTTGAAACGAGAAAGAGACGGCAGGAGTATTTGATCTTGCGAGAAAAAGTTATCGTGTTACAATCATTTTTCCGAATGGCCATCATTCGGAAGCAGTACCATGAAAGACGTGAGGCGATATTAAAAATACAGCGTCATTACAGACTGTTTTTGTCGATGAAAACGCAAAGGTCACGTTTCCTTGAAATGAAGAGCAGCATTACAAAGATACAGGCTCAAGTGCGCGGTTTTCTTCAAAAGAGGAAATTCCAACAGATTAAAGCTGCAGTGGTACTAATTCAGTGTGCCTACCGTCTAAAGCAAACTAGACAATTGATACTTCAAAATAAAAGAGGAAAGGCTGCTTTGTGCATACAGAAAAACACACGGAGATATCTTGCCCAGATAAAATATGAGAGATGCAGGCAAAAGATCATATTCATTCAAAGGTGGTGGAAAGCATTACTTCTGACAAAACAAATGCGTAATGACTATTTGCGCAAGAGAGACGCAATAACGAAAATACAGGCGTTATCAAGGGGGTATTTAGTTAGGAAGCAAGTGGAAAGCAAGAAAGAGAATTTAAAGAAGGAAAGAGAAGAGAGGAGACGTAATTGGGCAGCGGCTAGGATTCAGGTGAGCATCAACGAAACAATATCTCAATCTGAAAATAAGTAAAATTATTGTTTGTTTTCTACTCAATTTAATGCTTTCTAACTCATTTAAAACAGATATTATAATTTAATAGTGCAGAATTCTTGGTAGATATTTTAAACAACTGTCAGACTTTTCAAAATCTATAACAACTTGGTCTATTCTAGGCGTTCTTCCGCGGTGTTAAAGTACGCAAAGCCAGCAACAAATACGTTACCGCTTTACGTAAACGATGGCGGGAGGGAAAGCTTGTATCTACACAGAGGACACTAGCGGAAAGGGCGGAAGAAGCTTTGTATATCTTAAATAGTAATATGGACATTCCGGCTGTTCTCGACGCGTTTACTGTTCTTGGTAAGTATATTATTGTTATTTATAACAGAGGACTACACAGAAGCAGAAATCTTTTGCAGCAGAAAGCAATTGCAAAGAATATCTACTGCTTTTTACTTTGGACATAATGTTTAGTAAACCTAATAAGATTATACACCTATCTACGATCAGACTAACACGATCAGACCTAAGATCAGACATATATTTCTGTCTGAAACCGGCCTTTTTTTTCATTTTAGACAATGTAGAGTGTTAGACATAACATGTTAACACAACACTTTTAAAACGGAGTTGCAACGACTTATTTATTTGTCGGTTGAAAATATGTATTATCTAAAATCTATATTTATTAAGTTACTTTTAGATAACCATTAAAGAAATTTAAATATAGATATTTTCCTTATCCATATTGTATCTGCGTATTCTTTGTTACAGAACAAACCACAGTTCTGTGGCCACAGAAATATGCTGTTAAAGCTGGTCTATTGGTTCACAATGTGTTCGGCTTTATGGCTGCCACGAATCGTTCGTTATCAAGCATTGAAGTTCTCACTAGAGGAGCTACCTTCCTTGTTAATATGACTAGGTACCATATAACTGGGCCAAAGTTGTATCAGGTAATATCTATGTGTGTAATTGTGAATCTGATGGGTACTAAGTTTTATTAAGATATGACATGACTAATATAGCAAGGCAACATTGCAAGGTTATTTCGCTAAATTGGGGTTTAGGCGCGCAATTTAACTTTTGGATTTTTAATTTCATATATTTCAGAATTCAAAAACACTACTTTATGGGGTTTCTTTAAAAACCCCCAATAAAAGTACAATTTAAAACTCAGTCAATATAGTATTAGTATATAAAAAAATGTTTATATTATTAATGGTTTACTGTTAACTATTCAAACTGTTTGTTCTACAGAGAGATCGCGTTTCCGCTGTTCTGAAGTACATGTGGCGCTTTAGTACAACGGAACCGAACTTGTTCTGTCGACTGGCGACTTATCTGTGGCTTTTCGCAAAATACGAAAATACCAAAAAGGTAAGAGTTTCTTAAAATTTGTGACAAAAAAGTTTCGTCTCATTATAACAACTAGTTCTATCGATTTTATTTAATGTTGTCCAGCATTCCGTACATCACAATAAAGAAAATCTTTTGGCTACAATATTTTGCTACCCGATTTTCGGGGCCGTAGCTATTCTCCTGTGTTTAAAATCTTGTTTAAAATCTTCTTTAATTTTCAATAGAGTCAAAGACTCTATTGAAAATTTAAACCTTAATAAGATGCAATAGTTGTATAAATGTTTCAGGACCTAAAGGAGTTTCTAAATGAACCAGACAATCATAAAATGCTATTAGCAATAAAGAACAACATAGGAAGGATGAAGAAGATGGCATCTAACTCTATGAAATACAAGCTCAGTACATCACAACCATCGCGGAAAATGTCTCTACCCTCACGTAACACAGATAGGTCGAGCCTCAACATAAGTGTCTGTAGTAATGTGAGTATGTCGTGTAGTGTTCGTAACAAGAATGCAATCACTCTACCCTTGCTGGAACCTGATTATGGGATTGATAGACCGGGGACATTAAGATACTTTGAGGACCCTCAACAAGCTATAGATTGCTTATTTGTGACATATGATCTATAGGTTACTGTTCTTAGTTATTATAATAAATAGGCTTATTGTACGTTTGACTCAATTGATTGATATGAAAATGCCAGAACTAGGAGCATATCTTTGTGACTCAGTAGTTATGAATTTGCAACATATAGTAATAATTATTAATAACATTATTAACAACTATATATTATATAATTGTTAATCAACAAAAGCCATTGCTCAGTTACGTGACGTGAGTGTCGTTAAGAATACTATTGTTAGACGACGCTTTGATAAGGTCCTTTGATCTAAGTTGTTATATTTTTTCATTTATAATATTCATTATGCTGGACATTTGATGTATTTCTGTTTTTCTTGTATTACGTTTTACTAGTAATTAATATACTTATTATTATTCTGATTATCTAAAATCATGAAACTGGACCACTATTAGAAAGGACCTAATATTTATAATAATTGTTTCATAACTCTTCCGTTTATGTATTCTAAGTTTGTTTAATAAATGTGAATTTAATATATTTTTAAACATTGGTTTTAATTTCGTCAGCCTAATAAACCAGACTAACTTATATTCTAAGTTATATCATTAAATAAAAAATTGCAGTCATTCGCAAGTGAAGGTGTTGTGGGTGAGAGCTTGAAGAGCTAAATCCGGATAACGCTGGATCTTGAAGTTAACTTTGGCTGCGAAGGTGGGTTAATTAGTTTCACAGACAATCAAAGACTGGACGAGCGGATCGCATGGACGACCGGGTCGGCGTGTTGTGTTTCGAGCAGACTTAAACCATATTGTATTGTTTAAAAGTTGCACAACGATTCATTATAAGTACGATTCGTGAACCTATCACGATAGGCAAAACACTGATAGAACACGATAGTCTATGTATTTTATTGACAAATGATATTATCTGTCCGTTTCTAGACAGGTATTGACATTGACAATCTCTAGCTTGATATTTTTATTGCCGCACCGTGCACGCCTAAGTTTTCTATTTACTTTTCAAGTAACATTTTTAATTTTAAAAACAACGCAGCGCTCATTTAATTTTACATCTTGACTTGGAAATTTTTAAATAAGTGCTCAGTGTGATGTTATAGAGATGTTTTATTCAATGCCTATATAATGGATGAGTTTGTCAACTACATCCTTCTTATATTAGTAATTCTCCCAGTTATTCTGTTTATAAACCTCTGGGCTGGAATTGGTTGGGAACTATTTGTGAACAATTGATAACTTCGTAAGTTTTGATTAGCCAAGATTAAACCATGAATAGATGTTTTATAAATTATTTATATAAAAAATGATTAAAATAGATTGTGTTAAAATGTCTTTTTAATTGATAATAATAAAATAATTTACCTTACTAACATTGAATCAATTATATCTACCATGCTGATGAATGGCTTATGATTTACATTTTTGCTTAAAAAGTTTTATCTTTGGTCAATATTAACAAAAGTGACAAATAAACTGCTTTACATGATTGTTAGACTGAATGATGAATCCAATGTATTATTTTATTAACAATATAGTAAAACTTACTCAATAATCTGAATACAATTTATATCACAGTTTAGGAAGATATTTATAATATGACATAAACAATGTTTCATTATTGAGTGACAGCAAAAAAAGGAAATTGTAGGACTTACACAGCAGTAAAATTGAATTTCTCTAAAAACATTACAAACATTACAAATTAATTGATTTAATAAAGAAAAACTATAAGAATGTCTTTTCATTATTAAGGTTATAAAATAATATTTATCAAAAATAAATAGAAGGATAAATATATCTCTAATTTCTTATCTATACATTGATTTCGTCAAGAATAATTAATTAAATTTCACTAGATAAAAATAATTCTTCCATTCCCATGTGGCCTCTGTGCCTCCAGACTCGGTATCTTGCTATGTCTTTCCGGGTTACCATGCCGACCACCTAAATATAACCAAACAAGGTAGATCCATACAATTTGAAGAATTAAAATCAATACAATTTAAATAGAAGCATTTTCAAATAATAATCTATGCTATAGCCAATAAAAGAGTTGTTATTTTCTTTTGAGGACACCAATAGAAGGCCAGGTGATTAGGCCACAACATTTGCTGACCATTCCACCCAAATAAGAGTAAAATAAAACACTTTATATAACTGATAAAGCATATTCCACATTAGTGGTGCGATTATGTGATATACTAATGAAATCATTCAAATATGAAAGTAATTAGATTATACTTAGATAAGTACATACATGAAATTATAATTACATATTATATCCTTTTTAATGAAACAATATTTACTTAGTCATACATATTTATGTAAACTATTAAGTATAAATAAATATTGTAAAACCAACAAATATAATTGGAGATTTTGCCTATATTTTAATATGTAACTACTTATATTTATACAAAATATTTATGTAGTATAACAATGAATAAAGCATTCATTTGATATCAATAGCAAGTTATCAAATATAATATTAAACAGAATATTACAAAATAAAATTAAAAACCGGCACATCTCACACTATCGTAGTAAAACAAAACAAACTAAACAAGTGTTTAACAGTAACTGTTATAGTAAAAAGTTTAAACTGCTAAAGTCATAGAGCAACAGTAGAAATCAGAATACACGATTAGTAGTACTAATTAGTAACAACATTCGATTATGAAAACGAATTAGTTACTAACTCTATTATCGATTACCAATATTAGTAATACAAAAAACCGTTGATTATGCCGATCATTTATAATCGCCCACCTCTACTCCACATTATAGATTATTTAATATTTTCGTCATTTTTTTATTACCTCATTAACATCGTTCACAATAGGCAGATGTCTCAACCCGAGCGCTCTAAACAGTCTGAAGAGCCGAGGAAGCGAAGCACGGTGTGGTAACATGAATGGCGATGGATTCATAAATGGACGCAGATCTATAGTACATGTCAGCTCCCAGTCAGATATATCCAGCTGGAAGATAGGACCAAAGTTAACCATGTCGAAATGTTTGATATTGTTTGATATGTTTGAGATTGTAAATAGATCTTACTTGTTCTATAGACGGATATCTAGGATATTCCTTCCTAAACATATCCATATCAACCTGTAGATTCGACCACGTGGTGTTAGCGTTCTCATTGTAAATCTTATTCTGTATAAGTACTATTAGCTGAGAGCGAAGGATCATGCCGCGCAGTCTCTTGTATGTGGTGATTTCATTCTACAAGAGAACCCTTCAAAATTAAGATTCAGTCTGGGTACGTGAAAAAATATGAATAAAACATTGTTACGCGATTAGTGCCCATTTAAATAAATCATTTTAACGGTCCAAAATGCGAAATATTCGTACATTTACTACGTTTTTTTTTAACAAGGCATGTTTATATTTCGCGTTTTATACTGTCAAAAGCATTTTTTTTAATTAGACCTGTTAGACCATATAACGATAATAATTTGATTTGATCACATAGGTTCTTTACTTATCTTTTTAAAAAGTAAGATTTTTGGGATGTAACTTCAGAGAGAATCCAGGTGTCTAAACTTAGAATTTTACCAAATTCGGTCAATCAGTATTAATTATATGTAGTTACCTCATCAGCGAGTGGTGGATCGACAACTGGAAAGCCGTTGTAGCTTACGACTTTTAACATTTCGACGATATGTCCCACATTTTCAACGGTTCTTAGAGTAAACACAGGATGGGACATCACTTCGGACGCGTAGATGTTGTGGGCCAACGGCGGTGGCTCCCATGCTAATAGGGGAACGCCCGCTAGTTGTATTAGTATGTCGTATATTCCCTGAAATTTAAGGCTTTCTTATTTAATTTGTCTAAACAAACCTACAATCATTTAAATAAAACGGTTTAAAACACGAAATATATTAATGAAACTTTTCTTAATTAATGTAACTACGGCTCGACGTTTCGGATGCTTTGCAGCAGCCCTGGTGGTTTCGCCAAATACCAACTGATGAGACAGAAGAGATGGTGCCAGCATAGTAGTTTTTACATTAATGTCAGAGACACCCTCAATTTTTAGTCTGCTGCAAGGTATCCGAATCGTCGGGCCGTAGTTAAAATAATTTGTAAATAGGTTTAACTAATATACGTTTTGAACCGTTGAAGTGTTTTATTTAAAAGTGTACTACTCGCGTAAACTACAGACTGTATTTAAATCTAAAATCATATTAAAGTTATGTAAAAGGTAAGAATATAAGAATAGCATTAGCCTCTTGTATAAAAAAAAATAGGACAATTGGTTAGAGCAACAGCACGGAACTCTGTAGATACCGGTTCATGACTGCCCGTGTCTAATTTGTTCAATCTGAAATCAATTTTTAATTTATATAATGCCATCATGTGCAATAACATGTGAAAAATATTAAAGTTCTTAAACTTTAGCTCTTTGTTTACGTATAATTTAAAATACAATGAACTCGAGGACAAAATTCTTATGAACTGTATTTTTTTCTATTATGCGTCCTGCAATTTAGCCACTATATTTTTAAAACGATATTTTAGTTTAGTATAAACATTTGGCCTAAGGTCCTTGTAATAAAAAAAAAATGTTTTTACCTCATTAAAGAAGTCTCCAGTCCACTTAGCAACTACTAGAGTGACAATAATGGGTAGTGCGTTCGAGATTTGTCCTGTCGTCTCTATAATAATGACTGTCAGAGATATGGTCATGCGCACGACACCCCCCAGTTGCGCAGCCGCACCGATAAGTGCGTATTTCGCTGGATTTATGCTCTAAAATTCAAAAGGACTATTATAATATACAGTACAAGATGTGCCCGCGCCTTCGTCCGCGTGAAATAACTAGCGTGGGCATCATATTATTTACTAGTTGTGTCGCTGTGTGTCATAAATTAAAGCTGTTAGCTGCGACATCGTCCTTGCAAATGAATCTTAAACGATAGGCATATGCTGTCGCGGGCATTTTTTGGATTATTTAAAGATTCATTCTTTCATAGATATTTTTTTTGGTATCGTTTTCGCAGCGTACGCAATGGAAACCCACAGAATACTGGAGGATGAATAACTTTTCCCGTTTACTCGACATTTTCCTGTTTCTCCGCTCCTATTAGTCACAGCCTAATTTTTTACCCTTCCTCGATAAATGGTCCAACGAATACATAAATATATTTTTTGATACGATTCTGTAGTTCTTGAGATTAGCGCGTTCAAAAAAGAAACGCTTTTCGATTTTGTTTGAACTAGCAAGATAAATGATATTGTAAAACCTGCCTATCTGGCTCAAGCTCTAGTTTCCTCCTGGAAATGGAATATAAATAGATAAAAACTCACCATAGAAGGAAAGGCATATTGCATCCATATAGCAAATAATCTGCCCCAAGCCGCACCAGTTAGCAGATTGGGGATGAAAAGACCACTCGACACGGCCAAGCCAAACGTCCAAGTGGAAAGGAGGAAGTAAGATATGACAAAGATGAGTAATGAGACCGGTTTGTAGGAACCCAATGGGTCGTGTAAGAACGACCGGACCGAGGCTTCGGGCGTTTGGAACCAGATGGCTGCCATTGTGTTGTATTCGCCGTCTGCGCAGAAGAGCTGAAATATTTTTTTATGATACAGGAGGACAGACGAGGGGTACAGTAGATGGAAGGTGACTAATATTACATCTTAACGAGATGCGCTATCGACTAATTTTCACTTTGGAAATCCACAGACTGAAAGCGAAAAGCAATTAATGTTCTCGGCTTTTTTATCTGACGGTGTTTCAAGATCTGGACGGAATATTCATATTCCTACCTCCCATTTAACGACCAGATTTTTCAGAAAATTTTATTAGAAATATGTTGGCTCCCCTACATTGCTAACATTAAATACGGAACGAAATTAAGATCGACAATGCAGTAGTGATAATAAATATCGGTAGGTTATTAATATAGTGTGGGTTTTTTAATTTTTTTAGCGATCGTGCATGGGTGGGACTTTTACGTTCGATTGTAATTAGTTGAATTTGAATGAAAAAATATCGAAAATTATTTCGCGTAATATTCATAGTCAATTTTATATTTACTATATGTATTACTCACTTGTAACGGTACTTTTGTAGGATCCTCACCTAGGGGACGGCAGTCATTGAGCAAGAACATCATTAGGAAACCACAGGTGGCGCTCACGGCAGCCACTAGGCACGCTTCAACCACGCGAAGCCAAGGTTCTCCAACATACCTTGTACATAAAGTAAATTTCATTTCTACGCTACAAATAATAATTATCTATGGTAAAAATAAAAAAAAAACCTAATTTGCAGAATCTTGTTTCGTTATAGACATCATAAGTTTTCTTTATTAACATATTATTTCATTATAACTACAATGTTTTATTTTTAATTCCGCTGAAGATGGTTTATGGAGGACCTCAAAAACTTACCGGTTTCTAAAAACAGCCAGCTTATAATTGATATGATTCCACAAAGCCCCAAGGATACCTCCTATCATGCCGAAGATAATGAAGACTGGCAGTTCATAGATTTGAAACGGGAATGGCTCCATTTTCCCCAGGTTTAAAAGACCTAAAAGGAAATATAATATTAAAGGCTTTATGAAACTATTTCTTGAGGCATATGGAGGACACTTATTTCCATGGGTTCCGTGGCGTTAAAACCCACACGGAAAGCATCATCATATGTGTGACTACACTTTGTTTATTAATAAGCTTGTCTCCCCGGGACCACGGCCGCCGCAAAGCCCCCGAAACGGCGGGCCGGGGGTTAAAATTTTAATTATTTTTTCGGTTTTTAACCCCTTAAAGGTTTTTTTTTTTTTTTTTTTCCCCCCCCCCAAAAAAAAAAATTTTTTTAAGCTTGTGTTATTTAAACAGTGTAACAAAAAAACATACCGGGATAACTTAGATCGCCTGGATGCCCATGATAAGCAGATAGAGCGAAGTTCAAGGTGAAGGTAGACACAACAGTTCCAAAAAACGTCCGCCATGTTAAAGCTTGGTTCCAGAAGCTAGTACCCTCTTCCAAAGAAAATAGTACTCCACCTTAAACGTCATCAGTAATATAGTAGTCATTAAGTAGTTCAAAAAAATTGAAAGTATTTAAAATATGAAGAAAAAATATTAAATGCCATTAATCTTTAGGCTTAAATACCAATAGGTGCGCCAAAAGCTGCGGAGACCCCAGCCGCCGCGCCACCAGAAACAAAGTCGCGCTTCTCGTGATCCTCGCGGAAGTACTGAAAAATCTTGAAGTCCTTATTGAACGTTGTACTTTTGCCTTGCGAGATACCCGCCGCTACCACTGACCCGCAGTGTATCATTGGGCCTTCCTGTAAATGAATTATAATATTCAAGATGACACAATTTATTCATAAAACCGAAATAGCATCGCCACAACTAGTGCAGAAATTAGGTTTATGTTTATTGTGTGAAAATTTTCCATTATTTTAGGGCAAAGTGCAGACACATTTTACGCTCGTTTCAGATCGATTCCACATACAAGTAGATCAGATGTCCGAGTCCTTCTTGAAAGAAACAATGAGCATTCCCAGCATTGAATCAAACCATAGAGTAAAAATCAGACGTATCATCTGTTCAATGATTTTGAATAAACCAGTATCAATTTCAGTGAGACAGGTTGCTCATTCAAAGTAACCAGCTTCATTTTCTAATACACCTATGCATACTTTAGGTATAGCTTATTATTCAGATGGAAAAGACATCTTTTTATCAATATACCTTTCCTCCAGCTAATCCCCCAACAACAGCACTAATAACACCAACAGCTTTAACAATCAATGTCTTTATCCGGACAACTCTCGGAACTTTAACTCCGTTGAGATAGCACTTCACTTGCGGAATACCACTACCTCCAGCAACTGGCTGAAAATTTTATAGTATCAAATCATATTATATTTTATAATTATGTTATTCTAGATACTGTCAAGTATTCTTCCTAATGACAAGTATAAAGCAAAATTTCTTATAAGCAAAAATATGAATCGCCTTTAAATGAAGGTCAAATTTTGTTTAGTGCCTTATTAACTCACAATTATACTAAAGAGTATTATTACAAGTAGAAAGCTTATAAAAATATAATACTAGAATATTCCTTACCTCAACATATGCGACTAACACTGATCCAAAGAAGACAATTGATATATTAGTCAACACCCACAATAAATATGGAATGTATAGTTTATCTAGCATTACATATTTATCAACAGCTGTATATTCTATTAAGAAATTTTAATTTAAAAAATATTATATGAGCATATAACATGCAATTAAATTTGGATATAGACCTTATTAGGCTGACAACAAAATAGTAAAGTAGAATGTGACTATATATTTAATAAAACTCTAATAATAATGTAAAATGCAGAGCACAGTTTATTATTTTATTTACTAGAACTAGATGTTTTATATACTTTGCAACCGATGGGGTAACAGACTAATATAGACCAATATATTATAAATATTTTTTTAATAAAAAGGATACACTTCTTAAGCTGTGCATATTTAATATTTGAAAATTCTTCAATGCATATGTCAATTGTAAATGCTATTAACGCTGTAATTATACCAATGAGTAAAACTATGAACCACCTTGCCATGTCCTTCCATACTACAAAGGCATAACCCCGTTTTCTTTCCTCATCCAAGAGCAAATGATTTTCACAAGTATCATAGTCTAGGCTCTAAAAAAGTTAACATAAATGAAACGGCAGTCGAAATTTAACTAGTTATTGCGATAAAAATGCCATCGATAATGCAGGAAGTTGTACTAGGTACTGACCTCATATTTCGCAGACAAAATATTCATAGACCCCGGCTCAATTTTTTGAATTGGATGTCTACGTCTGACCCCATGGCTCCCCTGGATATCTTCATCCGAGTCCTATCAGGGTATGAGTGTTAGTTCTATAAAATTATTTCTATTCATTTCTGTAAAAGGATTTTTATACTTGCCTGTGTGTCTGTGTTATTTAACTGTGCACAATTAGAAGTACTAGCTTCGTCATTACTGATTAACTGTGCCGTATCACATGTGCTTTCGCTTGTAATTTCGCTGCTTGTATTAATCATTATGAAGAAATTAAACACGAAACTGTTAAAAAAAATAATCACATTATAAACGTTAATACGAATGGCAATCCAAAGTTATGGCCAAGAAAGATGTAATATAGAATTATCAAATGATCACAAATATCTAATAATTAAAATTAAATGTCTTTGTTCTTCCACTGATTTAAAAATAATGGTATTTGAATATTATGTTATTCGTGTTTTGATTTTAGCCAGCTGATTAGAATGACAAAAGGCATAGATGTCACAGAGTACTAAGCAATATATAGACTGCTTTTGTTTAGAAATGTGAAAATGTAAATCCAATATTAAAAGTAATACGAGAAATTAAATTTTCCAAAGACGTCCATTTATCAAGCTGGATCGTTAGTTTTAGTTTTATTGTATGGAAATTAAAGTCCTACTTAATACTACAATAAACAAATAAAGTAATAACAATTTGTGAATTGGAGGTGGGTTGGTACTTCCATGACGTTTAAAGGAGACGTTTTAAAACGTAATATAATATATCATGATTATAGTTCACGCTATTCACAACGCGATAAGTTTTCGGTGGTGGATTAAAAATCTTAAAAAGCTATTTTAATTTGACCCGCGATCTTTGAATATTCCCGTAGCTACCACAGGTATGTAAATACCTACACACTGACAACGTTATCACTTTATCGGAACGTCAAAATCAAATCATCGCCGACACTAGCGCCGCCGTGTACGCGCACGGCCGTGGCGCAATCAACGTACCGTAAACAATGGTGTTTTCATGTATGTGTGTGTGGCTTGCTCGTTCGTTTGGTTGACAATCGCGATGTGATGTATCCTACATCATCGCACGCTGAGTTATATTTTCAAGAAGTATTTTTAATTTCTCAATTATTAATACGATTCATTTCTAAATGTTTTCATTCGTTGTGATAAGTTTTCTCCGTTTTGCTTTCTAAATATGTGTAACTTGCCGCCGAAGTTCCATTCAGTGTGTCGCCTTTGTTTATCATTCTGTGGCGATAATTGCAGTGATGTTAAACTTCCAATATTCGACCGTGATAAGGATAAATCGCGGCTTTCCGAGATGATAATGACATATCTGGCGATAGTGGTAAATAGTTGAGGCTTTATTGCGCGTGTAGATTGCGAAAATCTTAGTTTTTCCCATGTGAAAGTTAAGCATTAGCGTACAAGATTGTGGATACTGATAAGCGCCATTAACTTTCTCGCGGGTGTTGGGTATTTTCGCATTGTGATATCATGTTACGGCCCACGCGTCGAGTGCTCGGGTGTATGACTAATGTCGTTCTTGGAAGTGATAGGCTAGGCGGGTGGCAGTGCGCTATATCAGCCACGGTGCGCTGATAACAAAGGAGCGTACATATTCGTACGGTAGCGGGTTCGAAGCTAGCCTTTCCCCTCTCGCCCTTCACACTTGCGTTTCCAATCACATACACAAGGATGCACTCTCATTCAATTCCCTTTTATAAACTGCCACTGTTCTATTTTGAGAACCAGTATTAACTAAATATAGACATTTTATGGGGGAACTGCATTTGCCTTTTAAGTTTTAAGCTCTGAGAGATTCCTATAGCGATATCAAGTCAATTAAGTTTTTTGTTGTTATCAGATTACCTGTTGATGAATCACAACTATGATTGTCTACAAAAGGTCATTGGCCACATTTGAGCGGCTAAAGGAAATGAATTGAAATAAAAATTAATAATTCTAGGTTTCTCCAGAGGATGTTCTACCAAAAGTTGTGTGTGGAAGTTGTGCGAGCAAACTGGATGAATTTCATACATTTAGAGAGTTAACACACAAATCAGAGCGACTGCTGGAACAATTCCTTCACTATGCAAACTCACTGTCAGGTCCAATAGAGGTATGTTAAAACATGAATATTAACAAAAATCTTTATTTCTAAAATAACACTAATCAACGTTATATTGCACAATACAGTCTAAAAAGTTTACAATTTAAAGTATACAATACTAAATTTTTATGCGAAGCTCGCTTCTGAATTATTAATATTTATATAGCGAATAGGTTGGCTCAATTTCTTCTTGTAGAAGGCTTTAGCAGCATTGACAATGATACCACAGATCATTCCTATTCCGACGACTGCTGCAACTCCTAATATACTCCATAGTACGTGTTTAGGTCTCAAATCTGATAAGGAAAAGCCACGCTTAGGTGTAAAAGTTGTATCAAATGTTGGACAAAAAGATACTGTAATGTTTGTTATGTAGGCTCCGTTCAGTCTCATTGGTGCAGCACAGCTGTAACAAACACAAAAAACTATTTATAATTGAGTACACATACTATTTTGCCTATTTACATTTCTACAACATGTAATTTTGATTAAATATAGACTAAATAACAACATCTTCATAAAACAGTTATGAGGATAGTTAATGAACTACCTTCATAACTGTAATTTGAACAAAAAAATTAAAATCAGTCAAATATTGTGTTTTGATAGAATCAGGTTAGACAAGGTACAAATTTCGCAACAAGTGACTTATACAAAGCAATTTAAAACCTTGAATCATCACTTAGATCACTCTCAAACCATTCTCAAGTGATATCATTAATCTTTGTCTTGCTAACATCAGTGGTAACCTCGATATAACATAATTTTAAATATTGGGCAAAATTTACTACAAAAATAATAATTATATAATTGCAATTAATTTAGATATATCACAGATTATAAGCACCGGAATCAAAATATTGTTAGATCAAAAATAGTAACGCAGTCTAAAGCTTGGGATTTAAACTACAAAGTCTAAGTCAGGGTATTAAGGTTAAAAATAGACTACACCCAATACTTCAGCTAGTATTTTTTTTGTTTTTGGGACATAATAATATAAAAATAGATAATGTGATAATATAGTTTTTCTTAACATTTATAATACATATGGAATAAATATATATTAACTTACCTGCAAACCATACTTCGGACACTTAATAAGGGCTTATCTTATTCTTTTTTTTTGACATTCCTCATTCAAAGTTTAATAAAATTATTTACGTTAAAAATTATACTGAACTAAGCAGAGTCCTTGTCGTTTAATGATTGTATCTGTTGTTTTCTATAGCATAAAGGTTTATTGATAATAATCTGTAGACATAAAACCGTTGACTCACAATGGTATTTCCCCCGTTCTGAACTTGCTGCCGGCCTCCTGTTTCGTGACGATGTTGGCCAAGTCACAATTGCAGAGCCAGCTATTGCCTGTCATTCCTAACACTTCTAACTTGCTCCATGGCATCAAATCAGTCGAGAGCTCACTCAAGTTATTGTCGTCCAGATATACCTGTTGAGGAAAAATTGTCTTGAGATTTTCGTGCGAGATAAAATGTATTGCGTTTTATGTTATTGAGACAAAGTTAAATATTTGTTGTTGGTTGGCAGGATCATTGCGTTGTTTTTTGGGTTGGAAGCAATAGCTCAAAAGCGACAAGGCCATTATTCTTCATCCGTAGAGAGTAAAACAAATACCTCAAGTTTCAATTAATCGACACAGGTTACTGGGTCGAGTTTTAGTTAAAAAAGATTTTTAGTAATGTAGATATTATACTAAAGAGATATTGTTAAAAAAATGATAAAGACGCATTTGTGTAATATATGTCAGCGTGTGGATGTTAGACCAATCACTCTCTATACATATTAAACTTAATGTGACGTAACTCTTTCAAAATTTTAATAGTAGGAAATAAAACTACGCTTTGTCATTGTCAATAGAGGGACAGAGGTTTTGTTTCATTTGCTATAAAGAAAATTCATTGCTAACACGTAAAATAAAGGTCATCTCTCGATCATTAAGTCGTGAAGCTAACATACTCTTTTTGGCGTTAAATCCAATATACATCGGCCGCAACTGCGCTGTTCTAATTTTGGAACTTCTGCAATCAGCGGATTGTTATCAAAACAAATATAGTGATTGATCAGCTAACCTAGTTTATTTGATGTAAAGTAAGAAATATAAACTGGGCCAAACCGCATTATTTACTGATTATGATTTGTTAGCGTTCGTGATTATCAGTGTTTCTCAAATAATTCTTATTATTATATAGCTATTGTTGGGTTAGCGATGGTCGATAATAAAAACTTAGGAATACTTGTGTACTTTTACTTTATTATTGATTTCAATTATGAGAAGCAAAAGTACAAGAGTCATTCATTATTACAATTTGGAAAACTATTATTATGTTGTTAATAGTTAATTTTTGAATTTTTTCCTTTTGAGTATCGCCATTTCATATTAAACATTACGTTTTACAAGATAAATAAATAATATAGAATGTAGATAGTAGGTATATTATACATATTTTATTCCTACCCTCCACAGATTTTTATTCTTTCTATTCTAAAATGCTCGAGACTGTCTAGCGTGATATCGGATTAAAGTTGATCGAGTTATGTTTTGTTAATCGTTATTCTAGAGTTGATTGGAGTGACACGATCCATTCCATTGTTTTTCGTGGTTCCATTTTCCTTACTAAATTACACCCTGATTAACTTATAATAAATTAATCTAAATTGACAGATTGCATTAAATAGATGAATTCAAGTTATCAAACGAGAACTATAAATATGTTGTAATAAACTTATGTTCTTGTGAAAAAATCTAGAAAGTACAAATGAGGAAGGCCGAATACGTGATTGGATACGTGTATGATATTATAATATTACGGATAGATTGGTCGGCGTTTATGACTGCGCCGGCGCCATAAAGATGAAAGTATTAAAGCCAATTTGTAACAGATTAAGTTTTCGTAAGGATCTTTGGTTCTTTCGAATGACGATATAGTATTATTCGTTGCCGTATATCGTATAATTTATATTTGCAGAGCTATACCTAAATTTAGACAACAAATTATAAAATACGCGAAGGCTAATGGAAATACCTTCCTGCGTTTTTATTTATATGTGTCTGAATGATTAAGCTTTGTGTAAAAAGTCCTTACGAAATATCGTTACACTCAACTTTGACATATAAGTAGCGTCCTGTTAGAGTGCATCTTACTATATTTTGATATTTTAAAGCAGCGTTTAAAAAGTATCTAGATTGATAACATTACCTCTTTCAAAGTCCACCTGTCTTTCAATCCCCTGAAGGCATTGTGGCTGATGTATCTCAAATTTTTGTTGTGACACAAATGAAGCACTCGTAGAGTTTTCAGTGGCGTAAAAGTGCTGCGTTTAACCTCTTCTAAATATTTATTTTCACCAATCTCTAGTTCTACTAGGTTAGATAGTCCTGAAAATAAAAAAAATAAAACTGAAGAACTTCAATGGAATCCAACTGTACCAATGTTGCCAGTCAAACATGCTTTAAAATTAATTTGCATTTTTAAAACTTCTTCTGGAGATTTGGAATTAAACTGGCAATAAAATTCCGGCAGAGACTTTTATAATTTTTTACATTACCGCGGTAATCCAAAAATAATATAATTAGTATTTTGTCATCGAATTAATTTAAAAAGAGAGGTCAAAACCTAAAAATCGCTTCTGGGCCGTTCATCATCAGTTTAAATATTTTTTTCCTACTTCGTTAAATTTGCCTGATTCAATATAATGACATGTAAATACCCGTTCATAGATTATAGATTAGTTACGTGATAATGGAACTCGTGATATTATAGTCGAATGACGCATATTTTGGCGGTGGACGTACAACCGAAATTCTAACGAATAACTATCCTGTAAGTTTTTAATAGCGTGGTAATTGAAATAAGAGCAAATAGGTGTCACTCTTATAGTAAAGAAAAAGAAGGGTATAAATATACGAAAATAAGTAAAAAAACAGATAAGTTTTGATACTTTACTAACCTCTGTAGATCTCCGACTGTTAAAAAAAAACATTATTTTTTACATTAAAAACGAACTTCAATATTATAAGTTATAACGGAACAAATCGCTGTGAGTTTGACATTTATGATACATTTAAATGTAGTTACCGTGAAAAATACTTGAAAAACACCGACCAATTACTAATATTTCTTATAATGATGATCGTTACAACGTTAATTTTATGATCTACAGATTATAACGTATATGTCAGTAACCGGATAGATATACAATTTTTTTTAACATTAGTATTTATTCATATCATTCATTTTATAATATCATTTGGTTTTTGGTGGTTAGATTTCGTTTTTTTGACGGAATCGAAAACGTATTTTTTTTACTACGTTCCCACAGTTTATTAACTACTTAAATACGTATATTGGGATCTGATGAGGCTCTAATTGGGAAACATTGCGTGATAAGAAGGTTTAAAATGCCCCAAAACTATTAAGTTCTCCCACTAGGACCGGACCGCTGACCGGAAATAGTTCAACAATTTAGACCATTCAATAATTTACATAGAATAATAATATAATAATCATAAAAATATTTAATGATTGATTAATGTCTGTAGTACACATTAAAATTATACACGTTAACGGAGTCTCCCAGCGACCACGGCTACTGCACAGCATCCGAAACGTCGGGCCGTAGTTTAACTAATATATTTCGCGTTTTAAACCGTTAAAGCGCTTCATTTAAATTGAATTATTGAAAAATATTTTATGATTGATTCATAAAATATTTTTTGTAATTATTTTATTAACTTAAAATATACAGTAAGATCTCTGCATTCGAACATTTTTTTCGATCGTATATTGATAATCTTAATTCTTAAAACCGCCTGTAACTTGTCTGTAGCAAAAAAAAAAACACGACAAACATTTTTGTAGCATTTAAACAAATATTACGAAACATTTATAATTAACTGGTTTGATAACAGAATGTTCACGTTATGAATCAGAATGCGCCGCTGACATACCGCAGTGAAGTGATTTTATCTAATTCTACGCATCGGATGATCGGCCCGACAAACGGCGATGACTACTCAGAGAGGCATTTTCTTAGGAAATGCCTAAATAAAGGCGATTCTTTATTCTTAATTAGCTCTGCCAGCGACTTTGTCCGCGTAGGATAGTTAATTTGGACGTCAAATTTTGTTTTTGAAAACCTCTGCATCCTGCGCACTCCCCCTTGTTCTTGCAAGTTAATCTTTAAAGATATCGCGGACGTTTTTTGGATCATTTAAAGAGATTTAATTTCTTCATACATATTTTTTGGGTTATTTCAACCATCTGGCAGCGTACGCAACGGTAACCCTCAAAGATGAATAATATTCCCCGTCATTCTTCACATTTCCCACTGTTTCTTTGCCCCTATGCAGCATAATGTTTTAAAGCTAAGCCTTATAAATCATCTAACCAACACAAACAATATTTTTTTAATTTTAACCAGTAGTTCCTGAGATGACCGCGTTCAAACAAACAAACTTTTCAGCTTTATAATATTAGTATAGATATGGGTGTAAGTTTTTAAATTAAATACTATATATACTGTTATTGCAATTGATCAGGCGCAGGACTCACTGTTTTTTTTTTACACATTTAACAAGACACAAAGTAGATCAAAATTATTTGTGATCTTTCTAAAAATCATTTGTAATTTCTTATTAGTTATGATTATCCGTAATTTTACACTGGTATCTATTGCACAGTTCATTTCATTTTCGGATCTGTTTCTAAAACTTCGCATATAAGTGAAACTTATATGTCTACTTTCATAACCTATTAAATCCGTAAAGGTGGGTACTGACTAAATGCTCGCCGATGTACCACGTGACGACAATTCGGGCAGTAATTACGTTGACTATTACCGTCAGATTCGTTCTTTTCGCGGTCAGATAGTCCCCTCGTGACCACGGCTGTTACAAAGCATCCGAAACGTCGTAGTTGACAAATATTTCATTGTGTTTTAAACCATAGAAACAGGTTCACTACTCGCGTAACTTATAGTTCTATTCAACGTAACTAAAAAATACCATTTAAATAAACTTTAACGGTTTAAAACGCGAAATATATAAGTCCTTTTTTTATAATTTTCACTGCAGCTCGACATTTCCACGGACCAGGCTGCTGGAAAGTATCCGATACGTATATATTTCGTGTTTTAAACCGTTAGTGTTATTTACATGTGTAATCCTCGCGTAAACTACAGACAGTATGTTTTATATTGTATTACACCGCGAGCGGTTGGTCAGTACCCAGGGCCTACTTTAGAAGTGCCAGTCAGCACTTTGTTGTGTCAATAGAAAGTTCGGCGATCGTCTTGTAATTACAACGTGTTTACGTAACACAAATCTGATTAGATTCTCGGATGATATACGTCTATAATATTCATGGATTATGCAAAATTGTATCCATATATAGAGAATTAGTATACTTGAGGTGGAAAGTTGGTTTTTTCCACGACGCGTTTGAAGCCGTTATGTCTGTCAGTAATGCTATCAATTTTGCTATCTATGTCCATTGGAAAGTTGTTGCGATATAAGAATCGAGGTTCATGAATATTACTAAAATATATGAAATAATTACAAATATATGTTATGAATGGTAAAACACTTATATTGTCTTAGACGAAAAATTTTTAAAGTTGTAGAGTAGCGTAGCCTCAGATCATTAACATTGCTTAATGCGGTATTTTTTTATTTACCTTTGCTAATTCAATAAGTCGGAAAAAAGCCCTACGTCCAAATACATCCGAATTTCTTATACGTGCATAATAACAAAAAAAGATTACATACCCACAAAACTGTCATCGTTCAACTCAATCACTGGGTTGTTGTTGAACGTGAGATATTGGAGACTGCTGCCGACGAGGCTAAGGCTCTCAGGCACATTCAGGAAGAAGTTTCCAGACAGGTCGATTTGACGTAAATTTATTAGTCCCCTGAATGCATCTAGCGGTATGCTGTCTATGTCTGTCTTCGAGAGGTCGAGAACCTATAATTATATATAATATTGTATTCGCTTTGTAAACTATACTAATATAAAGCTGAGGAGTTTGTTTGAACGCGCTAACCTTAGGAACTACTTGTTCGAATTGAAAACCTCTTGTGTTGGTGAGAACATATAGCGAGCAAGATTTAGGCTATAAAATATTGGGGAACCGAAATAGAGGGAAGTGTGTGTTTATTAAGATCAGGAAAAGGAATATCGCCGAATCTTTCGAAGGACCCTATATATTTATGATAAAGGCAAGACAGAAAAATTAGGAACATGTTGATCCCGGTAGGGATTGATTCCACGACCCGTTGATTATTAGCCATGCATTAGCCCAACGACCCGTCAAAGTTTACTTCAAGGGAACCTCACGCATCTCTATCCTTTGAAACGAATTACTTACTTCGAGATTAGTAGCACTTGACAGTGCCAACACCGTCACATGATCCAAAATTTCTATGGGGTTATTGTTTAAGTAGAGCCGCGTCAGATTCGGCGTGTGCTGGAACAGGTACTTGTCCAGGGAGTGGATCTCGTTGAAGCCCAGGTTCAACGTCTCCAAGCCTATGTCGCTGTAGATGCCGTCGTTGTAAGGGCCTTGGAAGATCTCGCTTCGTAATACTTCACCTGTGTAATATCACTCACATGTAAAGGTAGTTTATTTGTTTGAACGCGCTAATCTCAGAAACTACTAGTTTGAATTGAATAATTATTTTGGTGTTGGTTGGAGCATTTATTGTGGAAGGCTATAAAACATGTAGGATATTTTATATCCTATATGTTTTATCACGCTGTGACTAGAAGAAGCGAATAAAACAAAAAAATTAATAGAGAAAGAAACGGAAAAAATATTAATCATTGATGATTTCTGTTGAGTGCACTGCGAAAACGGTTTAAAATATCCAAAATATATATAGAAAATAATTCTTCTTATAACCTAAACAAACTTCCGGTCCCGTATTTCCCGGATCTTTTACGATTAACTCACAAGAAACGATTTTGTGGTACCTAATCATATTTTCGGCGAAATACTTTATATGGCATAAGAAACTTTTCCCGGTCAGCTAGTTATTGATAAAGAAGTGGACGTGGAAGAAGTCGCTGGCACAGCTTTATATTATGCCAGTTGATTATACATTTTTGTAGGTACTTGTAGAGTAAATAATATTTGTATTTAAAACTAACGTTTGCATTTCTTTGTAAATTATAATAAAGCAGGACTTTTTTTTTTAATTTTCGGGCATTCATAAATATGTAGTAATTTATTGTACATATGGAAAAACATACCCACTCACAAATATCATGAGTACCTACAATAACTATGATCTACGTTATTTTGTTTGTCAATAGTCTTCAAGTATCAAAAATATGTTATATTATAATTTAGTCAATCAGACATTTGATATGATAATGTAGGTAAAAACTAAAGACAACCATTTTTATCATAAAATTATTTTTTATCTGTGCACACGAAAGCAACATACATAGGAGTAGCTGTGTACTAAAATCATTCGACTTTCAGTCACACGTATACCATATATTCATTGTAAAGTAATCAATCTTCTGAAACGCAATTCATCACCTGTATTATGACATACAAACTCAACAAACACCTTTGTTTATGTCTAAAGAGCAAGAGTGACTTTTATAAAATCTACTAACCAAAAACCTAAATTGTAATATAATAAACTAGCTGGCCTATAAACGTTATTTTGTTATATGAAGCACTAACTGGTACCCGTGACTTCGTGCGCTTGGAATAGTTATTTTGGGTATCATATTATTTTTGCAAACAAACTTTATCGTTAAAATTATAGCCGTCACCCACGACGTCATCCAACTCCCGTCATTCTTGTGACTCAATCTTAAAAAATAGACACAATATATTGTCGCGGACATTTTTTTAGTTCATTTAAAGAAGAAAGATCCAACGTACCTACATATTTTTTGGTTTCTTGTACCGTTTTCGCAGCCTTATGTGTTATAAGCTAAATCCTTCCTCGATAAAAGACTACCAAGGTTACAATACCCAAAACGCAAATAAATTTTCAATTAGAACCAGTAGTTCTTGGGATAAGTGCGTTCAAACAAACTCTTCAGCTTTATAGGTTAGTATAGATAAGACAGAAAATAAAAAATAATGAATACGAAGTAGAGCGGCCACTATGGTGAATATTTAATTGTTTTACTGTGATAGAGCAGAATATGTAACACGTTATACCTGAAATGTAGTTGTTGCTGAGATCTAAATAGACCATTCGGTCGATATGTCTGAACGCGTCATCCTCTATCTCCACTATCTTGTTCCCTTTGAAGCTGATCGCGATTCTGTTGCCCGGGACGGCTTCTAACTGGGTGACGTTCGTTATGCTGTTGTTGAAGAAGGTTATTAGCACATGGCTCTCTGAAAAATATAACGTAATGTGTTGTTATAATGGACATTCATACAGTAAAACGATTGGAGATTTGTAATGGTGTAAGTTGGGTAGTTATTTGCTTTTCGTACAAATAACATGACATGCTTTAAATAAAACATTTTAACGGTTTAAAACGCTATATATATTTAAACTTGAAAATTATTTTAACTACGGCCCGATGTTTTGGATGCTTTACAGCAGCCGGGGAGATCGCGTTTTAAACCGTTAAAGTGTATTTATTTAAATGTGTACTACTCGCGTAAACTACAGACAGTATACAACGTTCTTTTGTGATTAAGTAAAACTCTTTTTAAAAAATTAAATAAACGATAAAATCAGTTACCATGTAGATAAATTAACAATAAAATATACATTAATTAATTTACAATACATTGTAATAACAAATTAAAAATATAAGTCATGCATAAAATGGGAAATAAGTGTTGATCTTAAAACTGGATTTAATTCTCATTAGACTATTAAAATGTTGACTACCAAATGCCATATACACATAGAACACTAATTAGCTTGGTATAAATTGTTTGGTGGCAATATAATCTATAATCCATGGCTACGAAGTGCGTCATTATTACTGGGAACTACAAAGCTCGATTCCAACTTATAACGTCCTCCATTCCAAACAATGTACATAATATTAAGCGGTAGTAAAAATACTGTTAACGTAAATAGCAATATATCGTGAAACAATCAATATTCTATGTATCTGATATGTGTCTATATGTTCAGTATAGACCGTGAACACATACGTAATTTGTATAGGTGGGTGTGTAGTTGTGTTGTTGTTTATTATCAGATATGATTAAATATTTGAGGAAAACGATATAAAAATTCCTGGACGCTTACGTTGTTTGTAAACTAAGTAACTTATATTGATTTAAAAGTATATGAAAAACTAGCGACCCGCTCCGGCTTCGCTCGTTTGTTGAACTGAATACACTACAGAATTGTGAACGCTGTATAAAAACCTTCCTCTTGAATCACTCTATCTATTAAAACTGTATCAAAATTAGTTTTAAGATTTAAGCGTACATAGGGACAGAAAAAGCGACTTTGTTTTATACTTTGTAGTGATGAGTACATTGATATCGGTAATTAGAATATGTAGATTAGCCGACTGAGAATGAATTTAGGCTGAATCTACTCTCGGGGAAATATGATAATTCAGTCAGGGAGGTTCGTTTCGGTGGAACGGCCCCATAAAATGTCTTTGATTCTTGTCGCTTAGTCTAGCTACTCACCCTTATTACCAAGACTGTTAATTTTGTCTGGCCATGTTGGTATCCTGTCTATGTTGCGTCTCGAACAGTTCAACGTTAGATTATTGCCATCCTGAACGAATATGTCACACGGACTTCTCTTATCGTTAACGCCTTGCGCCTGAGATGCGTAAACTAGGACACTGAATATCACTAACACCTAGAACAAAGAGCGCCATTAACTCGCATATCAGATACACTTTGAAGCCCCAAAGAGTCGCTCCTACTCACTTCGGATATATCGCGTAGAAAGTACATTTTCCACAAAATTAGAAAGGACACTGCGCCCCATACAAAGATGTAATTATCTTATCAGCGAGCGAGCGATATCACAAAAGATAGGAAAGCGCCCGCCCCATTGGCCGGCGCTTATTTGTGTTATCGCCTTATTAATGTAACGTTTATACAAACACTGTTCTTTATTTTAAGGAGGTCCTGAGTATAACGGCCGACAAGTTGGAGGAAATAATTAAGCCGCTGAACGATAACGAGTATGACCTCACCGGCAAAGGCAGATACGCGGAGATCGGTTCTCCCGACTCCACCGAAGAGATGAAGAACCTGGAGAGCAGGCAGGCGGCGGTCACGCTCCTGCAAATCAAGAACTACGACCCCACTAAGTATGCGCCCAAACCGGAACCGGAGGAGACCCCCAATATAACCTTCAAGACGGTGAGCATACCGCCGTCGGATAGAGCGAGAGAGGTGATGCACTGCAACACAGTCATCGACCTGATCAGTAAGGCCGTTGCGTTGGCGCAGCGCGAGAACGAAGAGTCTCAGAATATGACACCGAATTACACGAGCGTTATAGAAAAGACGCATGCCAATACAGAACCATACCAAGAATACGTAGATGACCAGTACAACGCACCACAGAGTATTAATCAGGCAGAGGAGCACAAGGAGATGGACCTCTCGCTCTACACGCGGACCTGTGAGATCAAATTCGAAAGAGAGGACCCAGAACCCGCTGCGTACGCGCACAGAACTAACGACGCGACCAATCACGACGCGAAGATGCAGCAGTTCTACGCGCGTGCGTGCGTCAGGACGAAAACGGAGAGGGAGAGCTCGTCGGTGTACGAGGACTGCAGCCAGAGCAGCAGCGGCTCGGACCCGGATCGGCTTCAAATGGATATCTCTGAGATGTCGCAGGTAATTGTAACTCTTTATTATTTATTACTTATGCTGACAGCTTGTCAGTGAAATTCTAGAGTTAAAAAAAATGTTTCGGTCGGCAATAGCGCTAAAGCTGTAAGGCACAAGTTTACCTTTGTTAATAGTTTGTTTTTTAATTAGCAAGTTAAATTAAATAAATGTTTACATACGGTGAACATGTTTATCTTGAAATATCACAGTCCAATTTTTGTAATGAAAAGTGGAATTTGATAGAAGTCGATGTTTGGTTCTTATGTTCCGCTTATGCACATTCCATTAGAATATAAAAGGTTGTGTCTGTATTTTACGCTAGTACACAACAAAATTAAACACTAACGCTAGTTAAAACTTAAAGCAGTCTCCCTGACCACGGCTGCTGCAAAGCATCCGAAACGGGCCTTAGTTAAGATAATTTTCAAATAAGATAACTAATATTTTTCGCGTTTAAACCGTTATTTTTTGTAATATATAACGTTATATTATATTGTGTAATACAGACTTTAAAAATCACTCAGAAAATTTAACAGCGTTTTAACGCGAACACTAGACTGAATACTGAAGTAAATCTTTACATGTTCTCGAGGTCGGTAATAATGTAACGTATCAATTATGGTAAATACAATTTGAGCTCGTGCGGTAATGACCTGTGTAAATATGTGCCCGCTCTCATATGATCGTCGACGTACGAATTTAACCTCTTTTTCACGTGTTTTCCTGTGTAATGGCTCACAAAGGTATGAATGAGTATTGTCTGTAGTTTATACGAGTAGTACAAATTTAAATAAAACATCTGTAACGGTTTAAAATGCGAATTATTTTAGTTAACTTACTTTTATGTAGTTCAGTGTTTGTATAAAATAAATTCTTAAATTATATGTGTACTAAATTTATAAGAAGTAATTCATTAATATTTTTCAATACAAATGTTTCTATTATTCTATTCTATTTATTATTGCTTTATTATTTATAATACACACTTTGGTGTGTATTATAAATGACAACAAAAAACTTGGAAAGTTAAGGGAATTGAAATATGTTTTATAATTTTAGTTAATGTTCTAATATAATTTTGGTGTCTTTATAGGACGACCCTGAAGAAACTCAATCGGTACCGTCAGCACAATCATCGCCCAAACCACCCCACGAAACTGAGACGGAAAAGGAAACACTCTGGCATGCGTTACACAAACAAAATGGTGAGATTAATAATAAATACAAATCTAAATAAACAGGATCTGAACCAAAAAATCCAGTTGCGCTTAACTCAATATTCAAACTTTAACTATTGAGCCACGAAAGTGACATAATATGAGCTATTGCTCATAGTGTAATAGTAGTTATTAATGGAATACTAGAGATGTGTTATATTAGAAATCTTGACTGTGCAGTTGGTGTTATGGTTGCAATGTATGGCTACTAATCAACGAGTCGTGGGTACGATCCCCATGGCGTCCAATATTTTTCTAATTTATTCATATTTTTTTGAAATGTGTAAGATTTCCCCTGGAAATATGGATACCGATATGCCATCCGTCCACAGACGGAAAAAGCCGTCAGATTTACATCCTTAGTTGTGGATTTCGAATATACAAATCCAAATGTCTACAGCGCGTCTTGCTTAGATGTTGTATGGCTGGGGTATTTCACTTACCATTACGTGAATTCTATGCGTGTCTGTCCCCCTATATCATAAATGATGAAAAAAAATCCATTTAACTTTAGCCATATGTATATGCTTTAGTGAAGATTATTGAACTAATGTGTCACATTTCTTCATATAGGTCGTGGTGGAGAGACGACGCAATTGTTAAGGCGGCTGATTAACAGCAAACATACAGGGATGACAGTGTCGCCACTCCGTGCGCATACATCGCCGTTACCCACGCAGATGCCCCCCAATGGCGCCATCTCACCGGTAAGAACGTCTACTGCAAATTTTTGCTTAGCCCTTCTCAACATTATTCACGTTTTTCAAGGGTTTACAGTAAATAATAAAATATACTTTATTCTCTATAAAATTTTAAAAATTATTTAGATTCGTCAAAATGTTTTTTCGTTTGTCTGTCTATTCGTCGTGATTCTACAGAGTGTTCAAAAGAGCAACATAACTGAGAAGAACACCCAAGAAACTCACTCGGGTTTTTATAATTATGTGTTATAAACTAAAACATTTTTGTAAATTTATTAACAAGACCAATTCATATTACTGCCAGGTGGTCTTGTCATTAAAGAAATCGTTCAGAGAATAATACGCCTTTTGAGACAATCTAAGTTTTATAGCTTTCTTAAATTTATTTATCGATAAATACATACGAATTCAATTCTCCGCAAATAAATTAGATATTTTATGGAGCCTATATTTGGGGATAGTTTGGTTATCCTTATTTCATAATTTCAAGTGTCTAAAACCCAACTGTTAAAAGTTAACTTTGTAATCCTTCTATGGTTAAAAAATAGGATATAATAACTAGCTGATCGTAGTAATGCGTTAATATCGACCAAAATTTTATCACCGTAAAAACGGTAAGTGCGTTGGTCTTTAATACTCTGGCGGACATTTTTTAGATCATTTAAAGAGGAATCATTCTTTTATAGATTTTTTTTTGGTTTCCTGAATCGTTTTCGCAGCGCACGCAACGGCATCCTTCAAAGATGAGTAACTTTTCCCACTCTTTCCACAGTTACCTCGTTCCTATTCCTAAGCCTTCTTTGGTAAATGGTCTATCCGACATAATTTTTTTTTTCTAATCAGTAATTCCTCAGCGCGTCTAAAAAAACAAACTATTCGTTCGACAATTAAAGATACTTGGAATATTTTGAACGCTAGGTTATGTAAAATCTAGTTATTCTTAGTTTTGTTTGTTGGTTAGAATTGCTGTATGGTGTTTTATACGACATTTTAGATTTTAGTATTTGTTAAGTTTGCCTTTTTAAACATTGAACGAATGTCTTTGTTAAGATGCTTGCGACCCTGACCTTACCGTTTTTGAAGCGATCTAGGCTAGTGTTATTGTAGTATTTACTTAATTCTAAGAGTGCATTTATTCACCAAGATATATTAAACTCTAATAATAATATTACTTAGCGTGATAATTATTGAATAATTTAGTAAACACACGGTCTTTATTAAGTAATAATATAACGTTTATTAAGCTTGCTTAGGACCGCCTCTGTAGCCAAATGGTTAAACGTATTGCCTAGCATTGCGCGAGACGTCTTGGGTTCGAATCCCAGTGAAACATATAATTGTTTCGGTCGGGCAAGGCACAGAGTTGATCAACTACTTGCCCGTTAAAAGAACAGATCAGTGATACGGACACAGAAATGTGTTCGCCCCATGCCCCACGAGGGGGAAACGGGCTTTCACTTCACAAGCTTTCTTAGGCTATAAAGATTAATCGTAGAACAAGCACAACCTTTTCCTGATCCTGATTCCTGATGATCTGTAATTTTCAACTTATCGCACTTATATCATAATGTACTATTAACGTATATGTAACTGGCCCAACGTTTCCGATGCTTTGCGGCACCCGTGCTTTGCAGAACTATCTGAGTAAAATAACATTTAAAAAAAGACAGTTATTAAGTTCACAAGAATTTGTTTAAGTACTGTGTGCCTTTTACTAATACGTTAGCTATAAAATTGTTGAGTTGTAGGCATTTCATTCACACACGTTCATTTAGGTAATAAAATGTAAATAAGTGTAAAGACATTCTAATAATAAATAAACCATTGTTTCGTCTCTCTGGGTTTTCCGACGTTTACTTTAAAGTAAGAAGGAAAAAGGCAAATTGAGAGTGCCAAGAGAAAATGAATTTACTCATTTTTTTTTCTAAATCATGGTTTTTGACGATGAAGGAGGATACACAATCATGGTGTGGTTCATTTGATGGTAGGTCAACCATATTACATCTAAACACGATGCGCTATCGACCTGTTATGGCTTTGGATATTCGGAAATCCACAGACTGAAACCGAAACCGTATTTCGTGGACCTGGGCCGAATTCCGATTTCTTGCCACCCATTTCATGTGCAAAATTTCCAGACAGAACTATAAATTGATTAGTAACATATTGGACCACACGGGGGTGATTATTATTAGATCGAGCCCGTTAGCCACCCAACATCTTAACTAGAGGAGTCACCTTAGTTTTGTTGCTACAAACTTTTAAGCCTGGTTTTAATTCAAAACAAGCCATACAATGAATTGAAATAATGTTTTAAATCCTACATTATGTTATTAAAACTTATACTAACAAAAAATTAAAATAGAGTCTTAATTAAAATCTAGCTAAGTACAGAAAACCAGTTTTCGTTATAACAAAAAACATACTCACTAAATTCATGCTGGGTCCTTATAAAAACGTAATTATAATCGATATTTCAAAACTTGTTAATCGACAACACTGGTCTAACTACATCACTAGACAACTCAAGCGCATCTTACGCGACCGTCAATAACAAACCTCAAAGACTTATTAAACATAGGCCAAACAAGACAGAAGGATGCATTATAATATTTACTACGGGTACGTGACGTAGCGAGGTGAAAAACAGTTTTCCTCGAGATGAAATGTCTCTACAAACATTTGTTTTAAGGTTTATTGTAGCTGTATCGATTGTTATTCAGCGTACAAGGCCGTTTGCGGCGCAGGTTTTTTTCTCAGTAATTTATTTGATGCTGAGATAAGTGCGGTTGAAGTTTGTGGCATCTAAAGTAGCTATACATCAAGTCCGTTGTTCACGCGAGTTTTTTTAATAGTTTAAAACACGAAAGCTATTAGGGAACTTATTTTTAATTTAATTATGGCCTGTTTCGGATGCTTTGAAGCAGCCGTGGTCGGCTGCAAAACTTGGGAGAATAATAGCAGGTAAAATAAATTGTAAATAAGTTATATATTTCGCGTTTTATATCGTTAAAAGTGTTTTATTTAAATAGATAGCTATAAGACTGCACAATATAGTATATTTTGTAACAGTGGAGAATATGTGCTATCGACCTATTTCTATTTTGAACAGTACGGAATCCACAAACGGAAATCGGAATATAGTTTGACACTGTGCGGCATTTGCCGTTTGTGACTATGTCTCGTGACCCGGACGGAAGTTTGATTTTCCTACCGCCCAATTTGTATAACTTTTTTAAAGCGCAATCTTACCCAATAGAACTAAATTTATCTGTTATCACTTCGTGAAGTAAGACGCGTGACAAACAAACGAAAAATCTCAATTGTTCTCAATACATGTTTTTCTATTTTGCTGCCATATTTTATCTATAGTCCAATATGGCCGAATACTAACTTACTTTTTGAGCTATATTTGACTATAGATGGATTTATTATTTTATAATATCAAGATGTTGAAATTGCATACTACTTTGCATTCAGGACGAGTGAACACTTCCGACTTGAGACGCTTGTTATGACTGCTAAGGATAAGGAAATAAACTTTATCAAACAATTATTATAATGTTATCGTTTAAAATAACACTTTTATCAATTATGGGCAAATATTATTCAAATGGGTGCGTGCGCGAATTACGTCTATGCCGACAATGGTGCAAAGTTCGTAGTTCTTCTCGTTATTAAGTTTATTAGTTATTTCGTATGGGGTTTGATTTCTCGGTGTAAAAATTAAAAGTATTACAAAAAATTACGTAGATTTTTATCAATACTTTCATACAAAATTGAAACATTTGCTTTTCAGTCCTTGGTAATTAAATTTTTAGCTAACTAAAATGATAAAAGCTTATAAAATTTGTTTTTGCAAACCTTCTCATCTTTATTAAGATTTAAGCCATTATTTATATATTACCAACGGCGTTGGTCGCGTCCCGTCATTCTTGCAAGTTAATCTTCAAAGATAGATATATAGTGTTGCAAATACTTTTTTAGTTCAAATACAGAGAAACAATTTTTTCATACATATTTTTTGGATATCTTGAACCATATTTTTCCCCAATCAACCAATAATTTCACCCGTTTTCTCTGCATTTTCCGCTGTTGCTTCGCTCTTTTATACCCTTTATTTGGTTAGATCACAAAAAGAAAATTCAATTCGAACGAGTAGTTCCTGAGATTCGCACGTTCAAACAAACAAACAAATTCTTCAGCTTATATATTAATGTGATAATCAATAAGAATGACACATGACAATTAGTCCACTTAAGTGTATCAAAACTAGAAATTTTGTCAGAATAGTGAAATAATCAGTGCAAGTTTCAATTTAAATGTCAATCTGTCAATTAAACGGGTTCTCTGCAGACACTTATTACGAAGAGGTCGCGAACTCCGTCCTGATTAAGTGGGAAACTATTTTTATTTGGATTTTAGATTAGTTTTTGCGTAACTATAGTTTGTCTCCTGTTTTAGATCGTTGAATGGCAACCAATGGAAATAATATTTACGATGTTTTTCATTGGCAATTAATTTATATCCAGAAATTATGTTTTTGAAATAATCATTTTCATATTTTAAATAAAACACTTTAACCGTTTAAAACGCGATACTAGTTAAACTTATTTGAAAATTATAAGATAAGTTAATAAGCAAATAAATATCGCGTTTAAACTGTTAAAGTGTGATATTTAAATGTGTACACACCAAGCTATAGACAGTGTTTTCATATTTTGTTAAACCTTTCAATGTTTTTATCTTTTTTAAAGAAATTCGAATTTTGCAAGTTTTTATAATTTGAGAGCAAATATTAACTAGACGTTATAGTGATGAGAAATTTCATCTACCATCAAATGAACCTATAATCTATCTGTATCTATATTTGACATCTACCTTCTGTTTAAAAACTTTAATATTTTTCACATGTAATGATACACATTGCATATGATGGCACAATATAAATTAGAAATAGATTTTTTATTGTAAATTACGTCATGGGCAGGCCTTGAACCGGCGTCCATAGCGGTGCGTGCTGTTGCTCTGACCAATTGGGGTACTAGCTCAATTCGGGTTTAATTTATGCTACTTTAAAAAAATAAACTTACTGATAAACATTTGAGGTATGATTGAAGTATCGTCATATTTAAACTTCGATTTATCTTCTAGAACGGCGAGTGGGCTAGTCCAGGTCGCGGTAGTGGTCAAGGCGCGGGCGGCACTGCGCGCAGGAAACAGAGCTGTCCGGCGCGGGCGCAGCCGCTACAGGAACAAGCTTGTCCAATCAAAGCGGAGAATGTAATCCTCATACCCTAATTTACACGACTAATACCTTAGCTATTAGTTAATTGTAATTGCTTTCGCTTCCTCGAATTGTTGAATATCTTGAGGTATAATGACTCGTTAGTCACTTTGCATGAAAATCATTTATTACCGTCAAGGTGCTTTATGCTCTTTTGAGCTATAAAAGTAAAAAAAAGAGTGTAAATTATTTCAGATTGTAAGATGGCTTACACTATTTGGACTCGAACCCACAACGACAGCTTAATATGCTGTTGGGCTTCCGTATTCGATCAGAATTATTAGGAATGTTATTTTTTTTAATTGCATTCATTGCAATAACGTAACTTAGAACTATTAGATGTTGTATTAGATGAAGTATAGTTCCTTGACTGTATATATACTGGACAAATGTATACTTTGTCTGTAGTTTACGCTAGTATGTACTACTCCCGTAAACTTAAACGAAACAAAACGCGAAATATTTTAGTTAACTTACCAAAAAGATATTTTTCGGTCCGACGTTCCGAATGCTCTGCAGCAGCTTGGTCACGGGGGAATTTAAGACCTAATAAAAAATAACTAATCTCCAGGAACCAACGGACCAAGCGGCGAACATTAATTCGAATAGAAGCAACTCTAACAACGCTTCAGGCGGATCGCGGTTCGAGCTGACGTGCACCAACTGCGGCACTCACACCACGACAATATGGCGTCGCGACGCGCGCGGCGAGATGGTGTGCAACGCGTGCGGACTGTACTTCAAGTTGCACGGGGTCCCACGCCCCACGGCTATGCGCCGTGACACCATACACACGAGGCGTAGGAGACCTCGTCACGAAGTCAAATCGTCCAGATCAAGTTAGTTTTTATCTTTATATAACGGGGGTAGTTTCAACTATTTCTACCCTCATAATTGTTCTTATATTAACCTCTTAACTACCATACTGGATTTAAAGATATGTAAATAAAAGAAATTAAGTATAGAGGGCCGTTCGTCTTTTGTTAACATCTGACTTGTTAGTTCACTTTTTTACAAATTTTATAAAATAAACTGAAGATGAAACATAAGACATATATAACATAGAATGAGAATAGAGTTTATTAAAATAAACTAACGTTACACTTAAAAAGTATATTTTAATCTAATAATCTCTAATATCTGTTTTCAGGACGGCGAGGTGGAAGCAGTGGCAACACAGAAGCTGTCGAAACGAGTGAACCCGTGTCTGGTAGTGGGGCGGCGTCTGTCGGGGGTGTAGCGGCGGACGGGGCGGAGGAAGCTGTGTTAAGTGCGCTGCGCAGACAACTTCAGCCACACCTCTTGGCTGCACTGCATGCGCATACGCGTCCGGCTCCGGTCAGTTCTTGTTTTTAATAAAATTATCATAGGAAATAATTTGTACAACTGTTTTAAATCGACAAGGATACTTACTATCCATGTAATCCGTGGACTTCTGAATATTAATTATTTTTCTCTTCTCTCATCATCTTTGAAAACTTTAATATTGTTCATATATTTTGCTCATGATGGCTCTATATAAAATCGAAAATAAATCTAAAAAAAATACGACTCGGACAGGACTCCGGCAACGTCAGCGTTCCGTGCTGTTGCCTTAACCAGTTAAGCTACCGAGTCCTAGGACTTCGATTTTTTATTTATAAAATCGTCCTATATTCATATTCAGTCTGTGAGTTTGAGTGACACAGTGGGGATCAAACCCACAAATGGTTGATTATTATCTATACATTGCTATCATTTATATATGCATATATTTTTTCAGATGGGTCGAGGTATACCCGAGTACGATGAAGCGCCGCTCAACCTCGTGGCGAATCACGTGGCGGCCGAAGAGACGCATTGACCGCTCACTTAACTTGACATATTCCATTTTTAAATAACACTCGACATGCACCCGTGTACAAACGGCCAGTTACAGGTACCATAGACAAACCGTTATGGAGGGAATGTTTTTTTAAACGCCATGTTCTCACACTAAAAAGTTTCTACAATACGCGTTGGAAAAACAATCCACCGATAACGAAGACGCGTTATTTTAATAGATCTGATATTTAATCTCACTTTTGTTTAATAACGATTCTATAAATGCAAAACTATATTTTTGTGGATGTTCACCCATTCGTTTTATACCAGTAGTAGTGTTTTAAGGCCAGTCTAAAGACAATATAGAGTCACATGAGTACTCGAGTTTGAAACTTAAATCAGAGCAATAAATAACGGTTTTATATAACTAAATATTTTTGTACGGTCTACACAAACGGTATGGCATATTTTCAACGTTGAAAGATTATTTTGTGACACGTTCAAATTTGAGTACTCATTGACAACGGCTGTATACAAGGAAGAATATGAACAGTATGCAATATGAAGTATTACGAAAAAGCAGGGCATTATTTTTCTAATAAAGACGTAGATGTAGGCGAAAGACTAGTGCCTACTCGTTACTAGGCTAGATCTTTCTGTGGATTTCTTCAATGTAAGTTCTACCAGTGTAATGAACTTAAAATATGATCGTTTACCCTGTGTAATGTGACTACTTAAAATATAGTCTCAACTGTAACGTTCTGTAACGGATTGTTACTTTGCATCATACGTATATATCTAGTTAGTTAAAAGATATAAGATTGTTATATGCAAGGTAAAACACATTCGGAATAAGTGTCACAATCTAGTTTGTATGGATCTATGCAGTGAAACTCGTGGTTCACTAATTTTCGATGAATGTAAATTCCCCAATTTCCCTAAATTGTGATACGTAAATTGCCCTATGGCGTATGTTTTTCTTGAGATTACTTTTGGCCGGCGCGTCAAGGCGATACAGGGCCAAAGGGACCTTGCCTGAATGCTCTCTCTAAGTTTGAAATTATTTACGGTTACCTATTGCAGGAAGCAAGTATTCATTTAGCTCTAAGTTCGCGTTAAGATATTGTAAATTTTTTTATTTCTTACCTAGCGTTAAGTTTTTTTTACACGCATACGTCATGTAACTTATTTTCGCCCCGATTTCGGTCAGTATTCGAAATGTAAGTATTTCACACTGAAGTATTTTGGTAGTGTGGTGTGTCGAAGCAATAATTACGAATCTCCCCTAATTAAGGAACGTAGTATCGTATAAATAATGAATAGTTATAGAATCTCTTTGGAGGAATATATTACCATGACTTCGGTAGTGATTTTACATAGTATTTTTTGATATTTCCGTTCGGTGTTGTTCTATATTAATGTTAGTCTACAGATCGCAGAACCAAATTACACGGCATTACTAGATAACCTATGGTCAGTCAATCGAAGCATTTACTTACGCGTCATCCGAAGCGGGCTGTCCGCTTTATTTATTTGTCACCGTCCTATACTTAAATCTACTTAATTTAGTTGTAATTAATTTATTGTCGGATCAACCCACGGGCCAGTAGATACACCAGTCTAAGAGACATTGTGATAATTTAGCTTGACCACGCTTACTCCGGACATACGTAATCTTTCGTTGCAGCTAATGTGACCTCTCGTATTGCAAAGCTTTAAAATTTTGAGATTATTCACCCTTCCGTATTGGGATTATTGTATAGAACGTAGTTTGTACTTAGCGTCGTTTGAATTGAATCGTGTATACTTTGACAATAATACGCATCAAATCGCTCTCTAGCCTCTAAAGCTCTCTGCGAAGGGAATCCCGTTTTCTTTTAACGTTTAGACTAAGCTTAGTAATTAGGATTAACACGAAGCAATGGTTAAAGGTACGGACAGAGTTATTTCGCTAACACTGCTCGCGGCAGTGACACAGTATTATTTTTTATTCATTATTCTGTACATTTCTTAGTTATAAGCGTCCGCTAGTAACTCAGTGGAATAGACCCGTTCTCCCTCTCTTTCGATCTTCCAATTGGTTATTTATTATTATTTAGGTTAACGGATAATTGGTATAGCGTGTTAATGCGTATAATTAAGTTACTAACATACCGGTTGTGTCGTGTGCGCTTACGAGCTAACAAGCATGTGTTTGTGATTATTTTTATGTCTGTTGCGCAAGAGTACAGGGTACCGTGTGCTTGTTTTATAATTTATGCTGAATTCGCATTGATGCTGTTCGGGGAAGCCCCGCGTACCCGCAAAGATCGAGCATAAATCACTTTGTTATTAATTCTTCTATCGCGTCTGCGCGTACGCCATTACCTTTTAAATCAATCGTCATTCAATTGTTTCGCCGCTGTATTCAATTCCATTGGACAGTTTGCATTCGTTAAGACTGAACGCTGAATTCGATGTCGTCTTTTGTTCAAATTACCTTTTTCCATTCGTCGTTGAACGTAAAAGTATTGTAAACGATATGTGATATATGTTGTAGAATGTATGTATTTCCCGAGAAGCAATAAATTTGTGATACTATGTAGACGTGGGCGTTTCCTTACGTGTCTCCACGAAGGTTGCTCTGCATAATATTAGTATGTCAATTATAAAGAAAAAGTCTGCCGACACGGTCTCGGCGTCGAAATGTAATTCCAAGTCAATGTATTTATTATAAGACCCTTCGTTAGACGTCGCTCTGTCACTAACATTATCTCGTCTCAAAGTACGTCTTAAGAGGTATTATTGTGTAATACTCCTCATGTAAGCTTATGGACCACACATTGTTTGAATCGCGTGTTGACGTAAGTTTCAGCATAAATTATCGTCGGTGTACCGCAGGTGTATGCCAGGAGCGTTCCGGAATACTCATTGGAGCATTATTATTGTTGTATAGATGATAAATAATGTGACTTACGCAGGGATGGATACTTAAATTATTAAAATTTTAACTGATATTATATTGGCTATGTAGTGAGTAGAATATTTTTTTACAAATAAATTATAGCAGCTATGTCATTTATCTTTTATTTCATCGCCCAATCTGATTAGCTAGTTTTAGTTTTTATTTAAATTAAATATAGTAATAAGTATGATGTCTCTAGTTCGATTTACGTTAATACACGTGTATGAGAGAGAGGATCTCTATTAAAGCAAATAAACATCAATGACAGTGGGATCAAGATACACAAAAAATATTTAAGGTGGCGATAATTTTTTTGTATAAAATTCGGTTGTAAGTCACTAAGGTGATCACGACCACAATACTTACTAATGAAAGAGATTTCGTTGATTTTAAAAAATAATTGCTATATTTAATTTGACGGTTATGTACATATTTAAGTAACAGTAACGATTGGTCGCTTGAGGGCTCTTCGTCTGCGCGTGCGCTTATCAGCGGTGCGTCTTTCGTCCGTCGCAACACGGAATAACTGTTCGCTCTCATTTGCTTCAACATCTCGCTGCAACCATTGGAGTGCATGAAGATTGAATCCAACCATATCCTAAAAATCATTTGAACTTGATAAAGAAGAAACCAAAAAATATATATATAGCTTCCTACTTATGTTATGTATGTAAATATTTGATCAAGTTGTCAATTCAAGATTTTAAACTTAAATTATATTTTAATTAAATATATTTAAATACTGTCTATAGTTTACGCGAGTAAACTGCAAAGCATCCGAAACGTCGGGCTGAAGTTAAAACTCATTTTCAAATAAGTTTAACTAATACATCGCGTTTTAAACCGTTAAAGTGTTTTTATTTAAATAAATACATTTATTTAATTCTAATGACACTTGAAGGATTAAAAAAAGTTAAATAAATCTTTATGAAAATTATTAAAGGTTCAAAGAGACGCAGGACTTCTATTTTATAAATCAAAAATGATATCTCATCTATCTTTATTAGCAAAGCAAATAGCTAGGAGCACATCATACCGCAAGGAATAAAAGAGCGTAGGATAATTTGCGGGTAAGTAGTGTGGTAGGTAGTTGATATTTACTTACCCTCAACTCGTTTAGCCTCATAGTGGCTTTGGCCTGTATCTGAATTAGGTATTTGAGGAGCTGCTGGTTAGCAACTAAGGGTGCGTGATGAATCTTTAGCAGGAATATTGCTAATCGGCACAACAGCTCTGTTTGGTCGCTTCGTTCCAATAACGTGGTTAACATCTTTAGCAATTCACATGCTGTGCTGAACGGTAAAAGGAGTAGGGCTTCTTCTAAATCGCTGGAATAAAAAATACTGTTGAGTCTAAATAATTACAATATACTAATCGAAATTATGTAGTAGTTATTTATCTGATAATACAATATTAAAACTTTATTGTCTTCTTCTTCTTTCCCCTTAGTTTATTTATACGTAATTCTTTCAGCTATTATGTTCGTGACGGTAATCTGCCACTGATTCCCTTAACTATAGAAGACCAATATGCTACCTAGATCGTATTTTGCGTATAGTCTCAAGTAGAAAGTCCTCAGCGTTCGTGCAATTATAAGCTACCATTAACACTGGCGGCTGAACGGGAGCTCCTCTAGCAGCCGTTACTTCTGCTGTGTACTCTGCTCCCACTGTGAGGCATTCTAGTATAGAATCCGCCTGTAAGCATTAACAAATTATAAAATATGGTCCTTCGAGCCAGAAATCAAAGACTAATTAAAATATGAAAGTAATTGATTGATTTATTTTATTTATTGATTCGGATTTAATCAATACTTACAGCTTTCTCAGCTCCTATAGTTTTCTTCGTAGGCATCGTAAGACCAGGAAGACCAGGCACTGGTGCCTGTAATTGTTGATTGGTTATTTTAACATAGAATAATAACAATTAAACTAACAGCAACACATTATTGTTAAGCAGAAGGACAAGTTTGGGATTCACTATACAGAGAGGAAAATGTCCCATCCTTTAACTTCGTATTAAGATGCGCAGTCGACTTATTAATTAATAACAATAGATAAATTAACTACATGAAATGGTCACATACGTGTTGTTCGCCAGTAGCCAGTCCCTCTTCTTCTTCGTCCTGGTCTCCGAGTACTATAGGTTCTTCAGTCCTGGAGTAGAGACGCAACGCTCGATCAGATCCACAAGAAACTGCATGTAGACCGCCAGCCCCAACCGACAATCGCAAACATTCGCCAGCATGACCCTAGGAATATATTTTTTTATTTTTGATAGAGAGAGGACAGGTTTACTTGATGGTGAAATACCCCAGCCGACCTATCTAGGCTTTGGATATTCAGAAATACACAGACTGAAAACGAAATTAAACTTAGGCTTTTTCAACTGTGGTGGTTCGTGACTCGATCGGATATCCAGACAAAGTCCAACTTTGATTATTTTTTAAATTGATTAGAAAAATATTGGACCCGGTATGGATGAAACGCACTTAATTTTTAGCTATATATTGCTACCATTTCACGAACGAGCCCGTCTTGTAATAAAGGTTATAGTGTATATACAGTAAAACTGACAGACTCCATTAGAACATTTTACGAGGTTTTATGACAGACACATTTATCAATTTCAAACATCAACTTTTGCTATTCAAATAGTGCTACTAGAAAAATTAATATCAGGATATCAAATGTATTTGTTTCTTTTTTATTTGATTATACCTGTACCAACAGTCTTTACATTTTGAAGTATTCTACATAGTGATACTTACATTGAGCGTTATAATATTGTCGTACGAATCGCCGTCCCACTGTTTGACTTTGCCATCCTTCGAACCAGTGAAGAAGTAGTGCGTGCTGGGCACAAACTGTACCGCGGTGACCGAATCGTTGTGGGCGAAAATCGACTTGTGACAGTCCCCGAAGTCCATGCCCCAGATCTTGACGTTGCGGTCTGCTGAACCCGTGGCGATTATATTCGAGTCGTAGCTGATGTCCAAGGAGAGAACAGGTAGTTTGTGACCGTATAGCGATAAGTAGAACTGTAAAGATACCAAAGTCTTTTAATCTACTATGTTACTCTGTGTACTCTATGATAATACAAGTTCATTATAGAGAAATACAGCATGAGACAGCAAAACATGGGGTTTACTTGATGGTAGATGAAATATCTGAGCCATATAACATCTAAACAAGATGCGCTGCCTACCTATATTGGCTATGGATATTCGGAAATCCACAGGCTGAAACCGAAACGCGATTAAACTTCACGGCTTTTTCATGTGTCGGCGGTGTTCGTGATCGCGGCGGAATGTTGATTTTCTTCTACCCATTTAATATGCATATAAATTGTAGTGCAGTATATAACCCACGACCCGTGGCATATTGCCAAATCGCTTAAAGACTGGGTTCGATTTCGGGGAGAACCAACTATATCTTGGACCCGTGTCTAGGATTTTTAAAACCATAAAAATGTTTAAATAAAACACTTTAACGGTTTAAAACGCGATATATTAGTTAAACTTATTTGCTGCTTATTTTTGCTTATAAGTTAAAATTCATGATTTTTAACGTCGGACCGAAGTTAAAAATCATTTCCAAATAAGTTTAACTAATATATCGCGTTTTAAACCGTTAAAGTGTTTTATTTAAATGTGTACTACTCGCGTAAACTATAGACGGTATTTAATTAACCATGAAAATGGTTACTTTAATTACCACCTGCAGGTAATTGATAAAACTTGTTGCCTAGCAATGCGTTAAGCGCGAACGGTCACTTTGACTCACAGGGAAACAATAGATCATTTCTGTTGGGCAGGGAACAGAAGCTTGATCGACTTATAAAACCGATCAGTGAAACCAACACATAAGTGTGTTCATCCCTTACAACACGGCGGGAAACGAGATTTTAGTATACGTACTTTAAACGTATCTAAGAAGAATATCTTCACTGTCGAGTCTAATAGGGCCACAGCAATAAACTTGTTGTTCGGACTTATAGTCACTGCTGTCACTGTTTCTTCCAGCTCCAGGGTCCGTGTATGTAGGAGGGAGAGTACCTGCAATAATTTCGTCATGTGATGAATTAAAAGTAAGGAACGAATTTAACGTAAATATACAATATTTTCTCTCCTTTCCCCAGACCTAACAAATTGAATATTCTAATAATTAATTCATATATGTAACTTGATAGCGATAAAGAATTGACTGTATATATATTCTTTATTAAACGGTTTAAAAAGCTAAATGTATTGGTCAAACTTATAAAAAAATATTAGTGTTATATTTAAATGTGTACTACTCGGGTAAACTATAGACAGTATTGAGTTTATAATTGCTTTTCACTCAATAATACGGTGAATGAATTAGCTTATCCGTCTGTTTCTGTATAATGGATACCTATGTGCATATTTAGTTATACTAAGTACTTTTGTAATCGACATTTACCTTAGCCTTTGATTCTCCAGTAGGATCGTCAATTAGTTCAAACTGCCATAATTTGACTGTTTTGTCTCCACCCCCTGAATAGCATCCACGCTGAAATCATAAACAAACATTATTTATAAAGAACATTCCCCAATACATGTTATAACAAATAATCGTGCTACAAACATTTGATTACTAACAGTTTTTATTAAATTAAGCATAAAAGTCGTTAAATTTTGAAAATGATAACACACACTTATCACTTATCACACACACACTTACGCAGTTATCAATGACTGTCATTTGTTCTAGTATCTGTAGCTATAACTTGATCATATTTAGTTAAAAAAGATTTATTGAACTGTAACTACTTGATCCATTTTGCAAATATGTTTTAAACCTATCAAGCCACGTTCAAAATTGTATATACGTTATATCTTAAGTTTAATAATTCTTACAAAAACTTACCGAATCGGGAGTTAGTCCTACAGCTGCACAATTGGTGGAATGTGCTGGAACCTGTTCCAAAATGGTCCCAGCAGCCACATCAACCAGGAGCAGGTGTCCATCTGCACATCCCACCAAGGCGTGTCTGTCACCAGGAGCGAAGCAAGCACTGACAGGTCTACCACACGGCACTTGCACTGTTCTAAGGCAGGTCTGACTATTTCTGTTTTTCAAAAAAGGAAATTTAAGAAAATTTTCGACACTATAGAATAAATAATTGGACATCTTGTTATTTGAATTAAATAAGTATCATTATAAAGTGCCTGAATCGTCGTTAAAGTAAAAACTGTTAATGTCTTTTAAATATCTATGTAAATTACTACAATTCGAAAGCGTCAATTTTAGAGTTGAATAAAGATGTATAAAGGAAATAAAAAAAACATACCTATTCCATAATTTTATAGAATCAGCTGAAGCTGAGAGTAAAGCCAGGTTATCTGAACTGATAGCAACACATCTGGGTTCTTTTTGATGCCCCGGTAGATTTATTTGCTTAAGACATTTAACTGAAACAAAATATAATGTTAATGTTTTGAAAACTCTAATATTTTTCACATCAAGGCATTATATAAATTAAAAATAGACTTAAAAACTATATAATCAACGTATACTATACTACTAACCGTAACGTAACTACCATAACGTAAATACCATACTACTAACATTAAAAGTCTTTTATTGTTAGTAGTATGGTATGGTCTCAAAAGTATACTAGATTTTTTGGACAATCTGTCCTACTATATATATCTTGAGGGCAAACACTAAGTTACCTTATTGTGGGGGAAAGAAAAAAAGAGTACATTTTTTTTATGACAGATAAAAGAACCATGGGATTCATTTGATACAAAAGTATAAAATCTAAACAAAATGTGCTGCGTTGCTTTGGAAAACTTTAAAATTAAATTCTATTCTTCTAGTATATTTGGTTATTTATGTTCTATATAAATTATTATTCTAAGGTAAAACATTCAACCTACCTTCACTAGCATCGTTGATATTCATACTATGCAGTTCAACGCTATTACTAGCCAGCGTGACACCCACTCTCAATTCACCACTCAAGCCCAACAGCAGTGCAGTGGATTTAACTTTTGTGGTTAACTTCAACGATGTCAATCTACGAACTTCATCGGTAAGAGTTAGAATTTCTTTTATGTCTTCTATTTCATTTGTCCCTTCCGGATTGTCAGCTAATTTACTGTGAAAAGAAATATAATTTAAGATGTAAAAATTATATAGAATCTTGTTACAAGACCAATACTGATGTGATTTACTATTTCAAAGTAGATATTATTCAATAGCTGTATAAACGACTTCACCACGAATTGGACATCCAAATTCGTTTTTGCAAACCCCTTCATCTTTATAAACTTAAGCTGTTACCCACGACGTCGGTCGCGTCCCATAGCTCTGACAAGTTAATGTTAATAGATAGACGTATAGCGTTGCGGAATTTTTTTAGATCACTTATAAATGAATCATTCTTTTTACATATTTTTGGGGTTCTGGAAAAGTTTATGCAGCGTATGCCTGGAAACCAAAATGATGAAGCAATTCCCATTTTTTCACATTTCTCATTGTATCGCTTATTTAGTCACTGAGCGATGTTTTACAGCCTTCGTAATAACTGTCCAACCACCAACCAACTCAAAGGAATTCTTCAATTCCAACCTTATTCCTTAGATCAGCGAGGCAAACAAACAAACAAAACTCTTCAGCTTTATATATTAGTATAGATTAGTTCCCCCCCCCCCCCCCCCCCCCCCCCCCACCTCTGACTCAACCTATTTATAAATGCAAACAAATCTCCAACACCACATCCAATAATTGATTATAGTATTTGTGTTAGCATTACTTACACACTTACGCAAGTTTTTTACGTTGTTTTTTTATTCTCTTATTCATTCTTAGTTTAGCTTCATCATCTGAGCAGAACGCAAATAGCTCTAATAAAGAATCTGTACCAAAGCAGGCCAGAACAGTTTGACCAGGGTCCGTTGATAGACCTACAACACGGCCTCGACCACCTCGAACTAAAGTACCAACTTGATGGCATTGTAAGACCTATAACAACAGTATATTACATAATGAAATAAATGTACAATTATGGTAAACAACATACACATTGATGTTACCATCCACATAACCAATAGCCATATGAACTTGTAGTGGTGCAAAATATATATTGATATAACCATCACAGCTTGATTACAGTATATACAACAATCTTCCTTCTTTAGATATAAAAAGGACCAATGCAAAGAAGCTATTACTCACAGAAGTGTCTTCTGTATCATCACCATCCTCTAGCTTTACAATCTCTAGCTGTTGTACAATTTTATCTTCTTCTTTAATCTTATCTGTCCAGACTAGTTTCCAGACTTTTAACTCTTGGTCCATACAACCTGTTACTAAGTATCTTTCTTCTTTTAGTAGTACTGATGACCATACCTAGAACCAGTATAAACTTATTTAGATCTATTTTAGTACTTCAATGCTTGTCCATCAACATGATGAAGTAATTTTATAAATTAAGAAATGATACGATCAGAACTTCTTCTTACCTCTGTTTGATGTCCTCCAAGTGTTTTAAAACAGTGCTTAGTCTCAATATCCCAAAACTTCACAAATGTGTCTTTAGATGAACTGACTATGCAATTTTTGCCATTAATGAAAAGTACACTTGTAACAATTCCCTTGTGCCCACTAAATCTGGCGATACCCATTTCTGATACGACATCCCACAGGATGACTTCAGTGTCCTGTAAACAGGCAACACATTACAAAAAATATTTTACATGCAAATGATTAAACATTTCAAAATTTGATGTTTAGTTATAGTTATAAAATTAAAAAGATCTTTGTATGTAATTAATCTAGTATTATTATTATAGATAGTAGAAGAAAAGCACCTTAAGACAATAATTCAATTAAATTGTTGTCTCCTTAAACTTCCAACAAAATATGACAATGCTTTTTGTTTAGGACATTTGTAGATATACCGATTGCATTATCTTTAGTTGCAAATGCAGTTCAAATACTTTATTAGACATTACAAGATGCTCTCTAATAAAACTGTGACTGATTCAATAATATTTATTTAATATCATTTCAACCTGTTACCTTTGAACCCGATACTATTCTATGCCCCTGTTCATCATACTGCAAACATGTAATGGCAGATTTGTGACCAGCAAAGACGCAAACTAATTCATTGCTGTTCAAGTCGTACACATTGATGTTGCCATCTACATAACCAATAGCCATATGGTTTCCTGTAGGGCTGGCAGCTATTTGGGACACCACAACTTTTTCACCAGTTATCACTTGTGCCTTTAATTAAATAAGTAATATTGGAATAAGTAAAATGGCCCATCATTCAAAATTATACAGAATCAAATTGTATAAAGGTAATAAAAAAATCACATAGGTTAGTTATTGATATCATAAGTAGGTAATAAAATAATAGATTTTCTATTTAAATATGTAGATAGAAAAAATTTAACATGAGGTGACTTGACCCAGTATACACACCAACATTGGTACAGGTGCTTGAACCAATTGAAGTACCATGTCTATCTATAATTTATATACATTTTTAATCTATATAATGCCATAATGTGGAATAACATGAGAAAAATAATAATGTATTCAATCATAAGTAAGATTTAAGTGCAAGTTAAATATTAATATAACAGTGTTTGTGACGGGTGTACTAGATACAGTTCGTGTCATGAAATAATTTCATTCAATTACCTTTTCTCCTAATCGCATATCCCAAATAATAACATGTTCACATGCTCCCACTGCTATATATCTTCCTGATATTCCGTTTAGAGCTACATGGATACTGTTGCAATCGGGACTAGTTACAACGTTAAACGTTCCGCTCGGAGCATACCGAAGATATTGTTTTGTTAAACCCATGATAGGTTTTTTGCCGATAAATTTTAAAATAATAACCAAAATCCCACATCAAAACACACAAACCTCGTTGTTTTGACTTATGTTGTATTCAAATTAAATCTTTTATGCATTGTCAATTGTCACAAGATTTCGTATTTTTCATAATAATCTGTAGTTTTATTTAATTCATATATACTCTATGACTATTTTCTTCAAATGCTAAGGAGAGGGTTTTTAATTGCCCGTCTTAGTTTTTTCATTTGTGTACTGTTTTGCGAAGGCACGATAATGCGGTTGTGATATAATCGGTTATAGCTGTGTACATTGTACTTTGTAATTTCAGTTCCAGATTTGACCTAATTGTATTTTAACTAAAAGAACAACATTACCCCATCGAAGGTTATCAGGAGCCTTAAATAAGCCTTTCAGCAATTAAAGGACTGTCATCAGGTTATTATGTTACTCAACAAAACCAGGTTTATTGTTTTTCTTGTTCTTCAGCCGTGTCTAACATCATAGCCTTAGTATTTATATCTTTTATAACCTCACTTACTGTTTATAACGTAAGCATTCTTTATTGCAGACTTGGGTATACAAATCGTTCGCAAAAGTGTAATATGGAGACTAATTCTACATCGGATATTGTAATTCTAAGTGGAAACTCGCACCCGGAGCTCGCTGAACAAATTGCTAAGTATGTTTAAATATGTTTCGTATTCAAGTTGCTAATTAGATTGCCCTTACATTAAATCTTACGTCATTTTGCAGTCGCCTTGGCGTACGCAAAGGAGGATGCTCTGTTTACCACAAAACCAACAGAGAAACAATTGTAGAAATAGCAGACTCTATTCGAGGAAAGAACATTTATATTGTACAGACTGGGACTAAGTGAGTAAAAGGCATAAACATTCTATATGTACATTTTATTTAAACCATTGAGTAGTAGTTATAGATACACGCTTTTGGAGTCCCATTTTTGCAATAAGATCTAAAAGAACTATATCTTAAGTATGCTGACTATTAAGATAGAGGTTTCACTTAAGATAGTTAAGTCAGTAAGAGGGTTACACATCTTTTTTTACATTGAGGCAAGCATGAGTTTGCCTGGGTATGAATTCAAGTGATTCAATAAAAATATATTGTTGACTTCTACATAATTACAGTAACCTACCATGTTTTTATTATGAGATTTCAAACTCAGTTCTCTGAAAAAAATCTAGTCAACACTTTAAAAACATGATGTACATGCACTTGTATAATGCAAAGTAACAACTTAACAGTCATTATGGGTTCTTATCAAAGTAATATATGTGTTATATTATATGAACAAACATTGTACATTCCTATCTCAGATAACAAATTCACTGTAACTGTTTAGACAAAATCCTACAGTGTTTGCACTCTAATGAAAATATAAACATAGCTTGCTGACTCAGTTGTTTATAGTACCATTCTTCTTTAGGCACACTTATCTTCTTAAATTCTGTGTGGGCAGTATAGATAAATAAAATATGTATAATGTTAATATTAAAGTAACAGCTTGTTTCAATGATGTGTATAATATAAAGCATCTGCAAGAATTTGATGACTAGTCACAATAGGACACACCAAACTATATCTCAACAAGTACATAAAGACTAAAAGGAATAGAGTGCAATGGAAATCCTTACAATTGTAAACAATCTCAACCCAGGTTAAAAAAGTTATTATAATATAAAGATATTATAAAAGAGATGTGAGAGAGTTGAATGAGAAGAGCAACAAAACAAAAAAAAAGTTTTGTTACTTGCCATTAGAACCCTCAACTATGGGCAATTTATATTTATGTTATATTAAAATATTGTTTCTTGTATCTATCATATATCTTGTATATATCGTATAGGTCACTAAAATACTATATAAATTGAAATCGATTGTAAAATAAAAATAGACATGACACGACATGGGCAGGGACTTTAGACGTTCCGAGCTGTTGCTTTAACCAATTGTGCTATCGTGTCCTACACGTCATTGTTGAATTTTTCTATCTATTGATACATGCACTATCGCGCAGAATACCATTTTTTTTTATTATTTTACATTTAGTGATCTAACTTGCATGTCAAAGTTTCATCAGTGTTTATTTCTCTCATTTCAGAGATGTCAATAACAACATAATGGAACTATTGATAATGGCTTATGCATGTAAGACTTCATCCGCTCGCTCCATTGTGGGGGTCATTCCATACCTGCCATACAGCAAACAATGTAAAATGAGGAAACGCGGCTGCATTGTCACGAAACTCCTCGCCAAAATGATGTGCAAATCTGGTCTCACACACATTATAACCATGGACCTGCATCAGAAGGAAATTCAGGGTTTCTTTGATTGCCCAGTTGATAATTTACGTGCATCTCCATTCTTGCTGCAATATATCCAAGAAAGTGTAAGTTACATTTATGTAGTCTCTCTAATATGTTTAGCAACAAACTTGGATTTTGAAGTGTTTTGTTTGATTTGATTCTACGCACATTAATACATTTAATACATACATGGACTTAGTAAAAAACATTTCCTTTTATATATAGTTGTAACGAAGCTTACATTTACTTAATCCTTAATAACTTTATTTCTGAATAATATTATTGTTATAAATTACGTATTTTTAGGAATACACTCACACATTACATACCTTTGGAATACCTTTCTTTCATCTCTATTATCATTCAGATTCCAGATTACCGTAATTCAGTGATAGTGGCGCGAAACCCAGGATCCGCAAAGAAAGCAACTTCATATTCTGAAAGGTTGAGGCTAGCAATTGCTGTGATACATGGCGAGCAAAAGGAGGCGGAGAGTGATGAAGTCGATGGAAGATATTCACCGCCTTGTTTGCCAAGGTATTACACAACTAGCTATACAAATGTCATATATTATTTTATAATTGTTGAATAGCTCACAAAATAGATCCTTACTTAACTTAGTTTATTTCTTAAACCATAAATGTCAATAGTTATTGATGTCACACGGGACAATAAATTAAAATATGAAATAGGTCGCGTACAATGGATGTGCCAGTAGGAGTACCAGTTCACCCAGCTAAAGAAAAGCCACCAATCAATGTTGTTGGTGACGTTGGTGGAAGAATCGCGATTATGGTGGTAAGTGAATCTATACTTCAAAATTATAAAGGACAAAATCTCTATACACTTACTTTATTTACTAACTTTTCGTTTGTTTTAATGAAAATTCTACTAAATAGTTTATGCCTTAAATTACTAATATATATGAGAGAATGTGATAAAATCTTCCATACTTAACTTTTATAAAAACATAATTATTTTGTAGTGTATCAGAAAAACTATTGGATTTTAATCAGCCTGTAATTTCCACGAGTAAATAAAACAGTTTAACGGTTTAAAATGCGAAATATATGAGTAAACTTAGTTGATAATTATTTGAACTACGGCCCGCTGTTTCGGGTGCTTTGCAGGAGAAGTGGTCCCGAGAGAGTTTTATTTAACCGTAAAAGTTATAATTTCCCTTAAATATAAAGTTTTTATTTTTATTTTAGGATGACATGATAGATGATGTACAATCTTTTGTCGCGGCAGCTGAAGTGTTGAAAGAATGCGGAGCTTACAAAATATATGTGTTGGCGACACATGGTTTGCTCTCGTCTGATGCGCCGCGTCTGATAGAAGATTCACCCATAGATGAAGTAGTTGTCACCAACACAGTTCCGCACGAACTACAGAAGATGCAATGCAAGAAGATTAAAACTATCGACATATCTGTACTCCTCAGTGAGGCAATACGGCGCATTCATAATAAGGAATCTATGTCATATCTGTTTAAAAATGTTACCCTTGAAGATTAGAATTATCTGTAGTAAAACCATAGACGTAGAAGACGGGGCAAAAAGGATTAATGAAAAATCAAAATAATTTTCGACTTGCATTAACAGAAAATATAATGTGAAATGCTAAAAATATGTCATGAAATGTTGCCCCCATAATAGTTTTGTTTTATATAATTTAGAAAAAGCTTCCCGTTTTTATGACTCGTCACAGAAATCACCCGCCATTTTGTGCCGTCACTTAGATTAAAATCCCAAAAATATGTAAATTAATGTAATATAGTAATAACAAAACCTATTTAGTATTTTTATAGTATTTTCATAGAGTATTACATTTTTCATTCAGTACATGTTAATTTTCAAGCCGTTGCTGCTACATAGTTTAATATTCTTTGTCTTTAAGTTGTATTAAGTTAGTTTTTTTTTAAGTAAACACTGTTTTCCTGACTATTTTGATATATTCTGAAAATTTAGTGAAGATTTATACTATATTGGTGACTGTCCTGTGATTGTATATCTGCAATTTATGTAATTTTGTCTAAAGCTTTTATTATTGAACATATTCTTAATTTGTAAATGTAAGATGATGTTAGGGATAGAAATTATATAGCGAAAAGTATTTCACTCGCCACAAATGTATTCTTTTTGTTATTTATGTATTCTTTTGTCAATAAATATTTTTGTGGCAAATTCTGAATTTTATTTAAACAGGTTGGAAATGTAAAAGAAAACGTATCTTGAAAGACATTTATTTATAAAACCATTTTTTTTACAGTAGTAATATAGTCTCATAATCTGTGGTATTATTAAAGTTTACATATGACATAACGATTTAATGACAGTTTGAGCCTTGAGGTTATGATTTCAAAACAATATTAAAAATGTAAAAGAAATTAATTATTCTCATTACAGCAACTTTGAATGTATGAAAGTAAGCCTTTTATTCAATAATATCTATACCTATTACCTATAGGAAAGGATTAAAACAATTTATAATATACATTTTCAAAATGGGGATTAAAGGTATTTTAGGTTCTCACAAAATATCTGCGCTAAGAATCTGTTGCAGATATATTAGTAACAGAAATATCTTAAAGTTAAGTGATAGGGGCATGTTTCAGGATATGTTTCCAGAAAGTGCTGCGTAAGTTGCTTTTTCCTTACATTTCTTGCATCCTCTAATGGCTTTGTATCATTTGTAGCAATGGATATCATCCTTTAGGCTTTTTCATAATTGCTACTTAGATGTTGATTCATAAACCAATATCTTTATTTTTTTTTTAATTTACCTTGCATATTACACATACATTTTAACATAGTATTTTTATTTACTGAACATAACTTTTCTTTTAGAACGGATATACTAAAATTGTTAAAGAAATCACCACAAACTGTATATGCTGGGTTTGACCCCACTGCAAATAGTCTTCATGTTGGGAATCTTTTAGTAATTATCAACTTATTACATTGGCAAAGAGGCGGACATAACCCGATAGCATTAGTTAGTATATTCTCCTTAAAAACAGTTTGTTGTTTTGTTTGTGCTCATGATGAATTTTTTGTGAATCTTTTTAGTTAGGTGGAGCCACAGGCTATATAGGTGATCCCAGCGGAAAAAGCACAGACCGTCTGGCATTACAAAGTGAAATAATACAAGAGAATATTAAATGTTTACAAAAAAATCTAGAAATGGTTTTTGAAAATCATAAGAACTATATATGGTCTGATGATACAAGCAAGTTGAATCCTATAAAGTGTGTTAAATGTATGACGTTATATCTATTCAAGCTTTTTATATTTAATTTTGGCATTTACATCAATATTATTTTTAGGATTGTAAACAATGAAATATGGTATAGGAACATAGATTCCATACAATTTGTAAGTGAAATTGGGCGAAATTTCCGAATGGGCACAATGCTACTGAAATCTAGTGTTCAAAGTAGAATTAATTCAGAAGTCGGGATGAGTTTTACAGAATTTGCTTATCAGATCTTTCAAGCATACGACTGGCTGCATTTATTTAAAGAATACGGATGTAAATTTCAGGTAAATATTTTATACAAATGAACTTAAATATTTACATTACATTCTATCGGTAGTTACTAATTGCTTTTGTACTTTAATACAGATCGGTGGGAGTGATCAAATGGGTAATATAACAGCCGGTCATGAATTAATTGGAAAAGTTACAAAAGAAAGAGTTTACGGTAAGCTTTCATTAAAACCTGTATGCTCAGGTCTGATAATAAAAATTTTGCCATTTTATATCATACATCTGCATGACACATAATATCCTTATTTTCATTCTTGTCAATAAGTTCTAATATATAAATATTAATTCCAGGTTTAACTTTACCATTAGTAACTACAGAGGAGGGCGATAAATTTGGCAAATCAGCAGGAAATGCTATATGGCTTGATCCTAATAAAACTAGTCCATACAGCTTATATCAGTTCTTCGTTAGAACCAAAGACAGTGAGGTTGAGAAGCTATTAAAATTGTTTACATTTTATAACTTGGGGGAAATTAAAGATATAATGAACAAACATAAGCAACATCCCGATCAACGATATCCACAACAGTGTCTGGCTGAGCAGTTGACTGTTTTGGTTCATGGCAGTTAGTATACACAGTGATGTAATATAATACTGTAATAATATAACATAGTGTTCAATATCCTTTAATATGTTTTAACTAAGCCATTATTTAAGAAGTTAAAAAAGGTTGAAGTCTATTGTATCTGCTTTTAATCTATTTTTGGAATGCCTTATAATCTCAATCAACAAAATTGTATTTTCAGTTACTAAAAATTCTTCACCTTTCAGAGGAAGGCCTAGAAAAGGCCCACAGAGCAACAGAAGCTATATTCAAAAAGGATGTTAATTCTCTAATTACATTGAGCTCTACTGAACTTGAACAAGTGTTTGATGGAGCTCCAGTTATTAAATTGCTCTTATCCCCTGGCATTACCGTCTTGGAGCTAGGAATGAAAGCTAATTGTTTTTCTAATGAAAGTAAGTAAACAAATTATTATTATTAAATATTAATTTGGGTTGATGAAATATTAACAACCCAAACTGAAAAAAAAACAAAAATATTTTACTCAGCCAAGACAAATCACTAAGTATTTTAATACTTCATAAGTAATTTGAAATGATTAAACTTAAAAAAAATGCAAAGAGTAAGTAATTGTTTACTAATTACACAAATTATATTGTAGGTGATGCGATGAGAATTATCCAAGCTGGCGGCTTTTACATCAACCACCAAAAAATTAAGAACTTCAACGAAGTTATAACACAATCTGCTCATATTTTACCGAATTTTATATCCCTTCTTCGCGTGGGAAAACGCAACAATTACATAGTGAAATGGACAATATAATAAAAGTCGATCCGATTTAGTGATTTTATTATTTCTTACAACAGAAGCTTGTATACTTGCAGTATATCATAATAAAATGCATATCACATAAAGAAAGTCGTAAATACTACATAACATAATATTTTAGCCTACATTACATTCACTGAAACAGCGCGGCCATATAACTAATGCACTGTCGAGTCAAAATATAAAAATATGGCGTAAATAATACAACATTGTTTGTGCGCCCGTCGCCGTGACTAACTCTGATCTAATATCACAAAATATAATTGCAACATAATCTATAACATACATTTATCGAGTACACAAGATAATTGACATCTTGTGATATGTTTTTTGGAATATTCGCTTCCCGAATAAAGGGGGGAAAATCTTTGACTGACAAAAGCAATAGGCACGTATTTGTGTATACTAATTTCATCACATCGCTAAATACTATACCGATACAAAAATAAATCGTTCGCAAAATAATTTATAACTGTACTTACTCTTTACGAAAGCTGTCTGTATAATAGAGGGCATCAGTCTCGTACGATAAAATATACCATCATTCAAGCGATGGATACACTATGATTAGTCGACTACTTTAGGCCTAGTTGAATAAGCACCCGATGAAACCAGGTTCACGATATGAAGACCGATAATCTTCATGATAATTTAAGGCCGCACCATCTTCCAAGTATCACTTGGTACTAATATTAGCGTTTAGTTGGATCTATTTTAGTATTTGTGAATAGAAGTTTGGAAAAGTGTTCAGCCCAAGTAACACTTGACAGATCGTATTTACAATGTGATTTACGGTACTAAAATGCAGGACTAGAGGTCGGTGCTCTCGTTTTGAGGCTGAGCTACTGGGGGCGGCGGCGCCGGGACCAACGGCCGGGGGGGTCTGGACGGCTGGCTTCGAGGAGATTTGGGACCATCGGTGATATTTCCATCCGACTGCGAGAGCTGTCTACTAGCGTTCGTTAACTTTGGTTCATCCAATTCGGCGTCTTTTCCTCCAGAACTATGCGTTCGTTGCACAGTCGCCCGCGGTTCTTCCTCGTTCCCCCCTACTTGTATTACTGTCGGATGTTGTTTATCAACTGTGTAAATGTGAGTCCGCTCTAATACTGTAGGTGTGACGTCATTGCCGTCGGCTAGAGAGGATCTTTGACCGCGGAAGCTTTGCGGGCGCAGCGTCGCCGGTCGTTCGGGGACAGCTGGCTTGTGACGTAACTGTACTTCATCCGTTTCCGGAGCGGGAACAATCGTCCTTGGTGCTGCTACCGGCCGGGGTGGTGGCTGACCGGTTGGCTTTGGAATCTGTATTCGGACCGGTTTCTCTTTCTCCGCTCCGAGGGACGCCGGCCCACTTATATCTCCGACAATCTTCATCCTCCCAACTACCCCGGTTTGAGCTGTTACGCTTTTCACAACTAGCGTTCCATCTTTATCGTTTTTGAAGTCAAATTTGTCTTTCTCGAATTCAAAACTTTGCCGTCGGGCATCCGTTAAGTTTTCCCTGCTCCCGCTGCGGGCTTCCTCTTTGAGAGCTTTGTTCTGCCTGTACGTGGATCTGTTAATAGTTTGGACACCCGTTATAACTTTGCCAGTCTCGGAAATAACAGGCCGCGGTGGTTTCGCGGGTTTCTCTGTCTCCTTAACGGGGTTTTGGTCTTTTACTTCTGTCGCTTGAGTTTGTGCTTCGACTTTTTTCTTATCTGGCGTAAAGTTAGGAGGAACAGGTGCCAGCGGTTTGTTTTTCCGCCTCATTATTGGTTTGGGACTGCCGTGCGGCGGACTAGACTGGTCGGATAGCGAACTGTTGGATTGTGCTTTCTTTATATCGTTTTCTACTAAAATTAAACTAGTGTCGTGACTATTGCTTCGCGAGTGCCGGCCGGGGCCATCTGACGAGGTCTTTGGGACTTGATGGTTATAATCGAACAGAGATTTACTCATGCTATTGTAATCTCCGTTGCTGTGTTCCTGGTTTAACGCGGCCGTTTGATTAAATCCCTGTCCGAAGGTGGAAGTAAAACCATAATCTTGGTCGGAATACTGATCGGGTAGTAGGTGTTCTTTGGTGAAGCTTACGAAAAAATTGATTTCATCAATGAAGAACCAGTCAGCGTGCTTGATTAGAAGTTCTACTACGCAATTGACGGCCGTTGTAATGTTCATATCGAAGGTGCTTTCGTCTACCGCCCAGAGGAGATTAGGCGCAATCACGATAGCCAAATTAGACGGAGTCATCTTGTTTGTGCTTTGATTTTGTGTCAAGGCAGACAGAAATTTTATGAGATATCGAAGGTTTCGGAAGTTAGCCTCAGGGAGTAGATGTATGGTTTCCCATAGGGCGTTGAGTCGAGCTTGTTCAGTGGGCTGCCGGGAGGCCAGGATGAAGTTCTCGTATAATCTAAAGGTTAATAGTGGCTCTGGTAATTCTCGGAGGTAAGATTTGAGCACCGACGCTACGACGTGCATATCTTTGTAGTCAGAAGGTAGGGGCACATTGAACAAACCAGCATCCAGGGATAGCTTCATCCTTCTTACTTTCGAAGAACCTGCGAGAAGATGAAAACAATTAATATTCAACCTCTGTAAGAATACATATGAGTATAAGCACAAATTACTGTTTTATACATGTTTTTTTTTTATAATCATGTAGTAATTATGTAAGAATTATAAGTCGTATACCCACCACCAGCGATCCTAAACAATCCTTCCTCATTCAATGCCAGCTCGTGTAACGTGCAAACACACAGTTCTATGGGAAAAGCTATGGTTCGCCCCGTAACACGCAAATGTTCTTCCAACGGATAACCAAACACTGGCTTCACTGAACTGTCATCTGTAATTAAAGTCAATATTGTAATTGTGGCAACACATTCGAATGAAAGAGAAGCCCTTTACATAATTTGAACCAAAAATTAAAGAAGATATACCCTACCTACCCTACCCTAATATCTATCAAGGGGTTTTTATATAATTACATTATAATTGTCCTATTTTCTCAAACACGATAGACTTTGTCTTGAAAATCTGAATGTTAAATATCGAAATTCCAACCAGAACACGGAAACATCGTCCAGAGATCGAAATGTGAAACACCGTGTTTTGGTATCCGTCTGGCAATTTTTTAATATAAGTCAACAACGCATCTTGTACCCATGTTATAGGGCTGTCATATTTTACCTTCCATCAGGTGGACATCATCATCATCATGCTCGCCAGATCTCTGTTAAAAAATCTTGCATTGAAAACCCATAAGAAATAATTCCTTTTGGAATCTAAAATCTTGTCTTTCACATAAATTTCGCAGAAGTTATTTTTGTTTCCAGAATTCACCACGTAACACCTAATAAAACCCAATGTAATTCGAACGACAGTCAGTATAATTAAGTGACGCTATTAAGGCGCGTCGCGTTGATTGAATGTGGCATCGTCTCGGATTAACTAGCTGAATCAGAAGCCCCAACAATGTCCTCTCGCTCTTGCATTCCTATTCATTAAACTGAGTTTCTTGGTCACTTTTTAATTTAATACGCTTAAAACCATATTTATTTAATATTTCTTTAGGTCTGTCATTTATAAGGAATAAAAATGTTGGTCAAACCAATTGAACGATAATTATTAACTATTATTGTTTTGTTTGTTAGTCACAAACAAAAACTTACGCCGAAGTAATTAGCTTGACGGGATCGTTGGTGTAATAGTAGCAATTCATGGCTAAAAATAAACGGGTCGTGAGTTCGACCCCACCGGCTCCAACGTGTTTTTAATTAATTCACAATTTTTCTGAAACATACTTAACTTAACAAACTACGTCAGGAAATTTATCAGTATCGAGATACCGTCCGGGTCACAACACACCCTCTACAGATGAAAAACCGGTGAAGTTTAAACGCATTTCGGGTTCAGTATGTGGATTTCAGAATATCCAAAACCAGAACCACCTACCATTAGTGTATCAATAAACAAAAAGAATTATTTACTTCTATAAAACTAGAAACAAAAGACGAACTAAATCATTCTTTTAGGTATTAATATTATTTTAAGCACGACCTGAACGTAACCATGATATATATTTTATTTTGAAACAAGGGTTGCTTGAAAAAGATCGCTCTATAGCGAAAAGGCTTTACACTCTATAACAAGTAAAAAAAATCTGAAATAGTTGTATATTTAAGACGTTTTTTTTTAACATTTGTATATACTTTGTGTGTTACAATAAAGAATAAATAAATAAACAAAAAACTCACTTATAAACCTCTCGAGTTCTGGGACTGTGTCTTGTAGCGAATGAAGAGCTGATTCGTGATAGGCCCTCTGCAATTTAACATACTGCAGAAGCGTGTGTGCTAGCTGCGCTTCTTTCGCGACCAGCGCGAACATATCAGCTGCAAGGGCGTCTCTAGCGGCTTCCACCTTATTACCGGCATCTTCATACTCTTCACGAGCAGCACTTAGTTTGGTCGGATTCTCCTCCTTTTGACGCTCCAAATGCTGAAAAGTAAATATAAATATAATTCTATATGACTACACATTCAATCACATACAAATTAAAGTATATGGTACAAAAATATCTCCATTCACCAAGTGATAATCTTGGCGATTTAAATAAATGGAAGAGATCGCTTAGTAGCAATAAGCCTGTACTCCATATTTTCTATATCTTATTTGGTTCATTGTGATTGTGTGTGACTACAAAGAGTTAATTACAAAATATAAATTAATAATCAAAGAAACATAATTGAATAAATAAATAAAATTCGAACCTCGACCAGAATTTCAATATTCAATCACGAAGTCAATAGATTTCCAGAAGAAGTAAAGATATAAAGTCCGAGATATTAAAAAATAATAATTAAAAACTTGTTGAAAGAAGACGGATTATTAAAAAGACCATATTTGAAGAATCAAAGGCGTGACACAAAAGTTTGATTATTAGATATTATAAGTTACTACAAACAAATTGTGTGCAATTACAAAAGTATTTAGATAAGATTGTTAAAAAGTCCCTTTGTGTTTCTTTCTTTGTATAAAATGGTTTATTATGCTGTTTACATTTGTAAATATAACATACATCCACTGATAAAAAATGTATTAGCTCACTTAAAAGTTTATTGGCATGTCCGTGAATAAAATATTGCTTTCATTTTTAAAACACTTAAAATCTCTACTATCTCTTCAATTGATCTAAAGAGATAACAGTAAATGTTATATAACCGAAGTATCGAACATTGATTATACTTGAAGCATCAAATAAATATTTTTTTAAATTTATATAACTTTCAAGATATGAATCTACAAACATGTATTGGAGGTAATTGATAAGAAGGAGAATGATCCCTTATTTAAGAATAACATAAAAAAAAACAATATTTAATATTATAAACAAATACTAAAATTATGCTTAAAGAAGCGTATAGTATTATAGGGCAACGGCCAGCCTTCAATTTTCCCAACATTATTGTTTATAGAAAGAAATACAAACTAGGGAGCTTCTAAAGGAACTACAATTATTTTTTTGTGTATCTTCTGCTAAATATATGATATTAAAAAGCATATTCTATATGTAATATAACTAATTGACAAAGAAGACTTAGTTCTTGGAAAGATCATTAACTTATAAAGGTTAATTAATAGATGTGGCAACAAAACAAAGTAATTAAGATTGGCAGCATATACAAATATACTACACCAAAATATTGATTTGTTTATTTAATATTTTACTTTATTTTGATAATTTTGTATTATCTGTTCTTTCAAGGATGCTTCATCATTACTGTTACATTTTTAAAGTGATAAAAAAAAACATTTTGCTTTTTCATGTATGTTAATGCTAGAATTGGTTTAAATTTGAAAATCAAATTTTGACTATTTGTTGACAAAGAACATGTATCATAGGAAAAATAATTTTTTTTTTTCTAAACATTAATTATAAAGAAGACTCATAACATGTTTTGGTTAAGTTCAATTACTTTAATATTATTAATTCTAGGTACTTACATTGTATCTGCTAGCAGCTGATTCTTTCTCGCTCATAAGCCTACTGAGGTGTTTTTTAGCCTTCATGATAGCTGGCAAGTCTGTTTCGCTTATTGCTGTTAAAGGCGCGCAGACTAACTGTTCCACTTTTAATTCATGCTCAGCTATCTCATTTGCTAAGAACTTCTCTGTTTTACCTGTTAAAAATATAATTTAATGCTATTGATAGTATATTATCATTGGCTTTATTTTTAAAATAATTCTCTGTCCAAAACATTACTCTACAAAACAATGGTATAAAAATTACTTACCACACTCATGCAAAATATATTTGAGAATGCTATCATCATCATCATAATTACTAGCTTCACACATTGACAAGCCCAGTAAATATTCTGGTAGTTTCTTCAGCCTTTTCTCCCGAGCTGCAGGGTCCTGCCCTTGTGTATTTCCAGCTCCTGTTGACAATCTTTTGCTGACCAACTGAAGAGCATTTCTGAGATGTTCCACCTTTCTATCGGCAGTTTGAAGTTCATCTGGCAAAACCTCACCTTTGCCAGACCTGAAGTTAAATAGAAAGTGACTTATCATATTTTAGACAGAATTTCTGACCAAAGTTTGCGCATATACAAGAAAATTACGGTATCTATAGCTTATTGATATTTAATGCAAATCGAATGAAATAGTAAAATCCCTCTTTCTAATCGCGCACGCAAGCACAATATTGGTCAAATCTTACATAAAAATAACTGTAAATGCTAATTTGATATTTTGTGTCGCGAAGTCTGAATCTTATCTGATACAAGATAAATACCTAGAAAATGTTTGGTCGGCGAGTTGTTTTACCCTGTAGAATTGTTTCTTCATTTTCCCCAATTTTTTATAGTTTTCTGCCCACTTCAGAAGGTCATTGGACTTAGATTACCACAATAAAATCAAGATATCGCCGAAAAGAACGTAACTAATGTCAGCACGCCAATGAGATCATCTTCAAATTCTTTGTATCAAAACCGTACATCACTTTGATTCTAATTATATAATAAGGCACCACATTTCATTTATATTTAGATTAATTCACAACACTTTTATACCGCTAATTTACAATAATACGGGAAAATACCACTGAAATCGGCAATGATTCCAAAAATGAATCAGAAAAATAAAACTTAACTGTCACAGAGTAAAAATAGTGATCATATTTTTTTCTCACAGATTAAGCGACAATGACAAACTGTCAAAATTAATATTTCGACAACTGAAATCATTTCATTTTAGTAATGTAAGTTAATACAGTAAATAATATTGTTACAGTTGTAATATCTTCTTTCGCTTTTTAATGGTTATATTGATACCTAATAATGTTTTGCCTTCGGCTCCAGAGAATTAAGGCAATACTTATCATTTACAGCTTTAAATGTCATCTGTCAATATCGACATTAAACAATTGTACGAAAACGTAGGTAGATATTATTTATTTACAAAAACTTGTTTTCACAATTTTTCTTTACTCAATTCTAGCTTTTGTCCCCTTATTATTAGAACGATTATTGAGCACGTACAATTTGTATTTACTTTAGTTGACGACGGGGACTTGTGGAGGGAGTTTGTTGAGTATTTTGGAGAATGGAACTGGAAAATATTACATTATAAAAGCGTGCGCGTATCATGAAACAGTGTAGAGATTTATTAATCTAATTTTTTTTATATTAGAAAAAAACAATAATAAGGATAAGCAAATATTGTTTTTTAGTGTTTTTTTTTTATAATCACTCTCAAATCAGCTACAATGGAGAGAAAATTTATGAATGTTATCCTACTTGGTTTCGGGTTTATGTTTGTGTTCACTGCGTTCCAGACTATGGGAAATATTGAGGTATGTATTACATTTATTCAGTATTTAACCCCCTTTTGTAATTTAACTTCTCTGATTTTGTTTAAAAAAATATGATTACTCTTTTACAAACTTTAGAATATTTGAAAGTAAAATTCACATAGTTTATAATGTATTGGTGGTTTTAAACTAATATCAAAGCAAACAAGTATAGTACTTTCACATCCAACCTTCACATTAACTGTGAATAACAATAAACCAAATACCAACATACATTACTGGCTGAGTTTTACAAAAAATACTAGTTGCATACTATAATCAGTTATTTTGTAGTAGTAGTGTATTTAATTTATGTATTTTTAAATAATTATTTCTATAAATTATATTAATAACCATTACTATATACTGTTGCTTCTTTTTGAAATTTATGATTTTTATTTATTTATATTATATTAAAGACATGTTGTATAGGAGTTTGCTTATACATATAAAAAGTAATTAAGTTATTTTTCCAAATTCATTTTCCTATCTTAATTAGATTTCAGAGGCATCTTATTTGTGTGTTTGTTTTTCTTTATGATTAAATATTTAAAGCTACATTCTATTGTATCTTTTCACTTTTATTCAATTTTGGGATTAAATTCTTGAATTAAGGGTCATATTCAAATTTAGAAATAAGTTATCTGAATTTCTAAAATGTTTACGGTTTTTTAAGGTATTTAATCTGTGTACTGATTCCACTAATTATTATTCTGTATCATAAACCAGAAACAAGCCTCCTTTCATACTGTATATACGGTTTGAAAAAATAAAGGTCGACATTCCACAAAGGCCGTCGCTTGGAGGTGTGTACCGCACTACGCAATGTGACGTGCGTAACATATTCTATACGACACGCTACTTGCCCGCCTATTCATAATTAAAAAAAATACTGTCCATTGATTTCGACATTTAAAAACATAGCAAATGTTTTTCAATTTCCAACCGAAGCAGTTAATTCTACCCACGTATTATTTATCAATTTTATTATTAAAAATTCAATGCAATTTTAAACTTCAGTAAATTTTATAGGTTCAAGTATCAACTTAAGACCTAACTGTGAACGACCAGTGGCCAAAATAAATAAAATATCGATATCTCACCCTTAGTTAGCGCCACGACTCGTCTTTAACTACCATTCAGTTACTTTACTTTTTTAAGTATGAAATATTAGGTTTTTAATTTTTATATAAATAAAAATTCATTTATAGTTTTTAATTTAAATATCAATATATAACTTTCGTGATATAAATATAGTAACTACTGTCTGTAGTTTACGCGAGTAGTACTCATTTAAATAAAACACATAAATGATAAAACGCGATATATATTCGTTAAAAGTAAATTAAACATTAATAACTAGTATATATCGCGTTTTAAACCGTTTAAGTGTTTTATTTGAATAAATATAGTAATTATGATAGACTTTAGATTTGACTTATTCTACATAAATATAATTTTATAAACCATGCTTAATTCGGCACGATTCAAGCCAAAACGTGTTCTTTCTATTATGTAAGCTTTTTGAGATCATCGTCCGAGAAAGAACTTGTGTAATATACCGTTATTACAGTATGCAATAAATAAATTACTAACTACACTTAGGTGTTGTCTATCTAAAGAATTGAAAAATCTTTATAGGACGTAGAGGCGACCTGATAAGATATAATTCAACATTTCTAATAGGTTCTAGTATCGTTATAAAAAGAAAATTCTACCATCATTTTTAGACTGTGTTATATATGTTTGTTTTTATGGTGGCAAAAGCCACCGTAATGTCGGCTGTGGTAAAGCATTTAACGAGTGTCGTGGTGATTAAAATAATTAAATACAATTCGCGTATCAAATGGTCAAAAATGTTTTATTTCAAAGTATTATCTTACCAGTGCCCCAATGAACCCGCCGTCAATTGCATAATATAAACTGGATTGTCTAGTTTCAAAGACGTTCTAGGTTATTGCAAAACATTATTATCGCTTAGACCTTACTTGTTTTTATTAAAGGTGATTTACCGAAAGGAAAAATAACTTATCGATAAAAGTGAGGGCAACGATAATGCATTAGTCTTTTCCGGCATTCTAATATCTTCCTGCATTTGACGAGGAAAATCACTGGAAAATATGGACACTTATTTATTTTTTACATGTTATTGCACATGAAGGCACTATATAATTTAAAAGTCGAAATTAAATTGAAAAAATTTTGAAAAGACTTGAACCGGCATCTCACGTTCCGTGCTGTTGCTCTGAACAACAGCGCGAACGCTGACGATGCAGGTTCAAGTCCCTTCCCGAGTCGAAATTTATTTTCGATTTTTAAATACATAATATGGAAGTAGTGCAATAGCAAAGTATATAGAATAATAATCATAAGTCTTAGAGTCTTATGCTAACTTCGGTTTAGTGTAAATATTAAATACGGACTTACTTACTTGTCTATTAATAAAAAATACACTCTATATACCAGAGACAATCGAGACGATGAGGATCGAACCCACCCCTATTTTAGCCATAATTGTTACCTTAGACTAAGTGCCCGTTATTGCTCTTATAATTTTGGCTAATTTCAAACTCAATTATATTTTAATATTACACTAAGCAAGACTAGGGTCAATTTTTAATACTCAGTAGAACAAAGGAATAGGAAAGCGTATCGTATTATGTTAATATCTGCTGGATGGGTATATTATGTAAATTTAGATGCAGAAATGCCGACTAGTCACTATATTTTGCATTAAAGTACTGTTGTGAATATAAATACCAAATAATTTCTAGACTTATTCAAGTATTTTCAGTTCTAATGCTAATTTAGGGATTTAATGACATTTTATTCGGGTTTATCTATACTATCTTGTCGATGTCGATTCAGCCGTTCAGTGTCACTTGGCATAGGCCTCCCCCATAGACTTCCAGCTACGACCGGTCGTTCGCCAGTTGAATCCAGCGTTTCCTAGCGTTTATACTAGCTTTGTCAGCAAAGAATTGTTATTTTGGACATCCAAATTCGTTTTTGCAAACCTTCTTTTCATCTTTATTAACTTAGCTGTTACCCACGACGTCGGTCGCGTCCCGTTGTTCTAGCAAGTTAATCTATAAAGACAGACATATAGCGTTGTTGATTTTTTTTAGATAATCAAGAGAGGAATTACTATTTCCTACATATTTTTAAGGTATCGTGAACCATTTTCGCAGCGTAAGCATCGTAAACCCACAACGATGAATAATTTTCCCCATTTTCACATTTCCTTCTGTTTTTACGCTCGTTTTAGTGACAGCGCGATGTTAACGATGTAGCCTAATAGAATTTTTCAAATCGAACCAATATTTCCTGAGATTAGCGCCTTCAAACAAACAAACTCTTCAGCTTTATATATTAGTATAGACACTTGCAATATCCTTCTATTATGAGATAAAGGTACATCAGAGACAATAAAACTTTAACAGTTATTCAATTGTTTTGTTTTGTTAACTAACGTAGATAAATTAAAATGTATTTTTATTATATCTGTCAATTATGTATAGTAAATGATTGTTTAGAAGAGTCGGTCTTCAAAAGGGTTACTCTTGTTGGAAAATTTCGATTAGCCGATGGAAAATCGTTCGATCTTATCTCATTAGTGCTAGTCGATAAAGCGAAGGATCCTCTACTCCCCAATGTAGGTCAAGCCGATTTAATTGGTGTGATAGCATCCAGGGCCCACCGCTCAATAACATGTCATGAAGATGACATTGTTATCAGCGAAAATAATTGTCTCGCGAACGTCACTGGTTTTGCCTCTTGACATTGCTTCGTGTTGGCAAATTCTAATTTACTACGTAGTTTTATAATTTAATTTAAATAACATTCATTGAAATTTTAATAAAACAGAGAGTAGCCCCCAGGAATGCTATGGATGCCGTTGCAAGTCTTGCCCGTTTCTTTCAATATTTTTTTCAATTTAAATATATTGTTTATTAATTTATGCCATATGTTCATGTGAAAAAAGTATAATAAAGTTTTCAAATTAAATTTATTCCAAAAACGATTCATTAAAAGAGGGATACAATTAGGGTCTGCATCCTGAACATATTAAAATCGACTGGAAGTCGTTGAATATTAGCAAAACCAGATACACATAGACGTACATACAATGCACGTACTAAGTAAAAAAATGCTCGCAATATTTGTCTAATAATTACTTGCGCGCTATCGCTTGAGTAAATCATAAAAGTAATGACGTATTGCATAGAGAATTGCAACTACCTAGCAATAATGTTTCTTAACAGGAAAATGCAAAGCGCTCACTGTTTTAGACATAATTGAAATAACTCAATTAAAAAATTAATAGCAAGTGTTCATGTGCACGTACCATTTGAACAAGTGTTTTAATAGAAGGTTTCAGAAATTACTTGATAAAAAGTTTTGCTAGGGTTGCTAGTTTAACAAAGATTCAAATTTGTATAAATATGCAGGAAAGACGTACTCCTTTTTACTTCTATAAAAAGCGTGGCTCGCACATTTCACTAATGGTTTAATTGTTTATTATGTAGGTGCTTATTTACTTTGTTTTGATATATTCGAAGCACTTAATAAATTGTCAGCGGGATTCGAACCAAGTATTTCTCGCGTTTAACACAATAACTAAGCACCGAAGGCATTCTTTATCAAATACACAAATCACAGCCGCATAACTACTCTATAAAAGATCGAGTATAAAATAATAATATAAAAAAAGGAAGTTATCATGAACAAATTTAAATTGCTATGTTGCAAATCTTGTACGATATTGCAAATGGCATTATGAGGTGTCGTAACGAAATGCTAAATTTTTAGGTCGACACTCAAGCGTGGGTGTACTAGAATTTATTGGACGTCTTATGTTATAGGTATAAAGTTTATCGAACTCTGTCAATATTATTCGTGCTTTGATAAAGCACTTGGTTGGGAAAAGGAGGTTTTATTGACGTTCTTAACACTGCAGTGGTTGTTTTCATCGTTCTTTATAAAGAAGCGAACTTGATCTCAGTATGGTTAGGTCTTTTTAAACCTAGACCAAATCTTCTCCGGGGTGTTTTGACCTTTGAAGCACAACACTGACTTCCATCAGGCAGTATTGTGGTCAAATAGCTGCTTATGATTATACAATGCTATTCTATGCTTTTTATGTGTCTACAGGAAGTCACTATGTATTGAAACCAAATTAAATTAAATAGATTTTCAAACTCATGAGATCAACTACCTTTTTTATCCATAACTTATACAGATTCCACAATAGGTGGTTTATATAAAACAAATAATCTGGGACGTATAAGTGACTCTGATGAAATATTTAGATCATAATAAGACAAATATGGTAAGCTATAAACTTTCCAAAACGAAACTGTTTTTCGCAACTATCGCTTCGCTATCCTCCTATTTTGGCCATTTTCCATATCGGTTTTTATTGCCAAAAACTTGGTCACAGATTATATCAATAATCCTAAAATTGCTTAAGTATTTTATTGAAATATTCAAACACATGTTTATTGTTATATCAGCTGCTATTATTTCTAATTTATATTCTTGAAACCTTAATTGTAATTTATTGCTAATAATGCATTAATGTGTTTTAATGTCTGTCATTTCAAACCCGTTTGAAACTGAAAGGTCGAATCTTTTAAATGTCGTTTTTAATTTAATTTGTATCTTTTGATCCTGTTGTTATTGACCAGGTAAAACAGCAGTATTTGGTTTGTAGGTTTTAATTTATAAATTTCCATCTTCAAGAAATCGATTTTAGCGATAGAGCCGACGTTTCTCGTACATGTTTTGAAATTTCTTTCAAATAAATTCTATTTTGTAATTCCTGTGGTAACTATAAAGCATTTTTGTTTTTTTGTTTGTTTGTGTTAGATCCACTATAAAATTTAATTTCTTTCCGTTATCAACGAATAGAATTGAGGTATTGGTTTACAAAGTTGGTTAGACAAAATTTTGTTTATAAATTTTGTATTTACTTTTTATATCTAGACTACAACTAATGCCTTAAAAATAGCTACAACACGACTACATTTAAAATCACCCAAGACGCAGCAGCACGGAAGCTATGCATGACGATTCAAGTCCCGCCCGTGTCGTAATTTTTTTAAATCTAAATAAATTTTTAATTGAAGCTTATCTATCTCTGTAGAAGACGATCCTGGACAGCATCACGCAAGATGACAGCTCCTTCACAGGTGATGGATACACTTCCCTGGCCATCATCTACGCGACCCTCGCCATTTGTAATTGGATGGCACCATCCGTGATTACCATAACTGGACCAAGGGGAGCCATGCTCATAGGTGCTCTGACTTACTTGTAAGTACAATTTACTATAAAATACGAAATTCCATTTCCCCAATGTGGGGTATGGGGCAGACCAATTCGATGTCTGTTTGAATAATTGCTATATCAGTAATTGATCAGACCTCTGTGTCATGAATGGAACTAGAACCAAATGCGTTATCGTCTCCCAAGATTCAAACCTAGGACTATTTGACATTAACGCTATGATTCTACCTTCTGCGTTTACTGTGCTTACTATATAAGCTATGCACGCGATTTCGTCTGCGATAAAAACTGACTTATGTATAGCAATATTTTAAATACAATCACAAAAATTGTCTAACCGTTCGTTGGTTATATTACAAACATCAATACACAGTTTAAGATATATAATAAAACATATTATAGATATAGGCTTTCGAAACATTTTAAATATTTGTCATTTAACACCGCAACAGTTTGACATAACGATAACAATTGACAAAAATATCGCATTTCCGTGTTTAGTATTACTTCAGTTCCTAGTATTCCTCGTACGATCTGATACATATCTCAATACTAAGATCTTATCGTATCCTAAGGAGGTCATGCACTTCAAATGTTAGCCTCAAAGTATAACCACTTGAAATAATACCGAATTGTACGATAATATATTACTTAACATCTAGTTAAATAACCTGCAGTTTGTGAAACTAGTTTCGCGTCACACTACTACTAGACTTTCACCGATCTAACTACTGTGGATATTATCATACAACACGCATTTTCATTTAGCACCCGCCACTTGCTGTACGAATGTACGGCTGATAAATAACGGGTCGTGGATTCGATTTTCATCGCGATCGGTGTGGTAATAATATCAAAATCCTTGTAAAAGATCAACAAGTCTTATGAATTGAAGCCGAGTATCGGTTTGTGTATTGTCTAGACAAAATAGGCCGACAGCGCATCGTGATATATAATTTGTTACAACTTTAAGGTCTTATAATGTTTTTTTTTATTTTCTCTATATAATCTAGATAAGTAAAGTACGAAATAAAACTTTACTATCAAAAGAGCCTCTCTACTTCTCTGGATATAAAGATAAATTTAGAGTAAATACTCTCTTTACTTGACTGTACTTTTCGCGAGTAGTACACATTTAAATAAAACACTTTAACGGTTTAAAACGCGATAAATTTTAGTTAAACTTGTTTGAAAATTATTTTTAAATACGACCCGACGTTTCAGCCGTGGTCACGGGGAGACTGCTGCTTTTAAACCGTTAAAGTGTTTTATTCAAATTTAGAGTATTTGTTTAAATCACATTGACGTTCATAAATATACTAAGTTTAATTAAATTTGGATTTATTCGAAGATTCGAAAGAATTGCTTAAAATTTTTAAATATAATCCTAGCCTGTTCGATGTTTTAACGTAGGGTTTAAAATACATACTATGTTATTCCTTATCATATTCCATGCGTGTACAATAACGCACTACGCAATATATGAACTTGAATGTACGATTTTATCATTCTTTATCGTGTAAGCGTTAGAACGTTCATCTAATTGAACTGAGTTTGATTTTTATACAAAACGACGTCAATGATGATTTATTACAAGGTAAAATGTTCAATTAGTCAGGTTTTTTAATTATTTTCTAAAGTGTATGTTACTGCAAGATCAAAGATAGGTTTAAAGTTAACATAGATAAAACATATAGTGGATAACCAGCTCGTAATACTGTGGGGTTCGAATCCCGGACGTGTCCTGAATTTTTTACTTTAAGAAAAGCTTAACAAGTGAACTTCATTATTTAGACAATTAGTCAATATTTATAGGATTCGCACCAATGTGTCAAACTTAATATTAAGTATGTTTATCTTTCCCATGTAACACCAATGAATTTGTCCTAAGTTCGAGTCCCTCCAATACTCGATTTCAGAATATTCTTTTAAATAAAACACTTTAACGGTTTAAAACGCGATATATTTCAATGTGTACTACTCGCGTAAACTATAGACAGTATTCAGAATATTCTATTAAAATATATGTTCCTTTTGCTATAGTTTATGCATATATTTTTAAATGCTAACAATACCGTTTTCCTCATAACTAAGATGCGATTGTTCGTGATGTTTACCGACGAATACCAAAGCAAATTTCTAAAGTAGCTGGATTGAAACGTCGCGTTACACGTGCATCTATTGAGCAACCAAGGCAACGCTCCTCTGCATTAATCCATCGATTTCTTGCTCAACTGTGAAGATTCCATGCACAATATGGGGCACAACGTCACCTTTAATCCAAATCCTAAACGGTGTTTAAATACTGTGTGCAGTCTTCGGGAGTATCTAGTACTGATTTAAATAAAACACTTTAACGTTTTAAAACACGATACATATTAGTTAAATTCATTTAAATTATCTTCCAAGATTGGTAAGCGAAGACCCCGTTAGTTAATTTTGCAAAGACCCGCCAAGTTTCGTCTCATACTAACTTCGACGGATCAGATGGCGCTAGCAAAGCAGTCGTTTACTAAGTTGCATACGTAAATGTTTAGTTTAAAAAAATCGCTTTGTACTTAAGAAATAACGTATCATGCTGTTATTTCGTTTAATCAACCACGAGTACGTTCTCTCCAAAGCTAAAAAAGATATTTAAAATCGAGGTTGTGCACAAAGCAATAAAAGTTACGCCCCAAAACTGAGACGGCGCGGGCGGCCGTGGGTCTCAATCCCGTTACTTTAGTACTCAGCTTGAATTTTAATTATCGATGCGGGTTATTGAATCCTTAATTTGCAAGATCGGGCTCTCGTTTACAGAAACAAACAGGAAAAAAGGCGTGGTGATATTTTTTAGGACTAATATCCCAAAATCAAACCAAAACAGTAATTTAACGGCCTAATGGTAGCAATGTATGGCAAAGAATCAACCATTCGTGGGTTCGATCCCCACCAGGTTCAACATGGTTCTAATACATTTTTAGTTTTTCTCGAAATTCCGCCCGGATTACGAACCAGGTTGACAGCGTATCTCGTTTAGGTGTTCCTTTGCCATGCCACGAATGCCTTACTCTATATATGAAAATACAATATGTAATAACGTAAAGAAAATATATGATATACAACTTATTACATAAAAAAAAATGATTTCCAATTCAAGATATAAAACTTAAAATTTCATGGCCGAATACTACATATTCATTAGGTTTTAGCCTAGTGACATTTGAGACTAAGATTATAAGATTATAGTGGTCACGGATAGCCTCTTCTCGTATAAGGCATAGTGTTTACAGAATACACACCAATAAAATAGTTAATACTTTCAAATGAAAAAATTACGTTAAATATAAAATAATTAATTATCTGTGCCTTTTAAATACGAAACATCAACATATTCTAAGGATATAGTTCGTCGTGATTCTACAGAATGTTCAAAGGTCCGGCTTTTTTTATATATAAACATTAGTTTATCGTACATTATACATTGTTGTGAATTTATTGACCTACGGAGCAATTTATATTACTGCCAGGCGATCTTGTCATTAAAGAAATCGTTCAGACAATAATACTTATTTTATAACTTTTTTAAATTTATGCATATTATAAACAACATGAAACATATTTTTAATAATAAGCCAATTTAACTGATTATACTTCAAAATAAGATAAAGATGTATTGAACGTTTAAAATAATACAACAATTAGAAGTCAGTCTAACCAAAAAATATGCAGATAAATCTTGCAGAGCCCGTTAGGTATAAAGAATTTCCTTTAAACAAAGAAAAAGTGAAAGCCCGTTTCCCCCTCGTGGGGCATGGGGCGAACACATTTGTCCGTTTTATTGATCCGTTCTTTTAACGGGCGAGTAGTTGATCAGACTTCTGTGCCCTGCTCAACCGAAACATTTTTGTTTTGTTTACCTGTGATTCGAACCCAGGAATTCTCGCGCCACCATTTGGCTACAGAGGCGGTCAAACAAAGGTGTTTATATAATGTTTATATGTATTAATTCAGTTCCAATATTTACTTGCTACCTTTGATAAGATAGATAGTCACAATCCTAGTTTATTGACTGGCGTAGACAAGTACGTTTTGTTTGTAAACGCAATTGTCTAAGGCGCTTCAAATACCTGATTACAGTTACTTAAATAATGTATAGTTTACGCGTGTGATATACATTTTAACTGTTTAAAACGCGATATAAATTAGTTAAACCTTTTAAAAATTATTTTTACTACGGCCCGACGTTTCGGATTCTTTGCCACGTTGACCACGGCTGCTGGTCACGGGGAGACTGCGTGTGACTAAATCGCGTTTTAAACCTAAAGGTGTTTTATTTAAATAAATTTACCTAACTTTTTATACAACTTATGAATTTCAATGATCATCTGTCTGTCTAATCTACTTCTAATCAGTCTGTGACTAGCTCAAGCACTCAGACTGCTTTTCAAAGTTTTATTCGCAAATTTTTGCTTTTTATTTGGCGGGCTCTTTGGTGTACTGATAACAATGTATGGCTACTAGGACCGGGTCGTAGGTTCGGTACCCACCGGGTCGAAAAATTATAATATTTCTGAAACATGTTGCACTTCGTGTGGAAGTCAGTATATTATGTAGGAATAACGAAATTCCGTCTGGGTGTCGAACCGCCCTCCACAGACGAAATAGCAGTGAAGTTTAATTACGTTTCGGTTTCCGTCTGCTTATTATAATAACCAAAGCCAAAATAGGTCGACAGCATATCTGGTTTAGGCTTATATCGCTGCGGTATTTCATCATCCATAACTGAACCCTACGGTTGTCCACCTCTGACATAATAAAATAAAAGACACTCTTCGTCTAATTTTCCTTTTTCCCCCCCCCAAAAAAAACAGGTTAACTAACAAACTAAGGTACATTTAAAACGCAATAGTTAAGGTAAAGTCACTGCGAGTGGTCGCCCTCACCCCAGAATACACTCTGTCGTGCCAAGGAATAAATTAACGAGCAGAATAACAATATCGATCTAGTTTCATATAAACATACATTCACTAGAATAGTATCAAGGCTACACTAGATATTTGGATCGTAGGCGCACATTTGACCTTACGATTAACCCCTTCTAAATGCTGTCACTAATCATAACAATTTTGACAACTGTTTTCGATAAATACTGTCTATATTTTACGCGAGTAGTACACATTTACAGTAACTAATATATCGTGTTTTAAACCGTTAAAGTGTTTTCGTTATACAAAAATTTTACGTTAAATCAAAAACCAATTTAGATTAAAAAATCTTTTCTACACGGGTAAGACTTGAACAGGCGTTCACAGTAACCGTAACCAACCATCTATCGCGCAAAATGTATAATATTAAACGAGATTGATAAAGCAATTAATTAAACTAAAGTTGTTATCTTTAACGATACGTATATTTAAAGTTAAACTTCACCAATTTTTGTTTCAATCTTTTAATTAAACATGCGTTTACTATTGAGATAGTTGCATAAAACAGTAAGTCTTTTTGTGTGTTTTGTTTGTTTTGATGTTATACATTTAATTACAGATTCTTCATAATAACATTCCTATTCCCGCGAACATGGCTGTTGTATGTGGCGAGTGTGTTGATCGGCGCAGGCGCAGCTGCAATTTGGACAGGTCAAGGAAACTATCTGACGCTGAACAGTGATGCTGACACCATCTCCAGGAATTCTGGAGTCTTCTGGGCAATGTTGCAATGCAGGTCAGTTGGATCACCTTTGTCGATTTAAAGAGATTAACAGTAGCGAACGGGGATCAAGGAGACGATTCTATGCGCACTTCCAAGATCATCTCTAATCTCGCTTTCGCCTGGTCTAAAATGGGCATTGGTGCTGGGAGCTTTAGAGTGATACAAACGTGTTCCGAATGTTAGAAGCACCGTAGCGGGCTGGTGGAGTGTTTAGTGGTTCTGGTCGGCTATTGTCTCCCCACGTCACTATTGCCCGACATGGACCATTAAAAAAAAGGTGTTTGACTCCTCGTGGAATGTTAATGAAACACATCTAGATCAGAGGTCTATAAAACCTCGTGTGGCATCTGGTGCATAAAGCTCCAAACAGGAACTAAAGGGCTTCGATCTCGAAACATTTAAGCTCAATGCCGACCTCCTTAAACCGGCCCTAAGTGACGAGACTAGGAAATGACGCCTTTCGTTATAGTTTTAAATAGAGCGACAACAAAGGGTGGGGAAATTTTTATATAAAAAAACAACTGTTTGTTTTATCTAGTTTAAAAAAAGGACGGAAGAATTAGACATGAAGATAATGGCAAACACAGCTTAAGTAAAACAATGGTAGGGTTAACAGCTGTTGTATTTGTGTGTGAAATACACATTGTACGTATTTCTATGTTTTATTAAATATTTGAATAGAAAATATATATAAAAACGTTAATAGGACATGTCTACTTCTTATAAAGGACTTTAATATTTCTGATGATCTAAAAATTCGTTTGTATACACAATCAAACACGTGCAGGATGACCTCTTTTAAGACTTGAAGGTCGACACGTTGTCGGTGAGCGTTTTTCAATGGAATTGACATTAGTCTATCTTATTTTGTTAACAATAATTGCTATTAGATGTGGTATGAAAGTATTAATTTTAAAGTTGTCTAGTTGGTTAAATTAATGTATTTTACTATAGGCTAGGAGGTCCAGAATTCGAATCCCCGAGTTGAGTACATTGTCAGTCAGAGCGTACAGGAAGTGTTGTCCGCTGTCTATGACTTGTGTCCAGCTGTGGGATAAAAATAAATTTCACTGTTTACCTATTTCCGTCTTGTTTATGGATTGTAATAAAATGTATATTTTTACAGTTTATTCTTCGGAAATCTATTCGTATTCATCAAGTTCCAAGGCAAGACCACGATCGACGTTGAGACGCGCAACGTGGTGTTTGGTGCTTTGACTGCCGTGTGTGCTGTTGGCATAGTGTTCCTCTTGCTGTTGAGGCCGATAAGACGTGCCCCAGCTATTGATGACGTTAAGGTGAGGCAACGAACAGTGTCTATCGTCTGATGGAAGCATTGGATGGTTAATATAGAGATCATGGTCAATGATCAATCCCTACCGGTGCAACCATGTTTCTGATCAACTTACATTTTCTGAAACACGTTGGACGTTGTCTATAAATCTGGATTTTAAAAACCCGGTATTTGGAATATCGTAATTCCGTCCTAATCACAAACAGTTCGTATATTCTAATTGCGTTTCCGTTTCAATCGCCGGATTTCCGAATATCCAATACCAAAATGCTCATCTTTTTTAAACGGCTGCGCTATTACAACAACAACTAGTTTTTTTCAAAAAATTTAGACATTAGTCAATATTATAAATACATAACTAAGTACTTTAAGTAATTGAAGCCACTGAATATAGGTTTACCTAACCACACATACCGTTGCGTCAATAAGGCCTAGATAATAGATATTGATATATTACTTGATAACTTTAAGCTTAAAACCCTTTGTCTTCGTATACTATAGATAGGTAGTAAATTTGTTCCTTTCGGCACTATTAAAAATTCTCGTTCAAAAACGCGAATGCATTGAAGTGCTCGTGGCCACGGGGGAGCGTGGTTAAGGAAAACGTTTAATAGTCGTAAAACAACTTTCTTTAGGAAGCAGGTCAGAGTGATATAACCGTTGATATATTAATATCATTGCTCGATTTGAGGAAAATAATAAAAATATTACGAATTTACCTCGTGTGACTTTCCAAAACGAAAGTTAAGGATTTATTAAATTATGTTACTTGTTATATAAAAATATTTAAGTGCCGTGTAATATTTTTATGTCTACAGAAAGATACATCTACATGACTTTACATTTACTAAACTATGCTAATATTAAAAAGCTGAAACATTTGTTAGAACACACTGTTTCGAATTAAAAACTTCTTGTTTTGGATTGACTATTCACCGAGGAAGGCTTTAGGCTACTTAAGATCACGCTGCCACCAATAGGAGTGAAGACACATTGTTTTTAGATTAACAGGTTAAGGTTTTTGTGCTAATCAACAAAATTTAATGTTTTATCATTTATGGATGGTTGCATCAACATAATAATATAATGCAAACAACAAAACAACATTTGCCGGATCAACTAGTACAAATATAAAGGTTATCATACTTGCATTAAATTGTTAATGCACTTTATCCTTGTTGGTTTATAGATCTATAAATCTATTATGTCTAAAATATATATTCTCTCGGTAAGGTCAATGACATTTAGCATAGTGGATAAATTATAACGTTATTAGGTCATGAAAGCGTATCCGCCTTCCGGGTTATGGCATTGTCGATATTTTAAGATTTATAAAAATATTTATATAAAACATTTTTAACGGTTAAAAATGCGAAATGTATTAGTTACCGTATTCACAATATATTTTCGGCCCGTTTCGAATGCTTTGCTGCGCCGTGGTCACGGGGGTTATTCAAATAAAACTCTATAACGTTTGTTTGACCTACCGTCTGACCATTGGTTAGAGCAGCAGCATGCACGCTGTAAATGCCGGTTCAAATGTCGCCCATATTGACATTTTTTTTTATAAAATAATCGATTGTTATTTAACCATGTGCGAAAAATAAATATTTTTTATAAAAAAATAAAACCTGTCTCAAATTCTGAAATGAATATTTTGCGTATATAAAGGCGTAATTTCACCTGTGACCTAACAATATATCAACAGATCTTTTATGGAGAAAAGCAGAAATCCGGTCAAGGGTCACAAGTAACAAAATCCCTTTTATCGCCCAATTAATTGCCCACTTTATGCCTTGCAGTGCGAGATCGTTACCGAGTCGGAAGGTCCACTGGAGGCTTTCAAGGGTGCCATCAGGCTGTTCTGCACGCGCGATATGATTTTCCTGAGCGCCGCTTTTATTTATACCGGTAAGACATGGATATAGTTATACAATACTTGCCTACATAGAATCATAACTACTGTCTGTTAGAATCTAATCTACTAGAACAAAATGACCGAAAATTGATGACATAATTCTTACACAAATAATAGTACAAATTCATTTTCGCCTAAGTTAATTGCGCTCTTTTATTTTTCCCCTTATTGTAAAACATGTTTTTTGTTATTAAGCCACTATGCCTCTAACAGCCTGAAACATAAATAACGGTCTAGAAATAGAAATACGTTTATTCAGAAACACGTCATTTACAATTAAAAATTAATCTTAGATACAATATGGAGAAGTAAGTACAAGTTTTATTTATAGTTTAATTAAATACGACAATATAGTTCCCTCTGAAAAGGTCCACTCAGACACAGATACTCAGGACTGATATTCTGTGGGAACTGACACTGGTAAAGCAAGCGAGGGTGTTTGACATTTAGTTTCTTACACTTACTAACAGTTAACAGAATTACACCTATACATTGGAATTATAATAAATATTTTTTTAAACAAGTTTAACTGTTAAATATCGTATTTTAAACCGTTAAAGTGTTTTATTTAAATGTGTACTACTTGCGTAAATGACAGATAGTATTTAAAGAAGTACATAGGTACAATACATTCACTTATGCTTTTACCTATGCAAGTTCAAATGGCTCAATTTAATAAACATATATTAAAATAAAAAAAACTTACTTTTCCTCTCCTTAATTACATATGTTTCTTGTTTAATTCTTATAATTTTACATCTACTATTATAAAATATATTGCCTTTGTAAGGTTTACATTTTTACAGAACGAACTTTACCGATATTTTGATTGTGCAGCTTGAATAAATATAATTTCTCCGTTTTAATACAATTATAATGCAATAATTTTAAATAAAAAGTAAATCTTCATGCATACAGCAATGGCTCGAGTTTATGTAAACTGCATTAATTCTGCAATTTGTTTAGGAGCGTAAATTTTCTTGTTATTTCCTTTACAAACATTATTTATATTTTTATTTTCAGGCGTGGAGTTATCCTTCTTCAGCGGCGTGTACAGCCCGAGTATCGGCTTCACTCTGGCGATGGGCGAAAACGTAAAACAGCTTGTGGGCCTGTCTGGAGTATTCATAGGAATGGGTGAAGTTCTCGGTTAGTTACATACTTTTTATTTAACTTTTTGTATCATAGAGAAGATGGGGTGTTCTCTTGATGGTATTGAAATACCCTCGTGCTGATGTGAGTTAACCTTTAATAGAAATATGTTGTCGCGTAAATTTTTATAGATAATTTAAAAAAGAACCGTTCTTTATTTAGATTTTTTGGGTTTCTTGTAACGTCTTCGCAGCGGACCCAAAAATAGATAAAAATTCCCGGTTTTTTTATACATCTCCCTTTGTCTTCACTCTTTTTAGTCGCAGCCTAAAGCCTTTCTCGATAAATGTCCAATCGACACAAAGATATTATAATATTATTACAGATGTCTGGCAGCGCCATTTAACTTGTTGTTTGGGTGTCACTTGTAGTTGACAGAATAGCAGTTTCTATAAGACTGAGTATAGACAAACAATTAGTGTATGCATTTTAGTGTTGGTTATGTCGTTTACTATTTCAATTTATTCTATTTCATGACAGGTGGCGCCCTCTTCGGTATTCTAGGAAACAAAACTACCCGCTGGGGCCGTGACCCAATCGTCATAATGGGCTACTTCATCCACATGACTTCGTTCTTCCTCATCTTCATCAACTTACCAAATGTGGCTCCATTCGGCGACACCATGGACACGTCATATATCAATCCCTCTCCATATTTGGCCATGTTCTGCAGTTTTCTCCTCGGCTTCGGAGACGCGTGCTACAATACTCAGATCTACTCGATTTTGGGAGGGAAATACTCAGATAATAGTACATCTGCTTTCGCGCTATTTAAATTTACTCAGGTGAGTTTTAACGTACAATCTAATATTGAATGCATGTACTAAAGATGATTTATCAGCCGCCTAGCAAAGCGTCAAGTAACACGGTCCTGCTTTCGAATCCTGTGAAAACATAATAAATATCTTTAAATTATCTTATTTTCTAAAACTTAACTCTGTAATTGCATCTTTAATGATTTTCTAAGCCGCAAAACATTGCGCAAGAGGTTGAAAAAATTCGACATTGACGTGTTAATTTAAATAATTAGCAGCACTATTTTCCAATATGTGTTTAACCTTATTAAACAATATAATGTGTCTATAACTAATAATATTTATGATCTGTGTTCTTCCAGTCCCTGGCAGCAGCCGCTTGTTTCTTCTACTCGTCCAAAGCCCTTCTCTCCGTGCAACTAGGAGTTTTAGCAGTATTAGCATCTATTGGCACAGCTGCGTTCTGCCGGGTCGAATGGTCGGACAGAGCTAGAAACCGCTTGACCATAGACTCCGTAGACGATAAACTGTCACCAGCGACGCATGCGCTGGCTGAGAACGCGTTACATTATGACTAAGTTATTTAATGGTATTGACTATTAGTAAGGCAATGAGGTCGAAACGTCATATATACCCAGTACAAAGAAGTGGGATAATTCATTTATAAAAGAAATATTATGAGTTAGCAAGCTTACCTTTTAGATATGCTTATTACCGCCTCCGTAGGAAATGGTTAAACATGGGGCCTAGCATAGCGTTTTGCAAAGGTTCTGGGTCTAATCTCGGTGAAAAGATAAACTGGTTCGGTCGAGTACAAAAGTCTGATCAACCCTATGTCCTACTGGGTTTCCCCCTGGATTTTACTTTTTACTAATTTTACTTTAAAAATTATAAAATAATCAATAAGACACAAATTACGATATTAAATTTCGGTTTTAATTATAAGATTGTTAAGTTACAATAAGGGATGAGAAAATAGTCAATTAGTAAAATACTAATTAAATGCAATTCAAACGTTGTTGACACTAGTTAACCTACAATTTGATTATAGCTCCTACTCACGATGACCTCATTGTCTTTGAGATTTCGTTAAAGACTTTATGACTAGAACGACAAAATGTTAGAGTATTTTGACATCGTAATTTAAAAAAAATATAAAAATATTCATATTGTTCAATACAACTAGCGTCTCTACCGGGAAATGATGGAAACAATTTCCAATCAATACTAAAATACATTATGATTAATTTCGAATTTCGACCTGTAAAATTCAGACTAGTATAAATTATTTTGTTTTCCCCTGCAAAAAAACCCAAAAAATAGGGTTAATTTTTTTGGGTTTCTATATTTAGAGTAACAGACCATGCCAAGATTGTTTGAAGAAACGCTGTTGAAATAATTATCTCAACCAAACTTTGTAGCGAGAAATGTATTTTTGCAAAATTGTATTTATCTTATGCCCGAAGGGCTTAACATTTGAAAGTAATATTTATACTTAAGCTACATGGCAGCGAATGGTCCATAAAATTGTGATATGACGTAGTTAAGTAAAAAATGACCTAACATAACTTTAACTATCTACATATATATAATACAAGCATAAAAAACAGAAATTAAACAGGTGTGTATAAATTTAAAGAAATATAATATTATCTTTGAAATTACAATTCTAGCAGATCATGCGAAGGGCTGGCACCAGCATTTCTTTTGAATATTGTAATAAAGTAACTGAGTATTAATTAGGATAAATAAAAATATAATTTGTAATGTAATAGGACAGATATATTATATGTTGTTTGTTATTTGTAAGGAATAAGTTCATGTATAGTTTAAAACAAGAATAATCAGGCATTCCAATATTTTTATTTAATTTTTAATAACACATATAAGCAAAGTGGACATTGGTAATTTGTCTAGTCAATATTATCTATGCTTTATGTATTTTGTAAATAAAAACTGACAGAAATATATAAAGGATGTCCTAATTTTAACTAATAGATTTAAGAATTGTGAATGAATGAAATTAAATATCATTTTAATATACCTAATAGTATTTATTTTAATCAGCATAGTCATGTATATTTTAATTTTCCTTGAATTCAGTGTGTTGATGTTATATCACTATTTATGTATTAAATAACAAAACAATATTCTGATTTACTTTTTTACATCACTGTCATCTGTCTCACCCAGTTTAAAGTCTAAAGGTTTATCATAACCCATAATTTTAGCATAATGTAGAGGATCATTGAAGTGTCTTGCTTCAATGAACAGGTTCTTTCCCTTTGCTGACATAGTCGTAAACATTCCAGGGATATCAGGTACTATGACATCATCTGGTGTAAATTCAACCTGTAAAGTTAATATTGCAGAATTACAATACGTTATTTACATAATAGAAACAATACTGTGACAATCTGTTATATATCTGCCAAATATTACAGACAGGGAACTATATAGAGATTATATGTATAATTGTGTGTTATGCATTACTGGACCAATCCAAGTAGGTAAATATGATAATATATAACATAAGTAACATATAAATCCAACATAGACACTTCTAGAAGTTCTGTAGAGTAGCACAATAGTAATTGCTACGTATGAAAGTATTTACTGCAATTGTAGTTGACAGACACTCACTTGCTTTGGCATAATAAAGAAATTATATGTTGTTGCTTTATATGTAGATGTATCCGGATCATAGTGAATTTCTGTGACGTATTTCTTCGTAATTATATGCAGCAATATTGGAGTAATAAATGTGAAGAAGCCCACGACAGAACATAAAGCTATAAGTAATGAAGTGCTGCCGATAGTAGAAGCTTCTTTGATTAAAATAGGTTGTGCAACTAAGCCTGCTATACTAGAACATAGTGAAAAAACTTTTACGGCCCGTATCTGGGGTGTTAAGGCACCATAATAGATACGTTCAAATTTATTTTCTTCTTGTACTTTATTCGATAAATGCCTTGAAAATTTTTGATTTATTGCAACAATGTTGATTTCTTTTAATAGTTTTTGAGATAAACACTGGTTTTGTAAAATTAAACTTTTATGAAATATACGTAACATATTTTCTTTTTGTTATTTTAATATATGTATTACTTTATTTCTTATAGTATCGTTTAGAAAACGTTTTAGGTTATGTTTTTATTTTTAAAATCAGTTGCCACTGTCAATGTCAGTCAATGACACTAAGCCCCAAGCGTTCCGACCCACGCAAGGTAGAATTTTAAAAATTAAGATTAAGTTCTTATAAAAATATAGATATTTCTTTTTTTTATTTTTTTATTTCGATACTTAGGTACTAATAAAATAAAAACTATTGATCCTAGCAAACTTAATTGTAACATGACTATGCCATTAGAATGAAATTGATAGAAGAAACCTCCTTGATTATAGAAAGTAAATTACAAGTAACTATTCTAATTTTGATTCCAGTCCATGCTTGGTTGGACAATTATCAACATCATAACAAAATCCTGTTTCCGTGTCCAGCACCATTGGGTCTGGACAATCGCATCTAGAAAACCCGCACATAGTTCCAACCAGAATATCTTCTGGATGCTCACAAGTTTTTTGTGCAGTCCAGAATGATTTGCTGCAGTCGCTTTTTATTCTTATCAAATGTTCCGGACATTTGTCGATGCCTGCAAAAGCAAATGTATTTAAAGAGATTTAGACATTACGTACTACAAACTACTACTACTTACACGTTGTAAATTTAGAGAACTTTTCTTATTAACTAAGCACTCCAAAATGTTTAAATAATAATTCAAGACTCGAGTTCATTTCAATCCAATTTTTATATAAATATATATATTATCCAACATTGGACTTTTTAATTATCTCCTTGCTATCTAAAACCCAAAATTACTTACACCTATTGTTATACCATATACCTACATTTTGACATAGAGGTCGGTTGATAAGCTAAGGTATAATGTAACGTAACAGTTAAAACCACCCACAAACAATTCATGTTGAAGAATGAATAGATGCCTAATGGATTATATTTATATAAATCTCGTTTTTATACGTCTTCTTCTGACCATTGTTTCAGAGAATGTTTATATTATCTTTGGCTATTATTCTAAAATTAAATAGACTCATTCATAATAATATATAATGTTTGTAATACGTACAGAAACTGCTTTTTTCTGTAAGTATTTAAAACTTCAAAGCATAATAATGGATGAGCTAGTTAATAGTCTTATTTACTCATGATTGAAATAAAGAATCGAGCTTTATGTATAAACTATCACACAAGACATCGATCGTAAAGATTGATTTTAAACAACATAGGGTAAACCTCACAATTTATTTAATTTTTGAGAAAAATCACATGTTGCACATAGTATCTTAGTCTTAAGGATTAGGAGGACAGATAAGCATGGAGGTCTCTTGCTGGAAGGTAAGATACAGCCAAAATACCAAATTTTGGCTTTCGACTGGAAATGCACAGAGCCAAAGGGTTTAAAGTAATAAATATAATTCCTGGCTGTTTTTTTTCTGTGGACGGCGTTCGTTTACCTTGTGGATTGGAATGCCGGTTCTTTTATATGGAAAGTATCGACCATCAACTTCATCAAATTGATTGAACACGAGTCTATGACATGTACCTCGATCTGTAATAGGTTCATATTTATCAACGTCAAAATGTAAATAAAAAGGTCGTTTTTTTAAAAGAGATATATGATTGACAAATGCAATATTTTTCTTCATCTCTAAATTACATTAAAGATAGTACTTATATTCGCAACTCGTAGAAGATATAGTTGGTTCCCACATTGATCACTTTTCTCCATACCCCAAATGGAATAGATTCATGATTTATCCGAATATTTTTTAATGCTTAGTTGTACATTATTGATAAAGACTACATGTTGACCAGTCGGGTAAGATACACGTAGATAGGCACGTTAAAATAATGGAAACATGAGGACCCTAGACAGGTCAAAAGTAAAGAGATAAGGGAGCGAATCGGGGCCTTAGACAAGCAAAGCCGATGCGACAAAGCAGTTATCTACCCGGCGAACAAATATGCCTTATTGATTCAGTTTATCTCAAAACAAACATACATCGCACGCGATTGTACAAAAGAAACTAAATTATACTTTTATTCTGATTCTTAAATACATCTCCAGCCTGCTTTGTTCGCAAATCTATAAATTTGAATCTGTTTGTCGACTTATTTTGGCTCTGATAATCGGAAATCCGCGGACTGAAACCAAACGCGACTAAACTTCACGGATTTTTTATGTTGGGAGGTTTGTTACCTGGAAAGAATTTTCGATATTCCTACAACGTCTTAAAAGCAAATAAACCAAATTATACGATGACAATCTATACTAACCTAATAACAATAAAATAGGTATATTTTTTCGTTCGATAATATTTTTTTTTATGTATCTTATAATAAAATAACGCCGGTAAGTATACTAAAAAGGAATTTTAAACGGATTTTAAAATAACGTTAATGACGCAGGTCTTAAAAAATAAAACCCATTTAATGATACAGCAGTAAAATAGATGTATTAAAAACTGCACAGAATAACATCATTCATAGATAATTATAACATTTTGATGCGTAAGCTTTACCCAAAGGTCGTTAGCTATTTAGTTTCGGTAAAAAAAGTGTTATGGCAACTCATGGTGCAAAAAATAGGGTCGATGTTTAATTAGTATTTCCCTTGCGTTGTGATTTTCTATATAAGGGTAACCATTTCAATAATATTGGGAAAGTTTGCTCAAATATAAAAATATTAAGCCCTTGAAATATTAAGTCGGTAGTTGGTGACATTATGTTAAGTACCAGTAAGCGCAAGTAATGAAAGCATATTAATAGCGCATTAAACTCGATTTAAGATATCGAGAATATATGCAAAGCTTTTAAAAAGCTTTTATCTCGCGTGAACCGTCAGCGCACATAAATAATAAACGAAAGATTTGATAGCGCCTTACAAATCTTTCCCGCCATTTCTGAAAGCTTAAATTACGTCTTTGGCAATCTACATTTAAATCTAGACTTTAATGCATAAATAATAAAATCTTATTTAATAAACAACACAAACTTACAACTTAGAGTGAAACGGCGATATCACGTTATACTTTTTTTAATTTGTTCGAATCATCCATCTCTTTCTAGCCCGTATGACAACAGCTTGTGTTGCCCAAAGACATGTCTCTTTCGAACATTTAGTAGTCTGTGAAAGCTGATAAAAAGTTGACGTGCGTTAGGTTTAGGACTATATTTTTATTTGTTTTTCATCCTTATGATAATAAACAAATATTTTAAGTGATGTGGAATTTTTGAAGCTGGTTTTAAGACGTGAACATTAAAAATGGATCCCCGGACATTATTTTGGACTCTTGTTTTGGGTCTTACGAGTGTTGCGGAGGCGGGATCTATTGGTGACCAATGTGATTGGAGTGGAAGGTGAGTTTTTATTATTTTAATTTTAAAACCGTTATTAAAAACAATCTATGTGATACGTAATTCTAAATTCAAATAATATTTGCGTGAAGGATATACCCAATACCTTAATCCTATAAGCCGATTTTTAGATTTGGATTTACAAGATTTGAAAACTTTTAAAATATTTTGTTGTAGTGGTTTCGACTATTGTTTTTTAATAAGCCTTTTGCGTTTTGTTGTTAAGAAGATTATTAACTTCGTTTCATTACCTTCGCATTAGTTCTGTTCAATGGTTCGAATACTTGTTTTAGATTAGAATAAAGTTTTTATTGTCAAAAAATAACGGAAAACATATACTTAGCCATATTGTATCTACGTAGAAATTATTTATTGAAAAAAAGGCCGAATTTGTTGTTGTATTTCATTTTAGACCTAAGTACCTACTTATTAGATCATTAGGCAAAAAACATTTTTCTTTTTATATCTGGCATTAAGCTTTTTTAATTTCGAATATACATCATTATACTTAACTTATCTCGAAACAAAATTCCGAATGGTTTCAAGAATTTCCATCACAATCCTAGCCCGAGGCGAAACGCGTCATTCGCGCAGCAATTTGCTAATATCTGATGTCTGCGTGCTCAAAATTGGCATTAAATTGATGGTTCTTTTTGTTTGTGTTTGATAATCGACCAATGATAATGGCCCTTGCCCGATTGACATTCTACGTTTGAATATTCAAACCGCGGCGATTTGAAACGAAGTGGGCTAATCGAATTCACTGAAACTGCGCGCGTAATTTTCTTTACATTTTTTGTTCGACTACCTCCCGGCATTACACGCTTATACATAAATATTGTCTAGTCAAATATTTATTATTTACTCAGTAGTTATGCGAGACGATATTACTTGAAAATGTAATTATAAAGAATCTATGAAACAGTGGTAAAGAACGAGATGTTAAGACGTCTGTCACGGGTTCAAACGTAAACTTATCATAATTTTTTCCAACCTTTGTCCAAATAACCACTTTCGACCTTAAATGGTCGAAAATAAGCTTGCCTTATTTTTTTAAATGTGGTCACACTACCAGCCATATAGCGGCTAAAAGCATACGGAATGTCAGATCATAGGTACCTACTAGTTAAAAGTCTAAATAAAGTTTTATTTAAAGTAAAGTATTTTTTCTTTAATATTTTTGATTATTTTTATTATGATAAGATAATTTTCGCTCATTGTCTATGCAAATTTCCGGATAGTGTAATAAATTCCCCTCTTTGTTTAAGATAATTTATGGTCTATGCTAATATGTTTATATAATCATTGCCAGCACATTCTTAACCTTTAACACCGGCAAAATAAGTTTAAAATTCAACATATCTAGCGGTCGATAACTTTTAGAATCTTGTTTGATTTGATGGCTATTATATTAAATTCGCCAACAAACTATGGGAAATATCTTTCTCGAAGAATACTTGACGAAGTCCTAGTAAGTAAGAAAACAATACAAAAAAATATCCAAAGCCAAAAAATTTACAAATATTTTTTTTATTATTCACTATGACGGCTATAAAACATTATTACATCGTTTTATACTTTACGCGTACTGATCTAATCTCAAACGAGTTATTAATATCAATAATATACCAAAAAATGTTCGTCAACACTTAATTATAATTGTTATGGCTCTCCGGAAATGATGTCAAATGGGGGCGAATACGGAACAAAATCAACAAGTTGGGTTTCCCTTGGGGTGGCGTGGGAAACTCGAGGGAAAAGTGTTCACGTCCATCCCTTACACGTGACCCATCCGGGTTACGGGGGTGCGTCAATTGTTTAACCATTCAATAAGCTACAATATCGTCAAGCTTTGTTACATAAACTCATCTTTTGTCTATAGTTTGGCATTGTGACTGGTTCAAAAGAGTTTTGCGTTAAAATAATTAAAGGAACAATTGTCTATAGTTTACGCGACTCATAGCCATTTCAATAAAACACCTTAAACGGCTGCTGCTGCAAAGGAAAAAAAAATAAGTCAAGTTATATATTTCCCGTTAAAAACCGTTATAAATGTTTTACTTAAATAAACATGACTAAACTAAAAATATTTTTAAGGAGTGCCAATCTACACGGATTTTATCAAGGATAAATGACTCCCAAATAAAACCAGGTACATATAGGTACTAACATCCATTTTCTATTCAATAAAAATATTAAAACCTTCGTTATATCCTTGCTAACAATTCCCCCGCCTTCCAATTTATCGTCTCTTACGATTAGAATAGTTCTTAATGTATGTACAAAGGGGATTTTGAGAGGAATAAAAAACAGAATAAAACAGATCGAGTGTCAATGTACCAGCATCAGCCGATGCATTGTGGGGCTTCAAGTTCATACATTAATATTTATTAGGGAGGGATACGGAGGGGAGCTGTTTATTATAATATCCTCCTATTATAACGCGTTCGCACGACATGCACTCATTGATTGATAAGCTTAGCCCAAATTGTCTGCGAGACCTCTCCTGCTTTGTTCTGGTAATTGTACACCTATGGTTGACCCCTATTATTTTGCAAGACCGAACGATCAAGACTAAAATCCAGCCTTAAGTGTGTAAACGCATTACATATTTTCATTGTAGAAAAACTTACATGCACTTGATGGCATAATGGTAATTTAAAAAATCTATTTTAATTGAAAAAATGATTATGGCACAAGTTTCTAGCATTCCTTTGCCTAATATAAGTTTGAGAACTTTATTATTTTTCACATGTTATTGCACGTGATGGCACTGTATAAATTAAAAATCGAAAATAAATTGAAAAAATTTACGACTCGTGTAGGACTCGGTAGCTCAATTGGTTGAGCAACAGCACGGAACCCTGACAATGCCGGTTCAAGTCCTGTCCAAGTCGTAATTTCCTTTAATTTATTTTCGATTTTTAATTAATATAAGTCTTTTAACATGCCTAAATCTTCTAGGATATACCAGACTAAAACATAATTTAAATAAAATTATTTTCATAATAACACATTTTTCATAATAATGTGATTTAAATTTTGAACAATCTTGGCTTTCTTGCACAGCAACTTTTTAGTAGCTCACGATTTATTACTTTTCTTTAAATTAAAATTGTCCACCTTCGTAAAGTACCTATTATTAACACTACGTTTCCTTGTTACATACCAATTTTTTAGTAATAGCGAATTACGAGTGACACGAAGAAATACATAATATGTGTTCACTTAAGAACTTAAGAGTAAGGGCATACCAAAGTCACTAACAATTATGGAATATTTTTTGTTTTAACATCAGCTTTTATGCGACGTCTACTTAGTACATATTTAAAAAAGTAGCTACACAACCTCACCTCATCTACATTCCTATCCCCCAGTGAATCTGTGCATAGTCACGCGTTATCGTAATGACTCCAAAGATGGATAGATCTGCAGGTATCTGTTTAGCAATGGCGTTCCTTAACATATTTTATACAAACTGGTCCCACCTTAAGTAGAAGTGATGGTCCATTCGCATATAAGTACGTCGTTCGCACTTTTCTAGTTAATATTATTATGTAAGCGGATGTTATGCTGAGCAGGAAGATTGCTTATGGAAGAATCATCTGGACTTGCGTTAATTGTCTAAATAAATTGCTGAGTGTATTTAGCGTAAGAAGCAGCGGATGTGCGTAATGTATGTAAAAACGGAGATAGGTATTAAATCCTGTTAAAGATGGTGGTTGAACGTTACTGTTAATCTATATCTATACTAATATATAAAGCTGAAGAGTTTGTGTATTTGAACGCGCTAATCTCAGGAACTAATTTGTTCGAATTGAAAATTATTTCTGTGTTGGTTACAGCACAAAACACTATATATTTTTTTGGGAGGTTTAACAAAATCTTAATCCTGTCTTTACGGAAAACCCCCTTTTTGAAAGTTCAAAATAAACGAGTCACATTTAAAATTCTAGTACAATGCCCTGGCGCCAATACGATTAACAATAGCCGTAATAGATAAAGGACCAAGACAAACCTTCATGACTAACACTTGTGGAACAAGAATACTGTCTCGTGCCACGTTTTAGGGTTAAAAGGAATGGAGATAAAATCTTTTTGTTTGTGTCGGTTAGAAAAAAACCGTTTAACCTATAGAAAAAGTAATAATCGAATATAGAATTCTCTATTCAAATGGCGATAAAATAGTCGGCCATTTGCTAATTTTTTAAAAATTAGCAAATGGCCGACATTGCTTTGTATTAAAACTATCTTCTGATATGGCACGGAAACAACATAAAACATACTTTGAATACAATTCCATTAATTGGTTTCCTCCCTAACGAATAATGGACCCTGCGTGAGATATTCAATTAATATTCTTTACTCGATCATCTTTATCACAACGGAAGTGGAACGCCTAACATGTGATACGCGGCTATTTTCAACTTAAAATAATAAGAGATAAAAATATGGCATGAGAACTTTTTGCGGCTTTATTTCCTGAATGACCCACATCTGAAACCGCAAATAAGGATGTCGCTTTATCAGCGGGTGATAAGTGTAGCTATTACCTTTTTCTAAGGTCCATCTGTAGATATACAAAGACTACATATAGACATCTTGTAGTTCATAATACAAACTAAGCACAAGTATAAAAAATTAAAAAGAAATCCTATTCACTATCTGTAGTTTACGCGAGTAGTACACATTCATCTAAAACACTTTGACAGTTTAAGAGTTTTACTAATATATATCGCGTCTCAAACCGTTGAAATGTTTTATTTAAAAAACTTCTACTTATAAATCGAAATGCAAGTTTTAAGTAAGGAAGTATCTACGTTAATTATAATCTGTCCAATAGACTCCAAAAGAATATGTATAAATCATTTGGAATTTATTCGCGGACTGTTTTTCTTTGTATAAGATTACTCTATAGCTTAAAAACGTAATATTTCTGAGATTGACATAAAATTATATAAAATCCGGTCTACCCATTTAGACGTAAAAGTGTGACAGACATA